TTTACATATAATTGCATGGTTTATTATGCTTTTTGTGTAGTGAATGAAATCTTAAACCTGATAATATCTTGTGCTGTGTACTATAGTATGATTTTACTCTTTCGTGATATTATGTGCTATCAGAAAATGGTGGGTCGTCTGAAAGACCGAACACAGAAACCCAACTACGACAATTCCAAAATGGTAAGCGTGTAGCCATGTTCCTGCACACCCTCATGCCCTTCTCAACTTCCAGAAGATGTACTAGTAGAATAATGCATGCTCGCAGTTCCAAAATGCCCATATATTATACCTACATGTTTTAGGATGGAATGATAGCTGTGATAGTCACATACCCGCACTGTTGCAACATCATAAGAAAACTCCGTCTAGGGCTGGCTCATCTGACATCACTTTCATGTGCGTATGTCCTGTTTCAGGCGTCGGACTGGACCAGAAAGCAGCAATATGCCAGCTCCATTGCTGCCTACCCACCTGACTGGTATGAACAGATGCAGGCCAGTGGTCAAGTACGCCAACGTCCGCATGCACTCACCCAAACTGCTCCTGCAGTCATGCAGGTAGGGAGCGACACCGGTGAATGATGTTTTATCGGCGGTGCATTCCAGACTTGAACAACAGTGATGTTCAGCTATGTATTCGGCGGCCCCACGGTGTGGTGCTTTTCCTCTCTTTGCAACATGAGTGGCTGGGAGTATTTATGTTGTGTGCGTGTGTATGTGAGCGCATGAGAGGGACATTGCGTCTGGTTGGTGGATGCCAGTAGGGACCTTTCGCATCTGCTGGGAATCGAATCCGAAACAAAAGTTTGATTCGGCTTGTCCTCGTTTTGTTCAAAACAGATTCAGGTTTCGCAAGTCGTCCATGGCAACTACGAATACGGCCGGTAGCTTGGCGTACACATGTTTCCACATACTGTAAAGTGAGAAACTTTCGCTAGAGATTCAATTTCGCTATTTTCGCGACCATTCCACATTCGCGAATATAAATTGCCGCAAACTGCTCTGTACATTGATTGTAGACAGTATAAGGTCCAACTGAAGAGATGCAATCGCAAAGTTTCTCATCGTGAACCAGCCCAATTGATGAAAACGCAAAATTTGCCCGCCTCGAAAGTTTATCGCTTTTACAGTACACGTGCATGGATCATGGAATCAAGGAAAAAATGTGTACCTGGCAAAAAAGTGTACCTGACGGATTCGGAGCGGGCCACGAATGAAGAGGCTTCCATTCGTGAAAACAAGCCCTCATAAGGGACTCTGACGAATCCTCGAACCCAGGCGACGAATCAGCATTCGTTTCGCATCCGTCCGCGTGGTGCGAAAGGTCCCTATTATCGGACTCATCTATCCACTCTGTATGCGTTACCATTACACTGCCAGGTCTCTGCACTTTGCTTTCTTTTTTTTACCAGAGCCTTGGCCTGATTATCAAATTTCTACAAAATACTACTTCAAAGTATGTATATGAGTGCATGTAAGGATTTCTTGTTCTGGTGTTTGGTTGATGGCCAACTCTGCAGGCACGTCGGCCTCTGCCACCCATAGGAAGCAGCCACCAGGAGTCAGTAGGGGAGGAGGTAGTGGTCGTCACAGATGGAGACTTGAGCAGTGGAGCAGCGCCGCAAAGCAGCACGTTACACTCATCAGCAGTAGGAGGTAAGTAAATAGCTGCATTTGTATACTTGCATGATATTCCAGGTACAAGCTGTCCAGTGAGCAGGTGAGAGTGTGTATGGTTTGGGTTTGGGTAGTAGGTGACAGCAAAAACAAATTCCACCATTTTCTGACCTTGATCTTTCTTTATGCATGTTCGCTGTGTGAACCAGCCTCGAGTGGAGCTAGCCGGGGAAGTGCCCATCTAGACGATGATGATGACGTGCCTTCTCCAGAGCCTTTAGTGGTGCTGGATGACAGTCCACAGCACTCTGGCAGGGCAAGTCACGCTAGTCAAGCCAGTCGAGGCAGCGAAGCCAGAGCACGGGAAGAGTCCACTGAACGTGCAGGTGCCAAAGAATCGTCCCGGCCGGCATCAACACAGAGCCATGTAAGCAGCACCTCCGCAGCAAGCAGATCTTCCGCTGCTAGCAAGACATCTGCATCGACCAAGGCATCAGAGCATGCCAAAGCACCAATCTCAAGCAAGACATCTAGCCAGTCATCCGTATCCAGCAAAGAATCGGGGAAATCGGCAACAACCAGCAGCAAGCCATCCGCCACGGCCAGCAAAACCTCCATCAAGTCATCCAGCCGGACCTCCACACAATCTTTGAGCAAAGCCGGTAGCAGCACTCCAAGTCAAACATCGCTTGCCAGCAAGAAGCCATAAGCAGCGTATGACAACCGACCAGACCATATCAATTAAGTCACTTCAAGGACGTTTCAAAATTACACTGTTAGCCAATAAGATCCTTCAGAAGCACATAGCAACATGTCTTGAGCCACTTCCTGTGAATATGTGTATCTGCATGGACAAAACAACACCTACACTGAATGACTGCACCAGTTAATGTAGCCCTAGTATTCTTAGTGTCATGTATATGTTAGAACCAGAAAAAAATGATGGTATTTGTTCCTGTTTCATACTTGAAAAAATACTTGCGTTTCAATAGTCAGCATGGTCTAGAAATTAAAATTCTAAAATCACATCTAAATTGTACTTAAAAAAAGGTTAAAAAATATTCAAATGCCAACAGATTGCATTCAGATTTCTGTGGATAAGTTTCAAATCAGCATATCTCTCTTGCCTTGACTTTGACCGGTGAGTGGTGACCCACTTGAAATAATAGTGAGAGCTCTGACATGGATGAATGCAACAACAGAGAAACAGGGGCAACACGATTCTGTGTATAATACCACCTCATTGCACTGCACAACGTTAGTTTGGTGAGCAGTGGAAGCTTGCTTCCCTGTAAAATAGCAATGCAATGCGCTGTATTGGTCGGCGAGCTGTCACTGTGGAGGCTCCAGCCAGGTGAACTGAGACCTGCATGCCGTCTACAATTCGTTACGCTCCACGTCAAGATCAGCTTCTATCTCTGATACACTGACTGACTGCCTGGCTGGTCTGAAAATACAGGTCCACGGAACTAGACAGTCGCCCAACAGCATAAGTTTGCTGAGTCCGTTAGTTCAGTTTGCCCCGGGCTGGGTAAGTCATCAGGAAGTTCTCAACAAGAAACACCCCTGCATTGCATCCTTACGTTACCAGGCAGAATCTTGTATGTCTCCTTTCGTGCAGCCATTCTTTTCTTGGCCCAGGTAACAGAAGGGACATGGTGGGCCCCAAAGGGTTCCAGCTAGCAGTGCAGGTAATCTTTGCTGCACGCTCCAAACCTGCTGTGATGTTCCTTAAATTGGCTGGCTATTCCAAGATTGTCTTGCCTGACAGAATGATGTAGCATTCTAGCAGCATAGTCTAATAGGATCAGACCCAGCACTAAGTTAAACGGAGTAGACTAGCTCTCATGACGGGGCAAACAACGCGAGCAATGATGGGTACCGGCCCAGGAAAGAAGATGGCATCTGACCACTGGAATCCGGTTGATCCTCTGCATGGCAGTCCACTCTCAAGTAGCGAACAACATCTGCGTGGTGCCCAATGGCAGCCATATGCAGAGCTGTAAAGATAGAAAAGAACATACACGACACGCACGGCCAGTTTCTTTCCACGAGGGTCACCCATTTCGAAAACTACATATCAGACTGCAGCAAAGATTACCTGCACTGCTATCTAGAATCTGGAGTCAGAGCATTGACTAGTACAAGATAAAGGTGCAGGTAGACCAATTCTGACCGTAGAGGCGGGAGGTGCCAAAGACCTCTTGTTTCAATGAGCTCAACATAGTGAGGGCAGTGCTTATCTCTATTCCCTTGTCAAGTAGTTGTCACTTGTAGTTCTACAAGTAGCACAACGGCTACATTTCGGATGATCTGGTAGCCCTCAAGTATCTTCTACACAAGCATACAAAGCTAAAACTCCCATGCAATGATTAGGATGAATTATTATAGATTGCCTGCAATCGACAACATAGTCGAGTACAACGACTGCACTTCCAAGCATTTTAATCTCTTACCTGTTCTTTGCTTGAAGTCCCGAGAATGCACATCAACTCCCAACTGCATCAGGTATTGGACTGTTCCCAAGTGACCCTCCTGATGAAGGCAAAGAAAGGCAAATACACAATTTCACGTACACATGCCAGGGGAAATGATATCATGGTTATAGTCATAAATCCGACTAATAAAGTCTGCAAATGAAAATTGAACATGCAGGCAAGTCGAAAGTGCCTTTCTGTTTCTGCACGCCACCAAAACACAACGACGAACACAGGTCAACCCTGATGTACAGGATTCACAGATCACACAGAAAAGAACAGGTTCAGCACTCTGTGGAACACAACACACCAATCCAATCCAGAGAAACTGCATTCATCAAAGTAGTCACCACCAGATCATATCGATTCAGCACAGACACTGGGATATTATAATCCAATAGGCATCTTTAGTACTACTTGAAGTACAGAGCACAGTACAACAAAGATAAGGTGGCATTCTAACTGGCAGAACAAAATAGAAGAGAAAGCAATATACAGCACTTTAGTAATCAATCATAATATTATTAATATGCCTTGCTTAGGCAGCATAAGTACACACAACGACATACCTTAGCTGCATAGTGTAGTGGGGTCATGGCATGCACAGACGAGATAGACGATGGATCAGCCCCATAAGACTTGACGAGGCGAGTTACTCCTGTCGTGTTGCCAGTCTGCGCGGCATGATGGATAGCTACACGACCGAGCGAGTCGGCCGCACTCACGGACGCCTAGGTAAAGCGGGACAACAAGTATACTGAGTTATAAAGCAGCCATAACTCTGACTTCAGTGGTGCCTGTGATTGCAGGCACTCCATCAGCAAACAAAGTCAGGCAACAACATTCAGCTTTCAGCATCGCTCTCTTCCCTTCCCCTTCCATTCACATCAAAGGACAATACAGCGATGGCAATGTTTCTTCAAATACTAGGCTTCCCCACCTAAAGGTCGGAAAATGACATGGCCCCAAAAGCATCTGCCAGACTGAAAGACTAAATAATAGTAATTATAAATATTATACATGTACATGTACTCGAAGTACATGACAAGCAGACATACGATCACAATATTGAGATACAAGTATTACATACATGGTGTCTGTTGATAAGCATGTCAACAATTTTCAATTGGTGTCCAGTCAAGCATGACCTGGCAGCATCCATCAGCGGTGTTACACCAACACTATCCACATCGTCACTGCCATATCCACATCTGTAGACATGACACCCACAAACAGAGAGAGAGAGAGAGAGAGGAGAGAGAGAGAGAGAGAGAGAGAGAGAGAGAGAGAGAGAGAGAGAGAGAGAGAGAATGTTCCCACTGCTGCTTCTGCCATTATTATTATAGGCAAGTTGGCTGCAAAGAGTTCAAAGTAAGTTCCCCGCCATCAACTCTACCATGGCAATGTTTGCATAGGACGACTGCATGCGTGCAACACGATCAAGAACAACCAAATCAATTTCATGCAGAAATTCACAGCAATGCTTCTCTAAAACCACACTCACTTCTCCAGCAAAAGCTCGACAACGTCAACCCGAGAGTGCAATGCTGGAGGCAAGAGAAGAACAACAACACCACAAGAATTCATAAGCTCATGTAGGCCATAACGTTCAAATCCAGGCTGACTTAAAAAAACACTTGAGCCTGATGTACATCAAAGTTTACGCCTAGACTTGGGAGAGAGAGAGAGAGAGGGGGGGGGGGGGGGGGGAGGGGGAGAGTGAGAGAGAATCGTATACTGTCAATAGAATCATCAATACAGCTGCCAGACACGACCCCACTCACACAACTTTTAGTGTGCTTACCAGCTGTGTGCAAAGGAGTTCTGCCATTCTTACTCCGTACATTCCAGGCATCGGGATATTGGCTGAGAAAGAACTCTACAATGTGCATGTTGTCTTCCCTGACAGTAAACACAACATAAGACAGTCATGGGTCACGTCACACAGCCAGTTATATAACAAAATTAAAATTTCAAAAATACACTGTGGAGATATTAAAGCCAAGTGGAGATAAAGTGCTAGGAAGACTTCCGAGGTGAAACTCTAATGCAGCACGGCTAACATCACAACCATTGCACATCAAATACTGCGCAGGCTGAAAACTAGAATACTACTCATGCACGGCTCATTGGTTGCAGCTTTTGTCAGCTTCGCATCGTCATCAACATGAATGCGGATATCTACAACAACTGCAACTCCGAAATTCCTATTCAACTGCTATTGTAGTATCACTGCAGGCAAGTGAGGAATAAAATACGTTTCCTTGATTTACAGCCAATGATTTGACATAACATTGACACTGCAAAAAAACATACATGATTCGGTGCAGCACAACCCAACACTCACCTACCTGCAGGCGATGTGAAATGGGGTCCAGCCATCCTTATTCACCAGCGAATAGTTAGCACCTGCCAGTACCAACTCACTGACCACTTCCAAACTGCTCTTAGTGCAAGCAAGCATCAGAGGTGTCCTGTGATACACACCGGTCAAGATCAAATTAGTATCTGTACACATTGTCCGTAAGTAAAAGTAAAGCTCGCACATCCACATTACCACCGGCTATACAATTGCGTTGAGAAGCATAACCTGCTACGGAAGTTTTGCTCATGCCAGGCCATCGCCATGCCTGAATATACCAAGGTACGGTAAGTAGATTCAATAAATTGATAACTTTTATACATGACAAGCTGCAAACTGAACCAGGGAGTTGCGGTTGCGGAATCGGGTTTTCCCAAGCAAGGGGACAGCATAGCAATATTAATACTGTAAAATGGGTAACGTTTGCGACAATAAATGTTTGCGTTTTACAAATTGAGACTGGTTTGTGCTGTTTAATGTTTGCGAGTCGTTCTTCACAGTCGAGTCAGTCCTTAAGGCCTTGCACTGAACTTTACATGGCGCGAGTTTGTGTTGTTCAAAGTCTGCGATTCGGGGCCTCTCGCAAAATTCGCAAACGTCGCAATAGTTACCCGTTTTACAGTATTCTGCCAAGGTATACAGGTATTTCTATGATAGCGCACCTACATATTGTGTGGAGAACAGTGTAGCTACATGGTGCATGTGTCTATGTCGAACGCAATGGAACTGTGTGTGTGTGTGTGTGTGGCGACTGCGAAGGGACCTGAGGACTAATCTTCCCATCCAATGCAGTGTAGTGAACGATTCTCCCGCCCGCAGGACCTCACCCGCCACCGGAGACAGAAACACTGTATGTAGATCGGTCCCCTTTCACCTCAATCACTCTCCTTGTTTTTTCCTTTCTTGCTGTTGTCTCCCGCTTCTGGGAGCGACGTGGCCATTTTGACGCAGTTGTACATAGTAGTAGTAGTACTTCAGTAGTGGTGTGTGTGTGTGTGTGTGTGTGTGTCGTATGGTGTTCGCTGTTCTCGCTGCAGCCGTCAGTTCCGTCGACAGAGTGACCTGAGTCGTCATCTCCGTTTCTGCTCCTGACAATGACTCTGGCTCCTTTCGGAGTGGTGTGGCCCTTGTGGCAACCAAGCTACAGTAGTAGTAGTAGTGTGTGTGTGTGTGTGGTGTGTGGTGTGTGGTGTGTGGTGTGTGTGTGTGTGTGTGTGTGTGTGTGTGTGTGTGTGTGTGGTGTGTGTGTGTGTGTGTGTGTGTGTATTGGTGGTGGTAGTAGGGGGTGATAGAGGTGAGCATGTGCACGTCCATGTACATACAGTCAGACCTCGCTTATCCGGTACTTTTTTATCCGGACCCCTCGCCATCCGGAAGAAAATCGCTGGTTACCGATTTACTGTAATACAGCACATTTCATTCATACATACATGCATAGCAAGAGTCCATAAACGTGTTTATGGACTCTTGTGTACAGTATATGCGTTCGATTATCCGGTTCCCTCGCCTATTCGGATATTTTGTGGAAAACGGATGTGTGCGGTTAAGCGAGGTCTGACTGTATTGTGATTTCTTACCAGTCAGCTCGTTTGAGAGAATCAATCTGAGCGCCACATGCCAGCAGATACTTCACACACTCTATGTGGCTAGACTGAGCAGATTCATGCAGTGCCCTTTTGCCGTCCAGGTTCGCTTGCTCTAGAGACAGTGCCACTTCCTCACGCAGATACTTCAGCACCGCTAGGTTACCATGTCTAGCAGCTATCAAGAGAGGGGTATCGCCCAGCTTGTTCCTGCATGTTGATATCTCATGATCTGGCGAGTCATGGTCACGAATTGCGACCTGAACAACACCCAAGTCACCAGTTTGAGCGGCGTGTAGCACTTTCTGGATCACCTCTTCGTGCATACGAGACATATCTGTTGGGTTTTCTCCCAATATTCACCATCGAATGGCGAGCCGGAGAACGATGACACGCAAAATAACAATACACAGCTAGCTAGCTGAACCTTTCCAAGAAACAGGAAAGTCGACTCAAAGGCGAAGTGAAGAATGTATTTTTGAGTTTTGATTTTTGAATGGATGTCACGTGCGTATATCTATAATATCTCCATTCTCCAATGCCAATGGTCACATGATGTAGAAAAGTCAGATCATACCTTTTGCTATGACGTCAATTTTCACGTTGTAGCGCATGCGCAAGTTGGTGCAAAGCTCGCTCAACGGAGCTTGACAACGCGATCACTGAGCTGCCGCTAGCTCGCATGAATGCAGCGAGCCACCGTGACCTGGTTCAACACAGAAATCAACAGTTTTGAAGTGTTTTTCATTTTTTAGAACCGAATGATCACAGTTTGGTTGTAGTCGAAGAGAAGCTTCTTGATCTTTATTTGTTTGTTCTGGGAAACACTGTAGTATTACCACGATGGTGCCTGGTCCAAAGATATGCCCGCCGAAGCTTGCGGGATGCTGTATGATCACCAGTATCTGGGGATTTGTCATGCTGGTGCGTGAACCCGATGTCCTCCAATGCTGTCAATCTACTGGAGTGACTGATCCCCAAACTGTACCTGTACATTTGTACTTCTACAGATCTTAGTTGGAATTTTCACAAAAGGAAAGTCAGTAGCGCTGTTGGAAGACATGCCAATCATCGGCGGAGGAAATGGGACGGATCCTAAGCACTATGCGTTTGATGAAGTTGCCTTGTGAGTTCAGTAGTGCTGAGTACCAGGAGGCAGTATGGAGACCTTTGCAAGCATACTCATCAGGTTTACATGTGTGTTTGTGTGTATACGCGCGTTGTTGCTGTGCAGGCACTGCTTTGTTGCGGCAGGACTCTATTTCCTGTTTTTCGTCTTCTCACTTTGGCAAAAGAAAGTGAATGATGGCCGTCAGTATGCAGGAGACCTCCACCAACGGTGACAACACAACTATTGACTCGTAAGTTTAATGCACTGCTAGTTGTTCAATACTAGTAATATGCACCGTGACGAGATATGATAGGTCCTGATACCAACTGAACATCGGATATGGGAGAGTTCGCAGTAGAGTTCGCTAAACCGGACCAACCCTTATGCGCATTCACCTGTGGGTTCAACCGTTGTAGCATCTAGGCACGTGGGTGGACTGTTAAGTGATATTGGGCTTCGTTCCCAGGTGGCCTGGTCGTTTTTCCCCAGTGGCAGGGCCGAATTATGCACGTGCATAGGCCATTGCTGGCATGGGCTGCGTTTGGGATCTGGAATTCACAACCTCGATCCTTATCGCATGTTGCATAGGTCGCACATCATGTAGAACTTCTGAATACAGGATGAAAATGTACGCTGTTCCGGGTAGCATGGGCTCGTGCTGTCTCCCTTGATATGGCGACTCCCTGACGCACATCATGACAAGCGATGCTCTTTTCATCGTAGTATATCAGTCAGTGATACCCACTTGAACCAAGTCTGCAATGAACTCCAAAGTGGCATGTCACCCGCCAGAAACTGAACTCTCTCATATCGCTGTTGGTGGAAAATCGGATGCCATCCAGTTTGATGACAAAGGAATTGATGTTGGCATGAATAATTTCTGAAAAGTTAGTCGCTACGAGGCAGTGATGCAAAGGAATATTCGCATATTCGGAATATTCTAGAATACCGACACCAGAAAGAATATTCAAAACCAGGCAGTGCCATTCGAATATTCTATTACCCAAAAATTGTGCTGCGTTGCTGTGATATGCAGCTCCCACCATATTCTCCCCTGCAGTGTTGCGGATGAGAGGGAAAGACATTATGTTCTGAGAACTGTGAAGCTTATTCTTTGGTCAAGTTTGATCTTTCAGCAGTGGATATTTACTATCCACGTGATTTTTCAGCAGTGGATATTTACTATCCACGTGATCTTTCAGCAGTGGATATTTACTATCCACGTGATTTTTCAGCAGTGGATATTTACTATCCACGTGATCTTTCAGCAGTGGATATTTACTATCCACGTGATCTGTAGACAGTATAACTGTTGGGTCTGATTTAGTGAAGTGACTGAGCCACTTCAGAAGAATATAGAATATTCGTTCGTTCGCCAAAGCAATATTCGAGGGAATATTCGTTCGAAGAAAACACCATTTCTTGCATCACTGCTATGAGGTTTCTTCGTGTCCTCATGCCCGATGACAAAGACTTCGTCTTTGTTGAATGCAGGCCGCCCTTATTTTCACCTGCTTACTAAGCTTTTCGATTGCGAACATCGCTTCAACAGAGCACGAGCTATGGGGGAGTTAATGGTAGATTATTTACCACACAGTAGTGGCGAAGTCCGTTCACGTTCAAGTTGCAGGTATCAGGATTGCAGGGTGCCTTACAGTGCATTTCAAAACTATAGACGCGTAGGGTTTTTGAAATATTTCAAATTTGGTTGGAACTTTTTGAGAATAGTTTTCGGAATATTGCTCAGGATCGCTCCACAATTACTTTCATATAGTTTCTAAAGGATTGGATAACAGACGCCCAATTTGGAAAAATTTATGCACAAAGTGATCACAGATTTTATGTGGTATAGATGCTGGCATAACGGTTTTTGCCTAGGTACGCGTCTATAGTTTTGAAATGGACTGTAATTCCTCTTGTGAACTTTTGACTCCGACTTCGATATCCTCGCTTTACACAGTGCTTACTGACACCTGCTCGTGGAGTAAATCTCTGTCTGGCATCATCCGCATGCCGCATGTGGATAAAATCAGCCAGGGTCTGATAACCCCATGGCAAACTAAAGACGTCCAGACATGTTACCAGTACGCTCCGCGTATTTTACGAGCTTTGCTCGCAGGGTCCGTGCAACATTCAATGTGCAGTTTGGATGTTGGGGACGTGCAGATGCCAGAGGAGAGAGTAGAAAGTTAGAAACATGTCTAGATCAGAAGAGCAAGTGGTCATGTATTGATCAAGGCGACAACGTTGTTGCCAGTGTGCGTACAGGTTAATGCCATGCGAATGTTGGCAAACATGTGAAGTAGACATATGGGTGGCCATATTTCATGTCAGGTGGCAATCTGGGTCGTATTTTTGCAGCTCTTCATTTCGTTTGTAGTAGAAGTTTGGGAATTGCAGCAGGACGTAGTAACCCTTTTTCCAGGTAACACCTTCATGTGCGACTCACTTTCCCTTTGTGTGTGGGTGGGTGGGTGGGTGTAAACTCATGCTCTGATGACAATCGATTTTTTCTTCTGGCTTCCCGTTTCACCACCCTATACTAATGATATTTGTGCCACCTGTGTTTGTTTTTGTCGTGCAGATCCTATTTGACATGCTTGAATAACGCTAAAAGGAAAGGTCCACTTCTGAAGCCTTTCCGCAATATCATTATTATCTGCCTGCCGTGGTGCCATTGTGTGCGCAGTGATTGCTTAGAAACTGTACAGTACAGCTACACATGTTCCTTTTTTTAATTTCTCTATTTCTGGCCATGGTGCTTTCTGCACTGGTAGACAACTGTATTGCATTGCGAATTTTAAGAATTTTCTTCCATGTTGGTTTTCCTTTGGCTACTAGCGTTCTAATTGATTTCTATCAGTTGTGTAGTAGGGCGAGCATTATGTCTTGTTGTTCAATTCATTGTGCACATATTACTATTTTAGTATTTACGCCGTATGTGCATTGCCTTTGGCCTTCTGGTCATCTGCATGTGATTGTGTAACTGGTTGTGTCAGCTCAGCTGGGAGTTTGCCGACGAAGAGACCTCGTGTCCCACGGTGCATGTCTCCAGGCTGCTTCTACATTGTAAAAGCACTCATTCAAGGAAATGTGTGCATGGCTACCTTTCCTGGGCAGCTCCAGGCTGCTTTTCCATACTGACTTATAAGTTGTATAACTTTGCCATTGGAGACCCATGAAATATTATAATGGTAAACAGGTCGAATTGCAGGCTCTTGGGCTGGCGGCTATGCACTCGGTGATAGTGATGCTACAATTCAGTTCGCCTGTACTACTTATGAAAAGTCACCTCTCGGCGAGCTCGACTCATCTGAACGCGTCAACCGAACCACAGACCTGTTTGGAAATAGGAAGCTAGCCGAACAGGCATGCTCGTCTCCTTACCTCAATTAAGGTGATGATGGTACAAAAATGCTGGTACATTGTACAGTCAGACCTCGCTTATCCGGAAGAAAATAGCTGGTTACATAATTATTTACAGCATACGTGATGCATCCAACATAAACGGTGTCCGGTTCCCTCGCCTATCCGGATATTTTTGTGGAGAACAGATGTGTGCGGTTATGCGAGGTCTGACTGTATAGTGGAAAATGCTTCACTTTTCACATCCTCGCTCAATGCAGATTTCATCATGTAAAAAAGTCCTGAGTTGAAGATATCAGGACGGACCCCTGGTGTAGTCTCAGTAAGTCTGATCTACCTACTGAGTACTGACAGTCGAGTCTGTCACTGACCATTGTTGACTTCATTTATTCGGACTTTTCACTTATCCAAACCGGGGCGGATAACCTATAATTATGATAATATATGCAACATGTACGTACAAGTACGCTAGATCGATAGAACTGAGCTGATCTGAGCCGCAGTGCAGTGAGCGTGTTGTTTTCCGAAAATAATTCCTGCCTTTCCATCAATTTCTCATTGGGAGGCGCTCCGGTGAGGACAGTAGTCGCTAGTCGCTTCAATTCTATTCTTGTGGTGCTGTCTGGTCCGCATTAGCGGCACCATAGGCATAGGTATGGCGGAGGGAAGAGGTGGCGAAGTGCAGGTGTTCGATATCGCCTCTTGTCCAGTTGAGAGTGTGGTGGTATTCTTGGATCGTGCAGAGGTATGCCGCACCATTGATACCAAGGTGAAGGCTGGAGAGAATGAAGTCGTCCTCCGGAACGTGTCTTCTGCAGCAGATGGTGACTCAATCCGGTCAGTACAATCGTTGTCCGCAACCCAAGTATAAACTCACCTAAATGCTAAATCACTGTACTACCGGTATGTGCATAAAGTACTGATGATTATGATTTGCCACACCTGCAAAAATTCATGAGGTTCATCGACTGATTCAACCGTGAATGCCTGATACCACATAAACAGTATTGAACACTGAGTTCGACACAGTGCTTCTCGTTGAGTATGGTGGCTGTGCACATTTCTCATTCACGAAGTCATTCGCATTTCATCCCGGCGGCTAACAATGATTTCCCAATGCAGGCGATGATGTTGGTAACCGAACAGGCAGTCATAGACGTCATTGCCTCAGCGTACATAGGTCAGGACCGCCGGAAGCAGTTTTGGATTGGTCCGGTAGTTTCAGTGCCTTTCATACAGTCTGTGTATGATATGGCGGGTACACATGACCTCCATAGTAGTGAACATGTGTTGATGGCTAAAATGTTGGTCCGGTGATAACCTGACGAACCGGACTGGTTCCGGCGGCCATGTAGGTCCATGGCATAACAACCCTGGTTGTGCAGGGTTTGAGCTCGCAGCCATTTGGTTCAAGCCACGGCACCGGATAAGCTACACTTCTGCAAAGCCGTCATCCAAAAGAGATCAGTGTTCTTGTATTGTCTCATGGGCCTCTCCTGAACAACCTTCATTGGGGCTGGCAGTGCTATTAACGTTATTATCACGACCTTTTCCGGGCCGCAAAGGTTGCAAACTGATCAACATTGCACAGAGTTGCACTGATATTTGCGTGTGGCACAAGTTCTGTTTGCTCTGCCTATGCTTTGTGGGTCTGATTCCTCCTACATGTGCCAGTGGCACTCGGAACATGAGGCCATATTTTGATTGCTATTATCTGTTGTTCTTGATGCAGAGTGGAGGGTCAAGGTGTGGCCACAATCTCGGAAGTTTCGTTCCAGAAGAAACACGTCACCGTCGATGAGGTTGTAGAAAAGAATCTTCCGGCCACCGAAGGCAGCCAGCAGGAAGAAGCAAAGCTCAAAGCCGAGCTAAAGCAAGCAGAGGAACGCCTTGGGGTGCTCAAAGGGGAGCTGAATCGCTTGATGACTCAGCAGTCTGTGCTGGATAGCTTTGGTGACCAACTGATTCAGCAAGCCGGGCAGGTATGGAGATTGATGACATCATGGGACTGTCCCTAAACTAAACACAGTGTACTGTTACATTTGTATCCATTATCCTATCAAGTTTTTTTTAGGACAGGTTGAATATTGAATCAATATTATTGATACAATGGTGGTTGACAGAAGTGCTTGCAACGACATCACAGTTTGCAGGAAAAAAACGTCTTCACTGATTCCAGTTGGACAGGCCTGACCTGCGGTGTAGCAATGCGTTAGTGGTTGCGCACATGTCTCACAGCTCAAATGGTTTGCCACTGTACACTGTGTTGTTGCAGGAGGGAGTGATCTCACTCGGAGAATCGGAGACACTTCAGGGACTCAGCCGCTATCTAGAGCTGTACGAGAAGCGCACGGAAGAGGTGGACGACAGGAAGCTCGATCTGGAGGCTGAAATACGGATTGTCGAGTCGAAGATCAGCACATTGCAAACAAACCTGAGAGAGCGATTTGATAAAGGACAGAAGAAAAGTACTTCACTTACCAAAATGGAAAGGTTTGTTATCATACTATAGTATGAATGTAGAGTAAAACCTGCTGTCAAGGCGACCACTCGGATAAGGCGACCACTCGGATAATGCGATCACCTGTCCTAGAAGACCACTGAAACCAGGACCAAGGGATGTTATTTCCAGTCAAATGGCCCCGCATACGAAGACCACCTGGTAACAGAGACCACGTTTTGAAGGTCCCTTGAGCGGTCGCCTTAGACAAGTTTCACTGTATGTAGATGATTGTAGTGCCGCCGCATTGTCCTATGTTTCACATTGTAGTGCGTTGTCACATGTCGCAGCAAGTCCATAACTCCAAGAGTATGCGACTCTGCACGCGAGGTCTGGCGCGGCACATTGTCCACAATCATCTCCCGCCGCTATGTATTGTGCAGCTGTGAGGTGAGGAACCAGCCACGCTATTAGTCAAGACTAAACCTATCCACATTCCTGGGCAGCACCCATATGATTTAATAGGTGCGGGTGGCCCGAGCGAATTTTTTCTTCTTTTTACATTGTACTTCAGTAACTTTGTACATGTACTATAATCCCTTGGTAACTGGGTCAGTTCAAGCTGAAGAGGGTCCAGTGGCCAACTCTGCTAGGGAGGGGGGGGGGGGGGGGAGAGCTATTTGCAATGATTGACATTCGAACTGTCTACATTGTGCTGATGTGCAATGATAAGTTTGCAGGCTTGTTCATACTGCAAGGGAAATATGCTAGGCCAATGGCTTTTGTACGTGCTGTTGACACCTATAACGTTAGTAAGTCAGGAATGGAAAGACTTAGGTCAGTAGCCAATCCTATCCATCAATAGTATCTACTAACCGGCAATTTCGGTTTGCATTGTTTGTGACTTCAGGCAAATCTCTATTCTGCTGGATGCTGAGAAGGAAGGCGATGTGCACCTGATTGTTTACTATGTGGTTCTGCACGCCAGCTGGTCACCAAAGTACGATGTGAGAACATTCGTCAAGGACGGCCGTATGCAGGTGAGAGCAAACTGGGAGCATGCGCGCAGAGGTACACTTTTTAGAGCTAGCCCAAAAGAGGCCTACATTCAGTCTGTTACGAGCCTGGCAACCTGCACGTCACGAGTCCTGTTACAAAAGCCTGTTGAGCCATATCCGAACATCTTTTTTTGCGTACTAGTACATGGTCTGCGCGGAGGCTTACTTGAGAAGTACCTTGACTGCCGTTGTCTTTGCACAGACGGTGTTACAAGGGCATAATCCTACTATCATTGCATAATAATTTGGAGACTCCGCTTGCAGCTTTCTTGCTTTTAGTCTGTAAGTGATGTTCAACGCACACCAAACATGACATGCTCTATCTAGCTGCAACAGTGCCCTGTCCCATGCATTAGATACATCTGTACCATATCGGCTCTTCTCACCGTCACGATTCATTCACGCCGGAATGGCACCTACTTCAAGTAGTCAATGGTTGGATGATGAAAATATTGAGCGAACTGATGCTCCAGCCTGCCATGTGCCAGGCGTGAACTGACTGCCATGATAATTTGTACTTTGTAGGTAGGTGGAGTGTGTTATCTCCGGCACGTGTTGTCCAGCATGTGTTGACCGCCATTTTACAGACTATTACGAGAGTTGCGTGTGGAGTCTTCAAATTATATTTCTGTACCAGTCGCAAAACCTCAAGACTGGCACTTGATGGATGCAGAAGGGTCCTGGGAGGAAGCTCGAGCCGCGATCCAGAAAGCTACCCCCCCCCCCCCCCCTGCATCATCGACTGCGCGAACTGATGCACCAGCCTTTCAAGCAAAGCCAGCACCATCCGGACATCAACTAGACGCTGGGCACAACCAGTGGTGATGGTGAGAGGGGATCATACCATGATGATAATCGGTGTGCACAGTGAGTGCGTTCGATTGCGCACTTGAGTCGATTCATGAATGGAATCTCGCCGTTCGATTTCATGTCATGAGCCCTGGAATCGATTCGGAATCCACTCAGTGCACTCACCCTATTCACATTGGGGTGATGTGGATAGCACGAATCAATTCGTGGGCATAATCGAACGCACTCACTATGTTGACTGCCATTTTACAGACTGCTATCACTGCAGACCGGTTGTGTCCCGGCTCTCGTACTCTCTAACCTTGCCTTCACAGTATAATCTGTGCGGCGCTCTGTCCTCCTAGGTGCACTATTTTGGTGTGATCAAACAGTCGACGGACGAGGACTGGAAAGATGCACGCATTTCCCTATCCACTGCAGTTCCTAGTGTAGGTGGAACACCACCTACGATCACGGCAAGCACACTCTCCTTCCCACGCTATGGCAGATTCAATTACAATGCGAAGAATTCTAAGTCGAGGGGAATGGGGTCTTTCCGCAAGAAGAAACGTCCCCGCGCAGTGGCACAGTTTGCAGGAGGAGGAGCACCTGGAGAGGCTCAGTTTGGGCAGTATGGTATGGATTCCTGCAGCGAATCGGAAGGAGAGATGACTCGGCCGTCGGCAGAGGTAAGCATGGCTCTGTGCTATCATCATCGAGTTGCAATGTCAAGACTTAGTGTTAGCTATTGGTTGCTTTCACCCCTGGTCTGGATTCAAAAGAAGTGCCGCGTGCAGTAGTGGGATAGTATGATCCGGGACATGCCCGTCCAGTACATCATGTATGGTTTCCTCAGTTTAGCGTAAATAATACTAATGATATTCATCTGAACAATCATGTCTCTTCCGTAGCCCTAGCATTGACTGTGTATGCCTTTCCTCTTCTGTCACCAGCCCTGTGTAGACTAGCACGAACAATCACTGTAGCCCTTGCGTGCTGTGTATATCGCATATTTTGATTTAGCACTTTGGAAACGCCTGCAACTGAGTACACTCACAACTTGCACAATGCGCTCCATTCTGAATTTCTCTCACGTTCTGAATCAGCATGTGAACAAGCTCCCACACACTGTATGTCGTCAATCGGAAAATGCCAGTACAGTCAGACCTCGCATAACCGCACACATCCGTTTTCCACAAAAATATCCGGATAGGCGAGGGAACCGAATAATCGAACACACGTACTGTATGTAAGCATGGCATATGCTGTACATTTGAAACCAACGATTTTCTTCCGGATGGCGAGGGATCCGGATAAACGAGGACCGGATAAGCGAGGTCTGACTGTACATGGTCATTGGTCACCGAGTACCATGTGGTACACTCATGTATTGTACACACAGACTGCGTGGGACTGACTGTGCCGTACAAGTATCTCAAGTCGAGGAAACCAATAAACTATTTAAAACCTATAGGGGCTGAGACCTCTGTGAGTAATCTTCATGAGCATGACTAGGCCTGGGGGTTCCTCTTACCAGCATGGTTTTAACCTACGTGTTTGTCATGATTTGTGACAACACGCTGTGCAGGTGCAAAGTGGAGCATTCACAACCACGTTTGACATTGAAAAGACGGCCACCATTCCTGCTGACAACACCGGACACAAAGTAAGTCACATGTCACGATACAGTATGTGAAGCATCCCGCGCAGTGTACGGCAAGGTGACTTGATTTTTGCCTTGCCGTCTAGCCAGAGTCTGTGAGTCCGCAGCTCAAACCTGTTTCAGACTGAGACCCAAGTGGCCATGTGGCCATTGAGATACTGAAGAGGAATACTTTGAAGTTTGAAGGCGAGCCAAATTGAAGCTTCTCCTGCTAAGCTATTATATGTCCCTGAGCAGCCAGAAACCCGCCGAAACCACCATATGTGCATTATCGAATATGCGTCCAAACACCATCACGTTCTGAAGAGCTCCTTCCGACTTCAAGCGCACTTGATTAATTTTTAACTGGCATTTGGAGCACAGAAGTCGATCGAACTTTCCACTCGATAAGCCTGAAAGTGTAGCAAGAAGAACCCATGAGTGTGTGTTATCCCCGGTAGCGCAATCAGTAGGGCACTGTTCCGGAAAGACGGGTGCTGGGTTACAATCCCGCTCGTGGATTCTTCTTTTGCAACATAAGAAAGCACCACCGCCCACAGGTGTAGGTGGCAGGCCGAAAGCCCGAGTTCCCACGCAGGGAGCAACATACCCTACCTCCACGAGTCGACCCCTATCCCACATTTATATCTTCCATCGGTAAAACTCCAAGATCGCTAGAATAATCTTTAAATTCTACAACGCCGTAATGTTGAGTGACCATGTCTGCGTCGATTGTACTCTTGATTACTATAATCGCTAGAATAGTTCTTGCTTGCATACAGATAGATTTTGCACAACCATTAATTTTTAGTCTTTGATTCATTTTAATACCACATCTTACAGTATTCCGTTCTCTGGATGCACATTTCACACGCTGGTACCAAATAATGCTCATCTGAGCAGCTTTTTCCGCTGTAAACAGTTCTCCGTGTGTGTTGGACTTTTGATTAGGTGCAAGTTGCTATTTTGGAGTTCAAGCCTAGCTTCTCCTATGAGTCTGTTCCCAAGGTGTCGGCGCGTGCTTTCCTCAAGGCAAACGTCAAGAATGATTCACCATACGCACTGCTGGCGGGTCCATCCAATATCTTCCTAGAAGGAAACTTTGTCGCAAAGGTAACAACAACGACCAGCGTGCATTTTTCTCATGGCATCTTACTGCATCGCATCCCTGAGTTGAATCACGATAATTGGATAACAGTTTCTTTCAACACCTTGTATCTGAGTTCAATCACTATGTTAATAGTTACTTTAAAACTTACAATGCCCTGTATGGTGAAAAAAGGAGGACAAAATGAAATAATTATATCACCGTGGTCGCACGATTGCTCCCATTGCAGTGGCTTGCCTTCTGCCTACTGTCTTCTTTGTCCCCGTGTGCACTGCAGTCAAGTCTTCCTGCCATTAGTCCGCTGGAGCAGTTTGAGTGCTCCCTTGGTGTCGACCCCTCGGTGCGTATCACCTACAAACCCGTGCAGCGCTTCCGCGAGCAGAGTGGCTTGATGTCAAAGACGACTAAGTTCAAGTATAGCCAAGTCATTCAGATCAAGAACACACAGCAGGAACCGGTCACCATCAAGGTGATCGACCAGCTGCCTCTCAGCACGGAAGAAAAGATCAAGGTGTGCATGAACTTGACGCAGGCATGCATGCTGTGTAACAACTGTGAATGAATGAATGAATGAGGCGCCGGTTGGTAGCCAGAACAACTGTGACACTGACATGGCTCGATGTGTCTGCTGCGTTCAGAAACTTATCACACAGTATTGGATATGTCTGTTTAGGCACATCCATTGCTAATTGAATAAATAGAAGTAGCGACTTCATTGCTTTTTGTTTTCTTTTTGGCTCGACCGCAATGTTCTGGGTAAGATCATTCAACCGGGGTGATCTTGTGGCTTGATATGCTCCCCCTGTGCTTGCTATTTCAGGTGCTGCTGATTGCACCAGAGCTGCGCAAGCCAGAGCGCGGAAAGCAGCTACCACCCGATGCCTATCCTCGCATGAACCAGTCCAACAACATTGAATGGCAGGTTCGGATAGCGGGCGGAAAGGGCGAGGAGCTGCAGCTTCGCTACACCGTGGAGTTCCCCAGCGAGAGCCGGATCGATGGCCTGTAGCTGATGCACTGCACTACCTACTTGCATTCTTGATTGTTGTGACTGCGGTGGCAACTCGTACCACAGGAAGGTGACGGCGTGCTCCCTGGGTTTGCATGCTGCTACATCAGCCGCGCCGTACCGGACAAACACACCATCATACTGCCTTGTTTTCTATGTAACACGCATATGCCACGATCGTGTTATCCCTATTTTACTTGTGTTACAAAAGTTACAGAACTGAATTGGACAATTGAATGTGTTATGTGCTGGACTGTAAAGCGCAGTGACTCTAGAAATTTACACGATGAATGTACGCTTTACTTTGCTCTTTTGGAGTACGAGAAAAATATACAAGAGTTTACTTTCCTATCTCCGTAATCCGTTGAATTACTAGTATCATTACGACTCACTTCTGACAATGTTATAGGGGTGTGTTTGCTTTATCAATCTGTGTTGTGTACCATTAAAATACATCCTGGATTGCACCCTGAGAATGTCTTCTTTCTGGAAGATCCTTCTTCCCAACATCACGACGGCTGCGTAAATGTTGCTGTGAACACAGCCATGTTGCTGTGAACACAGCCATGTTGCTGTGAACACAGCCATGTTGCTGTGAACACAGCCATGTTGCTGTGAACACAGCCATGTTGCTGTGAACACAGCCATGTTGCTGTGAACACAGCCATGTTGCTGTGAACACAGCCATGTTGCTGTGAACACAGCCATGTTGCTGTGAACACAGCCATGTTGCTGTGAACACAGCCATGTTGCTGTGAACACAGCCATGTTGCGGGCTGTAACGGGCTTTTTACAGTATCCACTGCAGCGAGGTGGCCATACTGATAGGCAGCTGATGGTCTGCACAATAGCCATACTGATAGGCAGCTGATGGTCTGCACAATAGCCATACTGATAGGCAGCTGATGGTCTGCACAATAGCCATACTGATAGGCAGCTGATGGTCTGCACAATAGCCATACATGTAGGTTGCAGAATTTCACTTGCGGTGGTGGTGTTACCGGCCAACTAACTTTACTTAGCGCTAGCCCGTATGGGGAAGGGGCAGGAGGGATCCCCCCCCCCCCCCCCCCCCCACCACCACTACCAGAATTGGAATACGTTCAGATCATGTCATGTGTGAGCTCCCACAATAGGGGCCTATGTACTCCCCCCCCCCCCCCCCCACACACACATAATTCCATAGCTTGGGGACTGATGCTGCTGGTGACTCTACGGGACATACAGACACTAGAAGTCGGGCATTTGGCACATCGGAGCTTGTCAAGGCTTGACGTTGTGCATTATGGATGGTTTGACGATCCGAAAGAGTCTCGGTAAGTATTAGTAAGTATGGCGGGGACAACCAGCGCTGGCTTTGATCATCTCTCCTTCTCACGCGATCAGAGCCCAGCACTAGTGACAGGCCCACACACACCACGTGCTGAACTGAACGGCCAACGAGCTTTTTGTCTCCGGCTTCAGCGCTGCCTGAACAGGCTGAAGCGTTGAAGGCTGAAGTGGAGTGAAAGGGGCTGAGCCGCTATAGTGCTGGACAGCAAGCCACAAAGATATCGTGGTCATCCACCAAGTCCACTGTCTGTAGATCTACTTTCCGAGCTCTCTCTAGCCTAGGACTGAGTCACTCTACCTAAGTCCTTGGCTTTAGATCGTATAGCCTAGGTTCAGCGAGCAGCCTGTCTGATCCACTGTAGATCCACTGACTCCTGAGGATACAGGATGCGGGGCTCGGCTTTATCATTATCATGATTATGGGCGGACCATGGATGATGTAAGACTTGACTTGATCTGCAGTTTTGGATCACGCACATCGAGCAATACCAATACTGCAATAGGCAATAGTGGACACAGTGTCGACTTACCGTCGCCGGACCGTGCCACCCTGAGCCCCTCACAGCACGAGCATGACACGGCACAGACGCCGATGGGCGGACAGTATCATGCATGTAGTTCCATAGTCTCATAGACCACGCGTTGATAGGGTTGAGAGGAAAATAGGAAAAGCAATTAATTTGTTCAGTGCAGCACTGGGCCGAGTTTGGAAATCTGCACAAGCAAACGTAACTGCTGGGCGCTGCTGTGGGAATCACTGGCCAGGAATAGAGAACTGTTTCTCAGCGTCCTTTCACTCCCTTCATACTCTGACGAGGCTAGGCAGCAAGTGTCCGGGCCTGGCCTCCAGCAGACGGAGGAAGGGAGGGATGGCGATGTCCATTCAACAGCAGCTCGTTGCTTCCATAGTCGCGTTATTCGTGCTGAGCCCATTTGGTAAGCTTGAATGGTACCATTGCGGTAGATCCGATAATCCTCCTGTACTACTAGTACTGCGGTAGAAGTTAGTAGATCGCTACAAGCTGGATTGATACAGAAACTTAGCGTAACTGACAACAACAATAGCGCCAGGAATATACCGGTAATTGATCGTAATCCTTTGCAGCAACATCTTGCGCTCATCACCTTTATCCTGTTCATAATGACGGACGTATTCAGTAGTCTGGCGTCACGGTATCGGCCAGGGAGTTGCGTTTCTGAGTCCTAGGCATCCGTGTTACAGACGGGGAAATACACTGTTCGTATCAGTTGCTCGCCTCACCAATTAGTGCAATTACCCATCAACCCCATAATGTTCAGCACTTTCAGAAGAAGAAGGGGATACTAGTGTGTATGTGTATGTGTGTGTGTGTGTAGGGGGGGGGGGGGGGGGGGTGTACGTGCTTCTGTGAAATTCCCTGTGGTGCCCGGCGGGGTCGAACATGGAGGTTTCGCACTCCAAATAACCCCAATATGTTCTTACCATTAGTTTCCAGGCCTTACTTTGAAAGTCTGTCCCTGACATCTTTTGCCAAAGTACACTACATCCCTCAACCGTATCAATCTCAGCAGTCTTGAGTTGTGATACCTGCAAACTTCAAAAGCAAAGCTTCAGGCATCACCACTGCTGCAATTTGGAATGGCACCGAAAAGGAAATTCCAGCCAGAATACACGGTACATGTCGGAAGAGGGATTCATAGAAGCTTTTTTTGCGATGCGATGCGTGGTGCGATCTGCTTGTGGATGAGTGCACACACACTACATTGTATTCATCACTGTGTTATAGTTGTTCTCTCCACATCGCCTATTCAAAGTTTCTATTAGCACAAAACCCTGATAAAGATTAAGTGAAATACTCCTTGGTCCTGACACACTCCAAATGCTGATTAATGTGGTTGCACTGTGCACATAATTTGTTTGTGTCGGCAGGTTGTGATGGCGCCTTGCTGCTTGGGCCAGTTGACAAAACGTACATGATCGGCGCTGACATCAATATACCCTGCCGAGCACAGTCAACCTCGACTACCGGCATCCTGGCATATACTTGGTGGTACAACAACACAATAAACCTACCGAGCTGGTACGAACACTACTACATGTACATGTATACTGGACGAGCAATGTTCTATGTATACATTTCATTGGCAAAGAATCAAGAGCTTCCTCACCTACAGAACAATATTGCAAGCATAACTAAACATTATTGGGATGTTTCTGATCCAAACATCCTTGACAGTACCTACATGTACCTAGTACTAGTAATGTTATGTTTGGTTGATGGACTGCCTGCAATGATAGTAAAGGAACCAACTCACATGCACTAACGAGTGTGAGTGCATGTATGTCCATTCCACTGCCTTTCGCATGTACTATCCACGTTCTTCAGGCTTACGCCATGCGGCACGGCCTTTGTCGGCGACAAGTGTATACGGGGTGCCCAGATACCGTACACAGGTTACTTTAGGTGCACGGCTGACGACGTCTCACAGACGCTGCTGCTGGGAAATCAAACTGGACTGATTCAAATTATCAGTGAGTTCATACATTAGGGAGTAGGTATTTTACTACCCCCTGATTAATACACCTTGCACGGCCAGTATCAGATTTTCTTACAGCAATTGCAAGTTAATGTTCCACCCCGGTCTTTGTTCTGCAACTCTTTCATTCCACCATGGGGTACAATGTATTACATTTCCAGTTGAGCTTTTAACCATGTCATTGGCATTGCCACAGTAATAGGTCCCGCTGTGCGCTTATCTAGTTTCTCTCTCACTCATTCAGTCATGTTGTCACTATCAGACATGTACATATAGTCAACTGCCTCTGTGTGAACACATTGCTTCAATCATGCTACAGTTACCGATCTCACTACAATAACATGCCTACCCGCTCACGAAGTGTGCCTATGATCGTGCACGGGGAGGAAGGGCTACTAAAGGCTTTGATGGGGTCAACGATGAACAGGGGATATGATTATGTCGCCCCATCACTGCCACTTACGCTCACACGCACGCACATCACACCATTGAAACACTCCCTATCTCGCTGTCCTATTCATGACAATGATAAATTGCTACCCACTAGTACTAGTACCGTTTGCGCTTTCCGGCCTCAAACCAGTGAATACTAGTACACGTTGTAGTGTTTTCCCCTTTTCCTTGTCCAGGAGCTATAGTGTTCAAGGATCGACCACAGCCACGCACTGTCCAGGTCGGCAGCCCGGCAACATTCCAGTGTTCTGTGGACACGGCGCTGGGTAGTGCGGCGACAATCGAGTGGTTGTACCGTCCACTGTCCAACATACCCACCCGCGTAGCGCTCACCACGGAGATAACGCAGACCGGGAATGACCTGCACTTCACGAATGTGCAGGACACGCTCCTCGGCACCTATTACTGTGTGGCTCGCAATGCTGCAGGCACCGTCAATGCATCGGCCACGCTGAGTGCCTTCGGTAAGGCAAACTCTACAGTCCCCATTCATGTACTTCGGTATTATCCTTCTCTCGAGTGGGTCTATTGCCTTGGTTTTAGGAATTCAATTTAGGTTGGTGTCTTTTATAACCACCACGATAAAAAATCCAATCCAATCCAGAGAATATGAGTTGTATGAGCTATGCAGGCATTGTCGATGTACTGGTGATGCATGCTATCTTCCAAAAGGCCCAGTGGGCCAGTCGCACAGGTATGGCTTGCACAAACATCTTGCCGGATTACGTCGATAATTCGGGTACCTAGAACTGACATCTAGTAGTAGGCATTCCGTAGTCCGTTGTCACTCAGTGAGTGCATTCGATTATGCCCGCGAATCGATTCACGAATCGATTCATGAATCGATTCGCGCTATTCACATCACCCCATGTGGATAGGGTGAATAGATTCCTAATGGATTCCGGGGCTCATGACATGAAAATCGAACGATTTGAATGCATGCGAATGGATTCATGAGTCGGTTCAAGTGCATAATCGAACGCAGCCAGTCTCTTTGGCGTATGTACAAAGATGTTCGGGGACAGCCTTTTGCTTGAACCACCCCGATGATTGATGCGCTCGGTGGGGCATGTAATCTGCACGGTGTTACATGAACAATTGCTCTGGTGGTTGGGAAATGTGCGCAATGTGATATAATTATCTTGAAGCACAAGCCTATCCTGATGATGTCATGCGATTATCCCCGAGGTCAGTGGTTCGGCACATCGATGAACATGCATTCGGATGAGTTAAGTTTGGATAGTTACTGTGTTACCAGCAAGAGTACATAAACAAGAGTGTGCACTGTGACCCTGCACTGCAGCTGGTCCACGCTATAAGCACTCTCCTACTGTGTACATGCTGCAGTGTGTAGAAAGATTTGGGTTTGCTTTTGGCTGTGTTGCAGGAGCTGGAAGTCCTACTGTGAATTTACTGTCGACTCCAGTTGTGGAAAAGACCATTGGTAATTCAGTCACATTTCAGTGCAGCGTCACTGGTCGGCCAGCCATTTTCATTGTCACATGGTACAAAGATGATACTGTGTAAGTACTGCGGCGATTGTAGAACTTGCGCAATTGCGCATATCAGGATCCTGGCTAGGAAATGTCTGCAAGAGTTGGCGGTGGGTGCGTGGAGGTCAAGACTGAACTATGGACTAAAACAGCATAAGTTATCCGGGGATGCAAAGTACATTCTTTGGAGTGCCGCCGTATACGCGTACAGTGAGTGTTACGTGCAGTTCCTTTAAAATTACCCCTCCTCCCATTTGCTTGGTTTGATCCTAGTAAAGGTACATTGCTGTAATAACCCTCTTCCTTTATATGCAGTAAGGGTGGGTGTGGGGCTGGCTGCATGCACATGTGGGCCTAGTTGACGTTGCAGTGGAAGTGCCTATAATAGTAGTACTTCAGTATTATTATACAATCGCATGCTATCCAAGTAAGTTGTTTGACACTGGGCATGCATTGATAATGAAATTCTACTGCAGTGCACCCCGTCGGAGGGTGGCTTTTTCCCCGGGAGGGCATACCACCAGAGTAGGAGGGCGCAGGTATATATTTTCCAAAAGGTTGATGCGCCCTTCCACCCTCCTTTGGCTAGAATCCCGATACCTTAAAAGTTAAAATGCCCTAATGCCACGGCAAGATACGATATGCTGCCGAAAATGGTGCCCACCGCCACCGTCATCAACATCCTAGCTTACCGCGGCTCGCATTCAGTCTTTGTCATTGCTGTTATTCTTGTACCCATGCATGCAGTATCCAGCACTCACCGCCACATCTCCAGATCGAGGCTGACAACAGTCTGAAAATAGTAACACTGACCAAAGGTGATGCTGGTATGTACAAGTGCAGTGCACGCAACACACTCGGAACCGGCTCCTCCAGCAGTGTCAGGTTACAAGTCGACGGTAGGTATCACGGTGACCTATTTCACGATATCAGTTTATTACGGACGAGATTGGCAGCGTGACATACTACATGTGTGTGTGTGTGTGCGTGTATGTGTGTGTATGCAGGCGCGTGCCCCGTATGGGTTCCTGGGTGCCCGGAACCCCTTTTTTCGCTCAAAATGCAGGATTTTGCTTCATTTTTTGAACATTTTCCCGGGGGAGGCCCCCCGGAACCCCCTCCCCCCTTCAAGGGCACTGGCGCACGCGCCTGGTATTCATGTGTGTGTGTGTGTGTGTGTGTGTATATGCACGCGTGTGAGCACTTGTGGTATTGCATTTACACTTGGCCATGTAGTGTGGAACCGATTCCACCTGGGAACTGCGGTGCGATTTTTCTGGCACCTACTTTGATGCCTGTCATTATACTAATTGCATATTCAAGTGCACTAAATCAAGTATTGCATTACCGAGTTGGAGGTCGTTTGCGATCACAAGGCAAGGTTGCGGGGCTGGTTAGGTCGACCCAACTCATGCTCCGATTATTGTAGAGCAACAACACCTGTTGGGAGGGTGCTCTGTACAGCTATAATTATGATGGTTGTCGCTGCCAGGGGGGAGTGAATACCCAATGCTTAGCCAAATTCATCAGAACGCTGGGAGAAATAAAAGTCACAGTCAGGTGTGCTTAACTATAAAATTGTTGTGTTATGGTATGATTGTATGTGAAAATCGCAGAACCAACTGACCCTGGAAATGGAGATAGCGGCTCTTCATCAGGGCTCAGTGGTAAGTCACACCTAGCACCTGCTAGTATGTTACCGTTACAGTCGACCTTGGTCACAAGCGTCACATGACCATGCATTGTAAGGCAAAACCTTTCAAAACAAGTTGTCATGCCTACCAGAATGGCCCTCGAAAAACACCTTGCGGGATTTCGCCTTACACCGTCGGTCACATGTGGCCTTGTGAAAATGGTGATCTACTAGTGCACACTACGTAGAGAAGGCTTGCCCATGTACCTCAGACGTAGGTAACTAGATCATAACAGGCAAACTCAGCTGATAGTCATCTCTCCTTCTATCATTGCCGCTGTAGGTTTTCACCTTCTCATCGTCCATACCCATGATTATAACCTGGGGGTTATGTACTCTTGTTACGATATACGGCACAGTGAAGACTAGAACAGAGTACATGAGAAGTCACAGTAGCACAATGATCAATCTACTCCAAGTGCTGTTTGTGCATGCTTCTTACAACTGCAATTATACCCACTTTAGCACTGAGCCATAAATGTAAGCGCAGCTCCTAGCAGTTTCAAAGAGGAGCAACGTTGACATCGTAATTTCCGGGCTTCAAAATTAGGTACGCAGATTGAGTAATTCTTAGGTAGCTAACTAATGCGTGCAAGTTGTAAGTACTGTAGTAAGTCACATAACCGTTAGCTTGGCAAATACTTCGGGGTAAGTAGTATCTAAAAATAGTGCCAACTAGTGGTCGCAACTTTGGCGCATCGTGTATTGCTTTTCTACTCCAGACTCTGAGAGGACGATTGTCATAGCAGTATGTGCCGGCGGTGGAGGTGTTCTGCTGCTTGCAATCGTGGCCATACTGCTACTGAGGAAACCGATTCAGCACGGCTCCGGAGTTGGTAAGGATTTGCCGTGATTGCTTACGTTTACTGAAGCCGAGGCTCTCCATGATGCCGGCTTGCTGGCATTCACCACAACCGGCCTCCATGCTTCCATGTCCTCTGCATTTTTTCTTATCCATGATGACCCCCCTCCCCCTCAGAGTTCCACAGGTGTGTACTATGCTAAAATACTGCCTGCTGCTAGTGCTACTGAAGTGGACATGTCAGTGCAAAAGCTTAAATTGCCAAATACAGGTCATTGTGTTTGCATGCAATAACCTTGGAGAAGTGCACCAGTAGACAACCAGTAGTGCTTCAAATTTGAGAACACCACCTCTTGACTGGGAAACAACCCCATCCGCAGCACTGTCGTACTAGCAGTCTAGTATTCGACCTAGCCGCTAAGTCTGAATTTAAACCAGCCGAATCTTGTTGGAGCTTCTTCACCCTTCAGTTCTATTCTACTCGATCTTCAGTTCCATCCTACTCAATCTTCTACAAGGAACCGCGAGACACTGGCAAATTGTATGTGTGCACATGTACTCTTTATGTTCATTATGATCATGAATAACAGTGCGTAGGTCGGTACGCCCGTTGGAGACACCCGATGTTCCACCAGTTGGTTTCACATCCAACACGACGGGGATGTATCCCGGCAGACCTAGCTCAAGGATCAGCAAGAAGGAGCACCGCAGCAGCCTGGAACACCGCATGAGCCGCAACTACAGCGACACAGCTCTAATGATTGGCAAAGGCGCACCAGAGAGTGACATTACGGGCCTGACGGGAGGATCCTGACTCTGGTCATACCTTTTTTTGCCCCTGTATATTCTTGAACTCTTGTCGGAGCACTCTGATCAACCTGTATCTGCCCCCCCCCCCTCCACAGGAAATAGTAATACAAACTACATTGCTATGCGTAGGCTTCGAGGCCTTGACGGCTGTGCTGCATAATAATTATTTAGGCCTATGAATAATAATGTATACACTTTTTGGAGCACCCCCTCTCACACATGTCTATACTTTGCAGTTTCTAAGTTATGCGCTTCAAACAGTACCTGGAGTCACACTGCCTTACATGCTTTCCACATTCGCCGTATTTTGTAGAACAAGTTACATTTCAAATAGACCATAGTAATTGGCAATTTGCACAGCATGCATATCATGCCGGGCGGAAGCTCCACTTCTGTCCAATGATGAGAGAAGCGTTGATATCTATTATTAAATTTTTAGAGCGCCCGATGCACACACTCATGTGCATGTGCCGGTACTGAAAAGCAATATACAAATGGAAGAGCGTTCATCGCGGCCATATCACTTCGGTGCAACTTTCGTGATTCCCGCCCCTTGGCAAGAGAGGTAGCTGGTCTGCTACAGGGGGGGGGTTCAGATGCGAGATAGTCAGCAAACAAACAGGCCTACCTGAGTACACCAGCCGGAGACGAGACACCCAACGTTCCACCGCTTTCATGTCCAACACAACACAGTAGTGTAGCATAGGCTATCTGACACAGACAGGATCGATTCGATTGGTCCAATGGTTCATACATGTACAGTCAACTTTGCGTATAACGACACTCGGCGGGGCATCAGAAAAGTGTCCTTATTCGCGAAGTGTCCTTTTACCCGAAGACGTCTCATTATATGTATACAGGTTAGATGGGACTTTGCTCTGGGCATGGACTTGAAACCTGTCGTTACTCGGGAATTGTCATTATATCCGCAGTCGTTATTAGCGAAGTTGACTGTACACCATAAATGGCATAATCTTTATTATCACATGCAATGCGAATGACGTCAATCATGTGGTACATGGTGAGTCAGCGGAACCGCTTATTGGTGCTACAGATGCGGCGTGAGTCGCTAGTGCATCGCTGTGTCACGACCGTCTTTGCCAAAGCATTTCAACTGATGACTGTTATCCCATACGTAACCTCAAAGCACTATGTTCACTTACCGTAGCGGCAATACGGCACTTTTATGGTAGTACTACACACGTACACAATGATATGAGCTGCGGAGTCCATTATCCGGATAAGTGAGGCAGAGCGATCAAGCGACGGATAACAGAGGTTGGCAGCTTGCACGGTACGATTGCAGTGCAGTGCCACAGATCAGATCAGACCTACATATGGGGGGATTAGACTATGCACCGACATTGCAACTTGGAAGTGACAAACTGTACGTCCTTCCGAGTTTCTCCGACTGAAAGTGAAAACAATGTTCGGGCCCGGCCAGTAGATCTGCGCTGCTTGTGGCTTGCAGTGACGGTTGCAGGCGTTTTGGCCATCATAGTCATTAGAGTCACCAACAAAGCACTGGTTTAGTAATATACCACAAAGCTAGCTAGAGCGACTGGATATTTGGGAGTGTGTCCGTGACAGGCACGGGACTGAGTCGTGTTACAAGAGCATGAGCATCGCGGCAACAACAACAATCTCCTCCTCAGTGCTCTTCTGGTTTTTAGAAAACTTTACTTGAATACTGTCATGCTGGCCTGTCGATCGATCATGCAGATCTCGTACAACTACAAGGCGAAAAATGTGTACGTGGATATCGGAGCGCTCGAGCTCGCGATCGGGCGAATCCAGTGGAAACTGCGGAGAAAGCCGGAAGGCCGCAAAGAAAACCCGAGTGATTCGAGTGGAGCTTTGACTTTTGGAGCAATCTTGAGTGAGATGAACATTTTGGATTCATGTAGCAAGCTGGACGAACACAAGAGGAAGAAGATAGTGCCAATGGAGCATTGTGGCTGCAGTATGTAGAAGTGTATTACTCAGAGGGATCTTCTCAATAGGCAGAACTATGGCGTCGCCCGTGCAGGTCGCTGTTCGGGCTCGTCCGCTGACTCTCAGGTTAGCTGTTGAAGACATACTGTATGATTGTAGGAGCTGTCAATTTTCGGACTCGTCCGTGCTGAATAACTACTTCTACTATCCAGCCTTCGTTTCTCGAAAGCGTTGACCTGTCAAGCTAGGAAAAGCAGAAATCAGGGTGGAAATGTGGGAAGGGAAACGAAGAGAGTGTCGCACTTTCCTGTGTGCTTCAACAGTCCTGAGAATCATGGACTGATTTGGTTGAGGCATTTGCACCACGTACATTCATTGGAGATCACCGCAGACTGAGGCACTCGACTAGCCAAGGATAGCATAGAGCATTTCATACGCCTTTAGCCACGTATGGGTATGGAGGGTAGGAGGATGGGGAAGAAGAGACTATCAAGGGCATGATCGTGAAACCACAATTTCATAGCATAAATCACCAGATCACATCTGTTGAATAAAAAGACATACATGCACATATTGTTTATTGCTTGCACAGCAATCACTAGCAGGAGGCTCAAGAATACTAGTACTTGACCCAAGAAAATGGACGCAGACTAGGCTTGACAGGCCATATAAAACTGTCGCCAATGATTGTCGGAACACACTGGTTGGGGGTGTCAAAAATCCAACAGCTCTCCCTAATCGGGGCGGGATCTGCCAGTCGCTCTGCATGATAGAGTTGAACGGTATGACATAATACATGTATAGCTAGGCCACAAGACATGGGGCACAGCACCATTAATATTGTGTATGATTTTCAAACTGGTTATCTGCAGAGAGAGCAAGCCGCAAACCCAGCTCACTGTGGAGATGACACCTCGGTCCGTGCGCCTGTTTGATCCCAAGGTGAGTGAGTGAGTCACTCGCTGCTGCCTTCTCCGTCGCTTTGATAGACATTTTCACTCTGTTGCTTGAGAGTTTATAGCCTGGTGCACGTGTATAATTGTATTCCCACAGCATCAGCTACAGTTGGGTCAAAGAAATACGACCCCCAACTGTCATGCCTTATTTGGGCCGGGACTGTCGCCATTTGTTGCATTTTGGGACTGGAAAGAAGGAGTTTCATCTTGTTGTTCTTGTGTGCTCTCCTGCTGCTGTTGCTGCCGCCGCCATCGCCGCTGTTGCTGCTGTCAGGGTCGGTACAGTGCCGGTGGAGTGGGCCCTGTTGTCCAGGATAACAAGGAGTTTTCTTACGATTTCTGCTTCTGGTCGGTGACAAAGGATGCTGCTAACTATGCCTCACAAGAACGGGTATGACAACAACTATCACATATTTCTATTTTTCTTGCCAGTTTACATTCTGTAGTTTACTGAGTACAGTCAACTTCGCATATAACGACACTCGGCGGGGCATCAGAAAAGTGTCCTTATTCGCGAAGTGTCGTTATACCCGAAGTCTCATTATACATGTATGTATTACAGTTGGATGGGACTTTACTCTGGGCATGGAAATTCTGTCGTTATTCGCGAGTTGTCATTATATCCGCAGTCGTTATTAGCGAAGTTGACTGTATGTGGAAATGCTGGTCGAAGGAAATCTCAGCAAATAATAAGGCAATCTGTGAGTCGTGCCTATGACCATTGTTGTGAACGGGCAGATTGTTTTATTCATTGCAGTGATTGCTAGTACTTTGTTTGGAACCCCTTGGCAAAAGCTTGTTGTGTGGCTGTGTTTTGACCCTCTGAAGGAATGCTTCTGGGGGGTTTCGAGTGTGTGAGTGGATTATTGGGAACATGCTAAGTGTTCGGTCTGCCTTTCCTCTAGTCTGCGCTGTGCAGAGCATAATCATGCCTTGCAATACCGATAGGTGTTTCGGCATAGATGTTGTATGGTATGGTTGGATTGTCAGGTGTCTTCTGGATCTGTTAGCAAACAGGGTGCACACGAGGATGATTGGTTAAATTATATTGGCGTGTGATGTTGTTGGTGCTTGTCGTTCTTGCGTATGTGCGCTCATGTGCATGTGCGCGTGTGTGTGTGTGTGTGTGAGCGAGCGTGCACACGCACGTGTGTGTATGTGTGTGTGTGTGTGTGCGTGTGTGTGCGTGTGTGTGTGTGTGCACTTGCTGTCACCAGGTGTACTCTGACATTGGCCCGGCATTGCTTACTGGTGCCTTCTCAGGCTACAATGCCTGTGTACTGGCATACGGTCAGACGGGAGCTGGCAAAACCTATACCATGATGGGTACCAAGGTACAGTACGGTTTTGTTTGCAACACAGCAGCGTGCTTAGAGATTCAAATACTTCCATGCAATTGTCCTGCGGTTTTTCTTTTCATGCTATGGTGTTGGCAAACTGCAGAAGGTGAACTTCTCGCACTTCTGACTTGCCTCTACACGCATAGTGCAATGTATCGAGATAACTTTCTTGCTGTACGCCTTTTGTTTGTGTTTGTCTTTCTCAGGACGATCCTGGTCTAATTCCACGCCTATGCAAGGTAAGCAGCTACCGCGTACCGGGTACTGCTTTTACATGTACACATTTTTCAAAGTTCTGTTCTTTACCAGTCCTGTGTGGGTGATGAGGCGAATACAGCCTGTTTTGCTAACCCGCCACACTCCTTCCACCCTCTTGTGTATTCTTTGAATCTACTGTGACGTGGACCGAGCCGAGTTTGTACTAGCAGGGTTCTAGCCAGGTCAATATAGTAGGGGGGTGGGCATGGGAAAAGGATGACCCATTTTTCCTTTGTGCGAAATTGTCTTGCCATGCAAAAAGCAACATACAGGGTGAACCCCGAGTTCACCCCTCACGAATGTGCCTTTATGAACCCTCTAGTAGTGACTATCGACTGTATTTTCGTTCAAGGGCGTGAAAAAACACAAAAATCGGAAAATGAGTGGGGTGGGGCGGCACTTTTTCACAGGGGGGGGGGGGGGGGGGGGCGCAAACGGAGTAGGGGGGGGAGGGGGGGGGGGCGCTGCGCCCCCCTACCCCCTTTGGCTAGAACCCTGACTAGGATATGCAGAGGTTGGTCACAATCGAGAATCGCTATGGCTCAATATCTCCACCCGTTTACAGAGGCAATAAGAGACCATGGCTTTTCTTTGGCCCGGCGGACATATACTTTTAACCATTTTTCTCCCTCTCTCTATCTATCTCTCTCTCTCTCTCTCTATCTATCTATCTGTGCGTGTGTGCTTATGTAGGCTTTGTTTGAAGAAATAGATCGACTTCAATCACCAGATGTCTCTTATCGCACGTCTGTGAGGTGAGGTCCACGTGTACATGCAGGGAACAATTTACTTTCCATTTTTTGCATAGCAGTTTTGCTACGCATAAGCAAACTTGAATAGCAATTCGAAAATGTTGCTTAGCAATTTTCTTCAACACTTGACAACATTGTCCTTCAGCAGAGCTGATCAGAGTGCAAGCTCAGACCACAACAACACCGTAACACCTTAGTTGCAAATCTAACCTGGTGCCGGGATGCAGAGCTCAACACTTTTGAAGCTTTGTGCATCTATTTCATCCCTAGCGACACACCTGGCATGTGCACTGTGCATCATAGGGTACAGTGAAAATCAATATGCATCGCAGTTTTCTGCGCCACATTTCTGAAGTTGCTTCGCACCTCAGAAGAATTGCGTAGCAAACTGCGATGCGATACCGGTTAAATTATTCCCTGACATGGATGTTGCATTGTACATACCTGTCACGATTCTAATAGTGGTGAATGGACTGGTACTTCCCCCCCCCCCCGTAAAGTGTTGACCGATAAAGAATTTCCCACCAGGAATAGAAGAGTGCCGGGCTCGGTTGCACAGCTCAGTGTTCCTAGTGCTCGGGTCATCAGCATTCTGTCGGCACATGGTGAATTTCATTAGCCAGCTCTGTACAATCATTGAAATGAAACCTCGCCCAGCCTGTCAGAATGCCATGGTTTTGAGATTGACCATGATCTGTATAGTGCAGTGCTGCTCTATGAAATCCGGCCGCGTGAGTCAAGTTTGCGCCTTGCACCATTTCGCAGCACAGTGTTTGCAGGCCTGGGGGCTGCGCAACGCCCGGCGCGTACTTGAGTGACTCGACTGGATTTCATTGAGCAGCACTGTACATGTATATGCCTGTTGTACTTTCTTGCATCCCGTGTGTTGTTGCTGTGTGGTGTGCAGTTTTTCCGAGATCTACAATGAGCACATTGGTGACCTACTGCACCAGTCATCTCAGAAGAAGGTGCAGCACACACTGAAGGTGCGCGAGCATCCCGTCACCGGTCCCTACGTGCCCGACCTGACGTCGCACTCCGTGACCAACTACAAGCAGATGCTACAGCTGCTGCACCGAGGCAATGCTGCCAGGTACTACACGCCACTACTGTAGTATATTTCGAGCTCAATACCCACTGCTTAGTTTGAAAACCGCTGTTCATCAGCACTCCATCTTGCGCAATGCATGGTAATGTCGGATATGTAGCTTTGATCATGAAATGCAGGCTGGAGAAATATTTGAAAACACCTATGGGTCATGCTTTGTAGACTTGCCCCGCTGCATGTGTATGTAGATACTAGATACCAACATGTGTGTGTGTGTGTGTGTGTGTGTGTGTGTGTGTGTGTGTGGTGTGTGTGTGTGTGTGTGTGTGTGTGTGTGCTTGGGTTTTGCTCATGCCATTTTGTGCGCCGCTGCAGAGCAACTGGTTCCACTCAGATGAATGAAACTAGTAGTCGGTCACATGCGGTCTTCACAATAACCTTCAAAAAGGTAAGAATGCTGCTACTCTGGCACTCCGCATTCTCGTTTTGAATCCGAAAATGGCAACATAGGCTAGCAATAGTCTTCAAAACTTTGTGGTCTTCATTTGGGTTTGGTTTTCTCTAGCTAGCCCAAGTCCAAGTGATTGTTTCTGAGCTAAGAATGTACTATGGCAGATCTAGTTTACTCACATTGGTTTATTTCCATGGCTGTACTAAGTGATATCCGACCATAAGCGTATGTTTAATGTCCAAGAATTGCACGGCTCTTGACGCTCTCGAAGTTGGACTAATGGCATAGCAATGCTGCTGGTCATACACATGTAGACGCACGGTGACATCATGAATTGGCGCGGGCCACTAGCTTTGCTGTTTGGGTCAAATTTCACCAACAGCGACACTGTAGTTTTGTGCATGCTCAATTTGTACCATGCTTTTCCTCCTGCTAGCCAGGGTCTCCCTGGAGCAGCAAGGTGTTTGTCTGTATGCTCTGTAGCAACCCTGCTACTGTAAACAAATTGTGTGTAATCTAGTGCCTGTGGCTGTTGCATGCCCTTGTGTTTGTCTAGGCTTGCTTCGCCGGTGACAATCCATGCGAGACCAACAGTCACATCAGCCTCGTGGACCTTGCCGGCAGCGAGAGGAGCAAGGACACAGGCGCGACGGGCTCGCGCCTCAAGGAAGGCAATCAGATCAACAAGTCTCTGGTAGCACTGGGAAACGTCATATCTGCCTTAGGTAGGCAGCTGGATGATTTGTTTGGGTACTTCTAGGTTTCCATTCTGCGCATCTTCTCCCCCCTCTGTTGGAGTGTGTAAGCCTGATGGCTTTAACCCAAATGTTCTTCGCAGTACTTGTACTTGTACAGTGTACACACACATAGAGAAGGGCAATACGAGTGTGTGCGCGTGCGTGTGTGCATGTGCATGTGTGTCTACAGCCGACCAGTCACGGAGCAAGAATCGTCGGCGCACGGCAGCACACATACCTTACCGTGACTCGACCTTGACGTGGCTGCTGAAGGACAGCCTCGGTGGAAATTCACTCACTGTCATGATAGCTGGTAGGTATGGCACCTCATCTTGTATTTATAATAGTCTCAATGCACTGCATTTGATTATGGATTGTATTCTGATCAGGAACAGTTGTACAAAGTTCCTGGATCATGATTTCATAGCAGTCAGTACAGTACGAGATCGTAGTCACTCTAAACTCTGTTGATGAGACCTGTAAAATGATATGGCGGAAATATCTAACTGTCTGGAGATCCAGTAGTCAATCCAATTAAACTATTCTTGTTCATACAGGCAAACCAGGGAAATCCCCACTCTGAACATCTGGGGCGCTCTTTTTGACTTTGAGTTTATTTACACGTAGGCTCAATGACATTGTGTGATTTCAATTCAATGATCATTTTGTTACAGCTATTTCACCATCATACCAAAGTTTCGGTGAGACGCTAAGTACACTGCGCTACGCAAGTCGAGCTAAGGACATTGTCAACCGTCCGGTGGTGAACGAGGTAAATGTCTTGCCTGCGTCTTCTTGGGTTTGATGGTGGTATGTTCCTTTAGTGTTGCCGCTTTTCGGTACCTTCTTTTCAAGTCGTCCATCTTCTTGAAATTTCCTTTCACTCTACTTATGGACGTGTGTACTGCTGTACATCTTATTGCAACATACACTGCTGAGTTAGCTTGTGTCCATTTGGTACACGTACTGTGTGCGTGTGTTGATCGATCTCTTGATGAATTTTGTGTGTGTTGCTATTGTGCTTTGACACGAAGGACTCGAATGTGAAGTTGATCCGAGAGCTGCGTACGGAGGTGACACGTCTTCGATCAGTGCTCAAGGCCATGCAGGTGTGTGTTTCCGCTGATGGTCTTAGTCTAGAGTTACAGGGCGGGGGGGGGGGGGGGGGGGGGGAGACATACATGTACATGTAGATGTCAGTCTAGCTGGCCACGCTTTGGTTGAACCACTCTTCAATCGTTCCGCCATGTTTTGATGGCAAAAAAGCGTAGCTGAATGTGGTAAATATTTTGTGAACTACACTTTTCAATGTTATCGCTACAGTTGAACATCGATTATCCGCACATCGACTATCCGACCATTCGATTATCCGTAACAGTATTTTTGGGCGCATGTGCCATAGAGTACGCACTGTGCATGTAGTGAGCCATTCAAATAATACGAAAATTTTGAAAAGTAAAAAGTAAAAAGGTTGTGCGGCTAGTAATAACCACTGAAAGTGTGTGAGTGACAGTTTTTTTCTTATCCAGAACATTTGCCTTATCTGAACACCGCCTGACAGTTGTCTGCCCAGAGGTGGTCGGATAATCGATGTTCAACTGTACTACTGTACATAATTATAGTGAGTATGCCAATGTGCCACATTAGCCCGGCCATCGCCAGTCAGCAGCATCAGTTCTTTGTGATGTGCTACATGGGTGTGATATCAGTTATAATTGTTTGATCAAACTGTTTGGTCAGCGCGGCTCAACGCCTGCTATTTTCCGCTTGTCAACCACTGCTTAGATTGACCTCGCCGAGGGTGTTGGATCCAATTCACTGGCCGAACAGCTGAGAACGTTGGAAAAGAATGAAACCCTGGTAAGTGGACGGAAACAACTGTCAAGTAGATTGTTTTAAAAAGCTCTTGTCCATTTTGTGTATTCCATGCTGGAATGTCCATGCAACTACTTCAGTACTCCTTCCTAATCAGCCTCTGTTTCTGTTTGTTGTTTTGTTCGTACATCCAGGTAAACCATCTGACTAAGCAGTGGGCTGGACAGTGGGATGATTACAAGCAATCCAATGAAGTACGTAGGTGCTTGCGTTGAATATGTGTACAATCATGTACATGTATGTCAGAGTGTTACTGATTACAATGGCTACCTTTTGTCTGTTGTTGTCTCTGATCGGCGATACTGTAGATCAAGCAGAGTGTGTGTGTGTTTGTGTGTGTGTGTGTGTGTGTGTGTGTGTGTGTGTGTGTGTGTGTGTGTGTGCGTGCGTGCGTGTGTGCATGTGTGTGTGTGTGTGTTGGGGGGGGGGGGGGGGGGGATTTCAGGGGGATTTGGGGATTTGGGCGGTTCAATAGCCAATTGAGTCATCTTTCCAAGATTCCTTTTTAGTCTCTCTCCCCTCTCGCGGGGAGACCCACATGACCAGTTTTGGCAGTGAGCAAGTACAGTGCAGTACATGTATGTGTGTGTGTGTATGTGTTGTTAGGTGCACCCTGAACATGGTAGGTGTTAGACACAACCATAATGTGTTGTTGGATGCACACTAAATGTCCTATCACACACTGACATCTGTTTGTTAGTGAGATCGTAGTTGATTGGGATTCGTTGAGAAATTGACCTCTCCTGCCTGATGTCATGGCGGCCGAGAAACACAAATCAGTCATAGAGAGGTGAACTGCTGGTCCTGGCCCCTCCTTATCAGTACATGTACCATATGCTCTTTGACAATGACCATCCTCTCTTTCTGCCTTCGTACAGGAAGTGGCCATCAAGGACGAAGGTGTGAGCGTTGCGCTCAACTCCGACGTACCACATCTGGTATCCATCAACAACGACATCACCTCCACCGGCGTGCATCTCTATCACCTGAGGGTAAGCACTGCTGAAGTTGACTGTGCTCAGACATGTCCATACATGTATACTGCACTGTCTTGCAGCCATGCTGGGAAGCAAGCTGATTTTATTGATCAGAATTTGCATTTTGATTTTTGAAGAAAATTATCGTCCACGTTCCGATATCTGGTGCTGCAGTTGCAGCGTGCTTTCCGTACGTTAGCTCTTTATTCAGCTTACCTAAATAGTGGGCCTCGTGTCGTCATTTCGATAACACGAATGACGAAGAACACCGCCAGCATGCGGCTTTCACTGTGATCGGTGTACGTACATTCTACTTACTTAGACTCACCACATGATTTGTGCTGGACCTGTGTGTTTGATACGGTGATTGGTTTTACTGCAGGAGGGCACGGTTCATCTGACCAGCAACCCGACTAATGACCAAGATGTTGGTAAGCACTAAGCAGATTGACAACCTGGCACTGAATATTTATGTGCAGTGCATGATCTGACCCTGTCTAGGCAGAACCCCTTCACAAAGGGAGGACTAAAGGTGTACAGGTTGTCAGTTTTGTCCAACACTAATTTAGAAGCAGGATACCGGCGAGTCAGAACGTGTAACAATTAGCACAACACTGACTGATGTGATACTGACATTCAACGACCTGATGCTCAGCTGCATCACGTCTGGAATGCCCAAGCCAACAGCCTTCCAGCAGTGTAAACATGTGGTCCTCTTTTTTTAAAAACTTTAATCCTTTGCTCTCTATCTGAGTCTAACCCTTCGTACCGTATGTCAGCACCTTTAAAGCCATGGCCTTATATTCGAAACACCGCTGCTTTCCTAGCTATTTTAGATGCAAAATGACTCACCCACTGCGCCATAAAAGTCAAAGTTCACACAACAATTTCAATCTAAGTCCACTTGTTCACCCTTCCTGCTGGGCTGTAAGTTTGTTAGGATAGTACTTATTCCGTCATTTTTACAAAACATACTTCAAATGTCATTTCGTTTATGAAGCCCATGGCTTTATAACTGAGACTGGCTTTATAATCGAATATACCACCATGGCTTTAAAGGTGCAGATACGGTAAGGAGTTCGAATAAGGAGAATGTTCAGATAAGAAAAAACGACGGTGTGCCTAGACGCCCAATCTCTGACTTGAGTATGTGCTCGGTTGTCCTGTCTGTGCGCAGCTCTGTGCTCCAACAATAACGAAGAGCTGGAGTGTGAAATCACCAACAGCTCGCGCAGTGTCAGCATTCGACCCATCCACGGCCAATGCTCCATCAACAGTGAGCTGATCACGGAGGAGACACGGTTAGAGCAAGGTACGGACTCCACTGCCGTGCCATGATGCAAGTGTTGTCTCATGCCCTTCAGAGATGAATCAAGTTCGAAAAATGCTCCTGCTTTGTTCAACTACTGGCAAATACGTTCCCTTTCGGCAATATTGCTAGCAAGATGATAAATGCCGTTGGAAATCTTCTTCAATGGTTTTCTAGCCTAGAACTTGTGAGTCTGTGGGAGACCTAAGATTCGCTTATTGGATGATACCTCACTCTCACAGTAGTGGTCGCATTTCTGTGTCTTTCTAGGTCAGATTCTCCTCATTGGGCGACAAAACATATTCCGTTTCAACCATCCTGAAGAGGCTGCGAAGCTGAAAAGGCAGAAACACGATGTAAGTGAAAGTGCCATGGAGCAAGCGTTGTGCAAGTGAATGCCGATCTCGGGAGACGCATTGTGACTTTTTGCTGTGTGCTATGTGATGTGCACTCCCATGGCTGCAAACCTGTCATGAGAGAACAGTGCTGAACTATTCCTCCGGATTTCACAAGACACACATACACACACACACACACACACACACACACACACACACACACACACACACACACACACACACACACACACACATGCCTGTGCGCATGTGCGCACATTGCAATACAATGCGTTATAGCTGGTATGCTGCTGCAGCTACTGATGTGTACCCGGCGCCAATGCCTTTGCATATTTCGTTACTGTTTTGTGTATGCAGAGTGTGGCTCGGCAATCTTCGCTGGACATTGCATCCCTCTTGTCGCCACAAAGAAAAAAGTAGGTACAGTAACACTATACCAACACAAGTGAGTGTAGTGTGGGATTGCACTGTTTGTTACAAGTACTTCGGAGTAGGGCTCAGGAGACCAGGCTGATCTTGGAGCTTTGGAAGTCACGGGACTTGATTGCACTGTGGACATGTCTGGAATTGTGTACCCAAAGTGGACTGATGCGCTTGGTTTGAGAAGTCAATTGCTAGTGCTACTAGTACCTGCACACACCTGCACATAATAGGTGTGTGTGTGTGTGTGTGTATGTATGTGTGTGTATGTGTGTGTGTGTATGTGTGTGTATGTGTGTGTGTGTGTATGTGTGTGTATGTGTATGTGTATGTATGTATGTGTGTGTGCGCGTGCGCGCGCGCGAGTGTGTGTTGTTGTTGTGCAGGGAAACGCCAAAGCTGCGGCGGTGCAAAACCACTGCATCTGGTTTCGCATCGTTACATATAGATCACATCGATGATAGAACTGGTGATGATTTCTCTACCATCGAATGCCAGCCCATTGACAGTGTTGATGACCTGCATTCTCGCAAACAGTTTCCAATGGCCACCGAGACGCCTACAGGGCTGCATGCAGCAATGCCGTCAGACTGCTCCACCCCGATACTGCACCATTCCGACATGGTCGCAGAATGCAGTGCATTGCGAGAGCGCTCGCTGAGTGAACTATCGTTTGAACAAGCTGAGCTGGTAGCCGAGTGCCAGCCAGACCAGGTGACCAGTGAAGCGCAGCAACTTGCTGACCTTCTGCTCTCTACGTCCTTCAAGCAAACAGAGCTTCTGGGCAGATTGGAAAGTCGCCTATCAAGTTCGTCAGCAAATTCAGCGTGTGCATCACCATGCACAGATAAGTGCAAATCTCCTTCACTGTGTCATGGTGCCAGTGAGGGACAGTCCCCGACTCTAAGTGGGCGCGAGGCTGCCGAATCTGAGCATTCTCAAGGTACTGACTCTTCCTTGACCGACCTCACTGGATCACCATCAGATGGCCTCGGTCGCCTCAGCCCCGTGACATTTCCTGCTGATACCGTACCCAGCTGCAGCGACTGTGTCTCGCCGGATGGCCACGAGGAAAGACAACACGCTGTTGATGCGACTGAGTACTGTGCGCCTGCCCCTGACCAGCACTCTCCCAGCAATGCTCACTCTAGGGGAACTCCCTCTGACCAGGGAAACTGTCAAGCAGGCAATACGCTTAGCGGTGACACTGTACTGCACCCGTCGCAGCCACCAAGCACAGCATGCCCCGGTAGGTTTGTTGTGCCGATCGCGCAGCATAGTAGTGTTTCGGTGCCGGCAGGTGAAGTGGTGGAGCACACAGCTACAGCCAGCACTGTGCAATCATGTGCTGCACACTCTGGTGAAGTGGTGGAGCACACAGCTACAGCCAGCACTGTGCAATCATGTGCTGCACACTCTGGTGAAATGGTGGAGCACACAGCTACAGCCAGCACTGTGCAATCATGTGCTGCACACTCTGGTGAAGTGGTGGAGCACACAGCTACAGCCAGCACTGTCCAATCATGTGCTGCACACTCTGGTGAAGTGGTGGAGCACACAGCTACAGCCAGCACTGTGCAATCATGTGCTGCACACTCTGGTGAAATGGTGGAGCACACAGCTACAGCCAGCACTGTGCAATCATGTGCTGCACACTCTGGTGAAGTGGTGGAGCACACAGCTACAGCCAGCACTGTGCAATCATATGCTGCACACTCTGGTGAAGTGGTGGAGCACACAGCTACAGCCAGCACTGTGCAATCATGTGCTGCACACTCTGGTGAAATGGTGGAGCACACAGCTACAGCCAGCACTGTGCAATCATGTGCTGCACACTCTGGTGAAGTGGTGGAGCACACAGCTACAGCCAGCACTGTGCAATCATGTGCTGCACACTCTGGTGAAGTGGTGGAGCACACAGCTACAGCCAGCACTGTGCAATCATGTGCTGCACACTCTGGTGAAGTGGTGGAGCACACAGCTACAGCCAGCACTGTGCAATCATGTGCTGCACACTCTGGTGAAGTGGTGGAGCACACAGCTACAGCCAGCACTCTGCAATCATGTGCTGCACACTCTGGTGAAGTGGTGGAGCACACAGCTACAGCCAGCACTGTGCAATCATGTGCTGCACACTCTGGTGAAGTGGTGGAGCACACAGCCACAGCCAGCACTGTGCAATCATGTGCTGCACACTCTGGCGAAGTGGTGGACCACACAGCTACAGCCAGCACTGTGCAATCATGTGCTGCACACTTGACTGGACATCAAACACTAGCTGCCATCGATGCTGCTGACGGAATAGCACACAGCAGTGCAGGTCCAGAGCACAATGTGAGTGAACACCACGGTCCAGTCTCAGAGCCCCGTGTGAGTGAGCACCACTGTCCACTCTCAGAACAGTGCACATCTGAAGCTGAGCTGGATAGCCGGCTGACTGACCACGTCCCTTCGTCTCCATCCATCCTTGACGAAGCCTGGCACGTGCAGAGAGATCGCTTGTTTTCACTGTAAGCACGTTGTGCATATCCACTTCATGTGCTTTGTACTATTCAAATTATTTCCAGCACGACTCTACGGGTCAGAGTGCACCATTTGCAGAGTATGTCCTGCTGCTACGTTAAGCTCAACATTCATGCTAACGATGGTGAATGAAGTGTAGCAGATTATGGCTATTAATTTAACACTACATGAGTTTCAAGGCAATTACAGTCAGTATCGCCTATAGCGTTGGTGTTTGATTTTGAGCATTTTATCACTATGACCGATACTGCATGCAATGTATGCGAGTGGGGTGTCCAACGACTCAGCGTGCCGTGCACATACGCACTACATACATGTACAATGTCATGTAGCTGGCTGTAGCTCCTGGCACACAAAATCAGCATTTCCTCATGATGGAGGCATATTTTGGCAACTTGTACGAGCAAAACTCACCAAACAACACTCACTGGACAAGTTCTTCACGAAGAAGAAACACCCTGTTCTCCTCAGACATCGCTTGATTTTACATCAATCACTATAACCGATGCAAAAATAATGTAATAAAGGTGTTTTGAAATATGAATTTGATCACTATAGGCGATATATTATTATAGACGATTATTACTATACGCGATAACTGTGTATACTTAGTTATGGCAAATGAAAATGAATTTGAGAAATTGATCACTATATCCGGTATATTACTATAGCCGGCAACCTTATAGGCGATACGGACTGTAGTTATCTACACTGTACCTGTTTGTGCTGTCTTACACGTGGCTCACAGTGCTGCTGCTGCTGTTGTTGCTTATTGCTGTCATGTTGTTGTGCAATGCAGTGTGAAAGCCAGTGAGGAAGCTCACCGACACCTCTCTCAAGAGGTTGAGGAGGCGCAGATGACGCTTAGCGGCGGCAATACGCACACCAGTGAGCGTCAAGAGAGCAGCAGTGATGCCGTGCTGGTCGGCTGCGACACGGATTGCGGTCGATCTACGAACGGAAAGTCACTTTGTCTCCATTCGGACGAATCTTTGGACGAGAGTATCACCGATGAATCCTCGCAGTTACTGGACTATATCCGCAATGCACGTATGAAACATGCTGAGGAGGTGTCCAGCTGGGTGTTGAACCTGAAGGGCAGTACACCATCCAGCGATCAGCTGCAGCAGCTTGTTCGTCTGCAGCTACATCAGCAGGATGAGCTCCGGGACGTGCTGGAAAGTGGTGACGGGTGCGAAGCAGCACTGGACCCAGACCGGTTACTGCACAATGATGTAACACTGTCGGAAGTGGAGCAATCTATACAGGACCAGAGCAACCAGCTAAGCCAGCTTCTAAGCCAGCTGCAGAGCACACCAACGCGGTTGCCATTAGAACAGCAACTACAACAGCATCATGATCAACGCATCATGACACAGCACCTGCAGGGAAATCCACAGTTCCGGTCTAGTCGATCGCTCTCTGACGTGTCTCCATTTACCAATGGCAGTGGTGTGTGTGACTCCACCAGCAGGTATGTTTGCTCATGTGTCTTTTCACCGTTTTTCAAAGAACAGCCATAGACGCTGTGGTCCGTTAATGTAGGAAACTAATGTTATATGCTCAGCTCATACAGAAAAGTAGTAACAGATGCTACAACAGTGCACAGTGCTCATAATAATTAGAGGCATATGCCGTATGTTCAACACATCTGATCCGATGATGTAAACATGCTCTGCACACACACACACACACACACACACACACACACACACACAGCTCATATGTTTATGGTCCGATGATGTTAGCAACTGTGTGCAGCGCAGCTGATGCATTCATTCTTTGTGTGCTCGTGGGCAGGTTCACCATACATCAGAGTGGGAGCTCTGCAACCAAATCAGTGGACTCTAGCGAGGATGACATAGCAAACACCATTGAAACAGTAAGACACCGGTATTATGTGTTTTGCAAGTGCATGTCCTAGTATGCATCAGCTTGACCTACTTGGTCCATAGTGAATTTGTGGTGTTTTTTTTTAACTACTATTTTTGTGCTGTGCTAGCTGTACACTGCTGTAGGCTGTAGGCAAATGTGACATTTAGATCATCTACATTTTATTGCAAGGTTTATCTTATGGATCTTTTTCGCGAGACTAAAAACGTTTGTTTGCAGGTAGGTCGAGGCCAGTTCCGTTTTGAAGATATCGATACAATCATGTAGCTGGAAGTCTATATTTACTTGTTTTCAACCCATGCATTGGGGGAGGGGGTGGGGGGGGGGGTAAATGGAAGAATGCGATAACGAAACTTTTTCACCATGAAAGTTATCGATAAAGCCGAATGGCCCCTAAGGCTATGGCATGAATGAAAATAGCGGGCTTGATTGTGTGCATGATATGCATCCAGGACTGCACCACTAATGGAGCCATGGTGTTGGTTGTGTGCGTGTACGTGTGTGTGTGTGTGTGTGCATGCGTGTTTCTTTATTGGCATATTTCATACAGTTCTCCATGGAGAAATACCTAGCAATTCTGCCAACATGTGTTACAATACCATCGGCGAAGCTGCAGGAGACTGGCAAGGGCTCTCCCTACCATGTGTTTCAAGTACAGGTAAGATAGACGTTTTGTTGTTTTCGTGTGCAGAGCTTTTGGTTAAACACTAGAGAGCCGGCTCACAGATGGTTTTCTTGCGATCCGTCTAATCGTGAATCATTATGACCTGAGAAGCACTCGGCGGAAAAAGTTTTACTGGTGTCGAGCTGTGTCAAACAGGGCCTTCGGGAATCAGTGACATGTTCTCTCCTGAGTGTATACAACTCCCTGGTAAGCACACCCAGGAATGGAAGGTCAAACCTTACGTATCACCTGTTACTCTCGGAGTAATGTAGCATGTATTGAAGGAGTGTAGCTGCACTTGCGTGGTCTTGGTTGTGAGTGTTCTGTGTGCGATACCGTGTGATGCTGTGCGATGCTGTGCAGGTCAGTATTGGCTCCTTCTACTGGTCAGTTGAGCGGCGTTATCGTGAGTTTCTGGCGCAGCACCTTCACCTGGTACAGGAACACGGAGAACTGTCCTGCTTACGCATGCCACCCACTAAGTGGTTTGGAAACAAGAAGAGAGGCTTTGTTGAAGAAAGACGAAAGCGACTTGAAGTAAGTTTCAACCTTTCCATGCCACACTAATAGAGAGGTTCTGCTACACGGAACTACGTACCAAACTCCGTGTCAACTGCAGTGAAGTTTGACACGGATTTTTTGTACATTGCGCCGGTTCTGCTCTGCGTAGCATGCTCGTAGCATGCTCGAACTCCCCGTCGCATGTACTCTGTCCGCTTAGTGTTCACACGGAGACCAGTTTGTGTGGAGCGCGCTTCACACGGAAAACGGTATGAAAAATCCGCATGAAACTTGATCCCGTACCGCGGCGAGGTTTCCATACGTACTTTGGTACGTTGTTACACTCTGGTACTGAATCTCACTGGTGAGAACAAACTGATATACTGGGAAGAACGAGGGACATCTGTGAACCACGAAACTCTGAAAACGCAAGCAAACTCTGAACTGCGAAACAACAATTACAAGCAGCGCGGGCAAACTCTAGCCTGACTCTACCTCTCGTAGGTCTAACTCTACATCTCTAAATCTAAGTAACTCTAACAAACAAACTCTAACAAATAAAGCACGGAACATGTGAATATAAAGGAGCTGCGTGCAAGCAGCGCCAGCCAAAGTGCAGCGATGCAAAGAGACACGGAGAGCAGGAAAGCGCTCCGAAGGAGACGCAAAGGAAACATGAGCGCTCACAACAGCTCCGGCCCGGGTCACGGAGGAAGTGCAGTGCAGTGACAGGTGCGGGAATAACAAAGAGTGCGGTAGCCGTGACAAATGCATTGATTGGTGAATGACTGAAAACTGACCCACCGTACTGGAGCCAGCGGCAAAGGGTATCAATGCACACTGGATTTAGTCATGCGGTCATGCGTGACATACTACACACTGTGTAAGGCTACAGATTCATGCAAGTACAAATGCACTACTGCAGAGATGGAGTAGTCCAGCACATACGTTTTACCGTGAGGCAGAACCTCACTATTAACTGCTTTTGGTGTTTCTTGCACATCACCGTTGTGGCACGACATTGGATTTTTTTAAATTTTGTTTTATTCAGCTGCTGCAAACTATCTTTGTTCCAATCGCTGGCTGTTGAGCGGCCTGTGATGGGATAAGATGACGAACGAATTGTTTTTAATCATTATGGGTTATTTATGGCTGTATCATCCTATTCTGATTGTCATGGTTCTGCAGTGAAACTTCAGTAGTACGTGCATCAGTAGTACATACTTCAGTACTACACACTTCAGTATCCCATACTTCAGTACTGCACACTTAAGTACTGCACACTTCAGTATCCCATACTTCAGCACTACACACTTCAGTATCCCATACTTCAGTACTACACACTTCAGTATCCCATACTTCAGTTTGTAAACCATTCGAGGTAGAAGAGAAAGCCATTAAAAAGAAAAGAAAAAAGAAAAAAGGTTATTGTACCATGCCAGACGGCTATTATTAAGTCATGTACCAATTGTAGTACATGACGTAGTAGTCACGCACCTACAAAATACTTTGCAGGATAATATTTAAATTGCCTAGCATGCCTCCAAATCCGCAGAGCATGCCAATGTTAAATAGGCCAACATATGAATACCGAAGGCGGTTACATGGACAGAAGGCGACATCGGTCGAGAAAAGATGGGCCTATTCTCTTCCGCAAGTAAGACGCTCTGCAACCACGGAGGCACGTGATTGACCACCTCAGCAAAACAAATGCAATTTTGCAGCGTAGCTGCGCCATCACAACAGCGTACTGGAGGTCACTATGCTTGTTAACCACCAGCTGAACAATGTTCTTCAATGCACGAGAGCACTCCGTGCCACATATGCCGTTTGTCGAAAAATACGAGCGGGGTGAATGACCCCCTCTCGACATCGACAACACGCTGAAGATAGGCCCGCTTCTTCTGATGTTCATTCCGGGAAATCTGTGCAAGAACTTCCTGTCGCGACAGCAAAGACGCCGAGGGGTGAGTAACCCTCACATCAAAGAATGCATCTTGCTGCGGCGACCAAAAGCCCCTTGCACGGATATCCAATCGAGCCTCTGCAGCACGATTAGCGGTAGCGTCGTGAAGTTGTTCACCATCCAACGGCAAAAGCGGTGGCTCTGTTTGAACATCCGGGATGGCAGAAGTCATCACCTCCACCAGCGCATCATGAAGCTCATTATGTCGCAGACTTGGGTAGCCCCCTGTAGGGCATGTAAATGCATGGTCGACAGATATGTCTCTACCACACACACAAGTTGGTGGGAGGCAGTCAATACCCCAGCCATAGCGCAGGGCGAGACCATCCCGGAAACATGCTTTATTTCGCGCAAAGCCGTTCACAGCCAGAGGCTCAGCCGTTAGCCAACTGGAAACGCCAGCATCAGCAGCAATCTCCAACAGCACCCGCTGACATGGGCTGAGCTCAGGACGCAAAGCAACCTGAGCCTCCTTAGCCGCAGTAGCCATTCTCCGACGTCCGGCATTTCGCAACGCCATTACCTCCGCCTGCAAATTAGCCGGAGCAATGTCAGCATCAGGGCGACAAAGCAAATCAATCACCGGCCGTGCCGAGGCCATACTGGAGGTCCACTGATGCACTGCATGAGGCCCAATGGCAGGAATTGAGAGACCACCGGACTTGACAGGCAAGCCGATGAGACTCCGCTCAACGGTGGACATGTTCTTCTGACCAGTGATTGCTGGTATCGAATTGTTGTCAATCACATTATCTAGCCTGCCGAAAGCATCCGGCTCCGGCAGGCCATGCGAGCACATATAGCAGCGCCAACGCGACCTCAATCCGCGGGAAAAGACAGAATAAGCAGCATGTGGCTGGGTTTCCGCCAGACTGGAGAGAGTACCGACCTCCCTGCACCATACGGAAACATGACGACACAGGCTCTCCAGTACGAATCCTTCTCACCAATGGCCCCACCAAGATAGCGAACACCATTGGTCAGCACACGTATACCCGTAGGGTCGAACAGCTCTTGGGCTTCAGACTCCAGGGTGGGTTTCACCAGCAGAACTGTCTTAGCTGCATTAGGGTAATATCCATACTTCGGGCCAATCTCCTCGATGGATTTCCAAAACGAATGCACGGCCGCCAATCTACAACCAGACTCGCCATCATCCGCGTACCAGCATTGGTTCACATCAGGGTGCTGCTCACGGAGTTTACAAATCGTAGGAGCCACCGCAAGAGCAAACATGGCCATGGCCAGAGGGTCTCCCTGACAAGTTCCCTCGCGCGAGTACAATACTACGCCACCAGGAAGAAATAGTGGAATATCCGCACCATATGTATTACGACAAATTTTTTTCCATCGGTGGACACACACGTGCGATATTATGCAAGGCGCCCTTCCTGTTGATTGCGTTAAAGGGGAAGTTAAGGCAAAAATTATAATTTCACCAGTTGTAGTCTTCGGGGTGCTGAGTCGAATGGTCTTGGTCCGAGGAAGCTGAGACGCTCCCTTCCTACTTGAATCCCAATCGAACTCGCGCACTTCCACCGAAACTGGTCGACTGCGCCCTACTAGATGGGGATTTGTATGCAAAATGTCACTAAAAGCGCCATTTCGTTCTTATAAAAGCATGGATGACCGCGATTGGCCCATATGTTGTAGTCTTTTGGACGCTGAGTCGACTGGTTTTGGTCCGAAAAGGCTGCGATGCAGCGCTCCTCCTTTATTCCCAATCGAACATGGTTGAACAAGCGGTCACGTGCTCCTGCGTACACCAGTCACCTGGTCACCGTGCCTGCAGGGTACAACTTACTAGCCTGTTTGACCTTTTTTAGGTGCAGTCCTGTCACTCGAGTTGAACCTTGGTGTGAAAGTTGTCGCCTGCTGGCGTGGTGACCAGGTGATTTGGGCACCCAGGAGCACGTGACCGCTTGTTCAACCATGTTCGATTGGGAATAAAGGAGGAACGCTGCATCGCAGCCTTTTCGGACCAAAACCAGTCGACTCAGCGTCCAAAAGACTACAACATATGGGCCAATCGCGGTCATCCGTGCTTTTATAAGAACGGAATGGCGCTTTTAGTGACATTTTGCATACAAATCCCCATCTAGTAGGGCGCAGTCACCCAGTTTCGGTGGAAGTGCGCGGGTTCGATTGGGATTCAAGTAGGAAGGGAGCGTCTCAGCTTTCTCGGACCAAGACCATTCGACTCAGCACCCCGAAGACTACAACTGGTGAAATTTTAATTTTTGCCTTAACTTCCCCTTTAAAGGCATTAGATGCATCGATGAGTAAGATTGCATCAGTGTCATCGGCGAGATGTTGTTCCTGGACGGCACGCACAGCCGCCTCACAAGCCGCCGGCACACCAACACACAGCTGATGAGGGATCACGGCTGTCGCAATATCAGACGATATACACTGCAACACAGCCTTAGCGATGATCCGGCAAGCGACTTCCCCCACCGCAATCTGGCGCACACCTGGTCTCTTGTCCAATGCCACGAGCCGTGCCGCAACAAAAGCCGACAGAGAAGCAGGGTCTACATCCGTCGTGCATATCATCTTGGCAGCAGCAGCAAGAGTGGCAGCCAAATTTGAAGAAGCACCTTTAAAGGCCGAGAGCATACGCTGCCAGGCCTGCACGTCCAGGCCAGACGGACCACCGAATCCCTTCATACTGCCAGCCACCCTCTTAATGCCTGCTGCTGAAATACCTTCTAATACTATGTCATTGACCGGTGCTGCATCATTCTCCAACAAAACGGTTTCAGGTGGCTCCACAGGTGTCGGGTGCTTATCGCGAAGTACATCCAGAACCGTCGCACCAGTGGAGGGTACTGCGATTTCATTTGGCTTGAGAGGTCTACCACCACCACCCTGGGATAAACCCGCCATGGCACGATGTAAGTTGCCACGGTGAACGAGATTCACAAACACTGTATCTGACATAACATCGGACTCGCTAGCTGCATGGCTGCCAATCGGAATATGAGCCTGTATACATCTCCCTTCCGAGAGCAGTTCAGAGAGTCGACCAGACGACCAGCTGTCTAGGCGCCGCCGCAGGTGCGACACGTTGTCCTGACTCGTGCTATCCCGACCAGGGCGCTGAAGAAGAACGTGACAAGCAACTGCCACGCCTTCCCAAGCAACGTAGCTTGTAGGACTGTTACAAGCAAATGATGAAATGAAATCAGCTATTAGCTGAACAAATTGTTTACCAACTGAGCCAGAAGGCACCATGAACAGATTCCGTCTCCAGGTGACCACCTGCTGATATGACTGGCGCATCCAATCAATTAACTCAGGACCTCTACCCCATATGGATGAGGATACATCAGCGGCATCACCCACCACCGGACCAGCGGAAATGATTCCAGGGCGGGGAGCAGTTGCAGTCACAGCAGCCAGCGCAGGACGAGGATTGTCACGAAGGAGAGAATCACCAATCACCTGGCCTTCATTCCGGGTCATATCCACACGCACACAATGGACCTGGTGCTATTATCATGTTCTCTCAAGAGCGGAGGGACAGGCAGTTCCACATGCAATGACTTCCGAGGCAGTGTCCCGGAATCAATAGTCGGCGATGACGCAGCGGCGGAGTTGCAAGTCACTATTGTGCGAGATTGCGAAATACATGTAGATGACACGGTACCGGAGACAGATGACACGGGACCGGAGCCCGGCACCTCCCGTGAGCTGCGGGGTACCCAACCAGGGGCACAAACAGGCGGAGTGTCCGGCAAAGAACCTGTAGCTCCGACTACAACAGCTGTGGCTTGCAGATTGGCATTACCAAAGTACATTTATCGTCTCTCCCTGGGTAACAATTAATGCAGCACCTCCCATCTGCCGCACAGGAACATGATCGGCAAGTTCCTGACGCTCTGTTACAGGAGCAACACGGTCGAGAACCCACCATACGTGAGCGGGACATTCTCCTAGCAACGCTTCAGCAGCACACAGCGTAGCCGAAGACCATGCTGCACAACTCTTCTGAGAGTACGCACTACTATTACCGGTATCAGTACTAGTATCGGGTAGTTTAGTAGTCTTGGCCAAGCGCCAAGACGCGGGCCGCACTCACGCTAGCGTCGTGAGTGGTGGAGGAGCCGTGACGTATAAACGAAGACGGTCGGAGCAGGAAGCAAAAGCTTAGCTGGTGCGTCTAGTGAGTAGTGTCAACTCGACTCGTCCCATACCAAGTATGCATCCAGAGCACCACTGCATAGTATGCCACCAACCAGGCAGTACAGGGCCAAACCGCAACGTGTGCACAGCACAGCAAGCCAGCTCAAACAGGGCCCAAGGCCCGCTCGCTCAAACGTGCCCAGCACGGAACAAAGACTATAATCGCCGATTCGCAGCGCAAGAAACCAGCTGGATGAAGGATTGGCGGGCTGGACGTGCCCAGGAGGAAGCAAACTACGCGAGCCGACTCCACATGTCACAAGGAAAGTAATGAAAAAGGTTTCAAACCGATTGAATTGAACAGTGGAGTCGAAAATTAGAGAATAACGGAGGAGCAAAAAGCTCAACCGCCCAGTAGTGTACCGGTAGTAGCCCATACTTCAGTACTACACACTTCAGTATCCCATACTTCAGTACTGAGTATCATTGTTATCTTGTGTGTGTGTGTGTGTGTGTGTGTGTGTGTGTGTGTGTGTGTGTGTGTGTGTGTGTGTGTGTGTGTGTGTGTGTGTGTGTGTGTGTGTGTGTGTGTGTGTGTGTGTGTGTGTGTGTGTGTGTGTGTGTGTGTGTGTGTGTGTGTGTGTGTGTGTGTGTGTGTGTGTGTGTGTGTGTGTGTGTGTGTGTGTGTGTGTGTGTGTGTGTGTGTGTGTGTGTGTGTGTGTGTGTGTGTGTGTGTGTGTGTGTGTGTGTGTGTGTGTGTGTGTGTGTGTGTGTGTGTGTGTGTGTGTGTGTGTGTGTGTGTGTGTGTGTGTGTGTGTGTGTGTGTGTGTGTGTGTGTGTGTGTGTGTGTGTGTGTGTGTGTGTGTGTGTGTGTGTGTGTGTGTGTGTGTGTGTGTGTGTGTGTGTGTGTGTGTGTGTGTGTGTGTGTGTGTGTGTGTGTGTGTGTGTGTGTGTGTGTGTGTGTGTGTGTGTGTGTGTGTGTGTGTGTGTGTGTGTGTGTGTGTGTGTGTGTGTGTGTGTGTGTGTGTGTGTATGTGTGTATGCGTGAGTCACCAGCTTTGATAAAGTTATTGTGTTTACCCCTCTTGTTTTCTCATCATTGTGTTGCTTTTAATTTTAATTTTGCCCGTAAAAGAGGCTGTTGATCATGTGAAAAAAAAACTTCAGTACTGCACACTTCAGTACTGTAAAATGAGAAACTTTCGCTAGAGATTAAATTTCGCTATTTTCGCGACCATCACACATTCGCGAATATAAAACGCCGCAAACCCCTCCATACATTGATTGTAGACAGTACAAGGTCCGACTGAAGAGATAGAATCGCAAAAGTTTCTCATCGCAAACCAGCCCAATTTATGAAAACGCTAAATTTGCGCGCCGCGAAAGTTTGTCGCTTTACAGTATCCCAAACTTCAGTACTGCACACTTCAGTATCCCATACTTCAGTACTGCACACTTCAGTATCCCATACTTCAGTACTGCACACTTCAGTATCCCATACTTCAGTACTGCACACTTCAGTATCCCATACTTCAGTACTGCACACTTCAGTATCCCATACTTCAGTACTGCACACTTCAGTATCCCATACTTCAGTACTGCACACTTCAGTATCCCATACTTCAGTACTGCACACTTCAGTATCCCATACTTCAGTACTGCACACTTCAGTATCCCATACTTCAGTACTGCACACTTCAGTATCCCATACTACAGTACTGCACACTTCAGTATCCCATACTTCAGTGCTGCACACTTCAGTATCCCATACTTCAGTACTGCACACTTCAGTATCCCATACTTCAGTACTGCACACTTCAGTATTACGTTCTTCAAGCACTGGTACTTCCCAGGGTCGCGACGAAAAACTAGCGATGCTGTACATTATAATGCAGAGGGGCAGTGTATGTATGCTATATCCAGGATCCTTTACACTGAGTTTTACACACATATACACACGGCCCAGTGGAAGAAAATCCATCTCTACTCAGAATTCCTGGCTTTGCGAAATCACCAGGGGACTGGGGGTTTAGTGTAGTATATTGATATGTTATCACAGTGAATGTGCTCTGGGTACGTGGGTGTAGCTTGAAGGCATGTGATCCTCTGGTCAAGCTTAATCTAATAATCTTGTTACACGTTCTCATGGCAAGTTTGCATCCCTCGCTTCCTGACACCTCACTTCCTCGTTCTGCCTGCTGTTCCTGCTTTCTTTTCAGACGTACTTGCAGACGCTTCTCTTCCAGCTGATACGGCTGCAGCACTGCAACTGGCACACGCTGGTATCCCTGGAGGACCTGGTTAACAAGATGCGTAACGACCTGCCGGTGTTAGACGAGCATACTGTTATTCCCGCCGCCCGTGTGCCCAAAAATACAGCCAGTGAGCACACTGGGAAGCAGGCGGGTAAACAAACTGAATGAAACAACGCACACATTCTTAGTATATTTGCCCTGTGCGAATGCACCCTATGACTTCCTTGAATGGATTTAGTTCTACTCCCACTGATTTGTCTGGCTTGGATTTGCTACATCATGTTGACCGATTGCCACCTCCCTCGCCGCGTCAACGATGATGGTGTCGAGTGGACTCGGTTGATGTACTGGTTGCCGCACCAGTGAAGCCCATTTTCATGACTAGTAGCAGCTCGACTTTGCAGTGCACATCCCAGTGTCACTGTGCATGCCACTGACTGACATTCTTTTAAATACTTTATACTTGTACTATTAAAAGTACATACTGCGAATGGTAATCAACCACCCCAGCAGATTTTCATCAAGGATATGAATCGATGACATGGTATTTTTTACAACTCCCTGATATCTATGTTTGTTCCATCATGAAACGTCTTGCTTGATTTTAATGAGTAGCTAGGTTCACTGCTGTAGATTGTCGTAATTCGAAGTATTTCCGTTTTTTACCGTAATATTGATTTTTTCACCTTTCCACATCTTATGTCCCAGCTGAGCCTTTATGCATGATTGCAACATTTGTCTTTTTACCTATTTGGAGATATGTCGTCTGTGCTACATGTAGAGCTGTTATGACGTTGCCTATCACTTGATACTCACATGTCCGTCATGATCAAAACTTGTTCTGGTACTAGGCTTTGTGATCCTCATCGCGTGGATTGCCAGCTGCTACTCGTTTCGGGTTAGTGGAGACTGGCAACCAGTCGTGTGCAGTCAGTTTTTGTAGCCTTTTCCATGATTTCGGCGCTTTTACAGAACTGTCGACTTTGGTGACAACTTTTTCTTGCTTTCTTTGTCGATCTGTGATGCCCTCTCCCGTGTTTACTGCACATGTGCAGTGTCCTGGGAGACATTGTACAAACTATTCCCCCTCTTCTAACATGAAACGCCGATCGCCCAAATCGTTAACGGATTTCTCCGATGCACTCAATAAACAAGTACAGATGGCTGCGGACTGAATGCTACATACAGCATTGGACTGAATGCTACATACAGCATTGGACTGAATGCTACATACAGCATTGGACTGAATGCTACATACAGCATTTGACTGAATGCTACATACAGCATTGGACTGAATGCTACATACAGCATTGGACTGAATGCTACATACAGCATTGGACTGAATGCTACATACAGCATTTGGAGCTTGTCCAAAAACTAACATATTAATAAGATTGCTACAAACGGAAGTGCTGGATGTGCAGCTGGGTAATACTTCAAATCACTACAGAAAGGCGCCACTGATCAAGACCAAGGAATGTCTGAGCACACACAAGATGCAATGAAGAAGGCAAAGCAAAGCCGTCAAGTGCTGAAGAGGAGAATCCTGAATGAAAACGTAAAACAGCCAGCCTCGTATACATGATATAAAAACCTAAAAAAGGATGTCGCAGCAATACATGAATACAGATAGATGACCACGTTCAAATCCTCGGACACCAAGAGGGATGGATGCTCGCAGGGATACGTCGGATAATGAATGGAGGAGCAGAAACATGTACTGACTTAGATCATGCTGGTCTTCATACAAGCCTGTAGTCGTTGCGCTTGATGTGGCTCTGCAGACCGCATGCACAGCTGATTCCCAGGATCTGAACAACGGCAATGCCCGCAGCAATGCCAACAAGTACAGCCCAGCGGTGTTTCAGCGTGTCTAGGACGCTCGACAGACAGCCGTCCGTGCGCAGACCTTGGGCGACTGGTGTGCACATGCCGCTCACTGGGTGCGTGCAGCAAGATGCTGGGAAGATAGGTACGCCCAAGTGGTCTTTGCCCCACTTGGACTGGTTCCTCTGCCAGTCTGTGTTGCTATCCACACCACAGCATTTCAGGTTGATCTGTACCTTATTCCAAGACTTCTCTAGATTTCCATTGGCAGAAGAGTCATACTTGTCTAGAGTCTTCAGCATTCCCTTGTCAACTATGGATTTCAGGTCTTTACGGTAAGCCACGCCGACACCGGCAGCCGATAGTTCCAACAGGAAGATAATGCTCAAGACAATGCCATAGAAAATCAAGGCACAACGGTGCTCTTTGAGAGCGCCAAGGCAGCCAGCCGCGGACAGGATACAGCTCAGGACTCCGACGGTGACCAGGAAACCACCGTATGTCCCATTGGCATTGTCGATTACCACAGCGTAGTCGCCATGGGTGTGGACCAGAGAGTAAATGCCTGCTCCAGCGCTGGCCAAACCACCAAGGAAGAATACGAAGTTGAAAAGGAAAAGGCTGTACTTGATACAAGAACAACAGCCCTCAACTGCCATGGCTAAAGATTATCCCAAGAAGCCGGCGATAAATTAGTTCCACAGCCAGGCAAGCAATACCACTACTTGAAAAACGACAACACGGTCAAGAGAGGAAAAATAGAGAGAAGACCAACACGCTTATGAATTATGAAATCTTCATGCCCTTCTGCTTTGTTGAAAGCAGCTGCATATCTTTTGTACGGTACTCATGTCATGACATGAGTGCTAGGCCTAGCCCAAATTTGCCGGCAATTCTTCCAGCAAAATATCGAATTTCCCAACGAAAAGAAATTGCTGGCAAATTCCGAGCAAAATATCGAATTTACAGAGGATCCGGGTGTGTTTTGGTAATTTTATTCAAATTTCGTTGGTTTCATTGGGCCAACGTCGTGCTGAAATAGCTCGTGCAGGTTGTCAGGGGTACATAAATTTGAAATCATGCTCCAAAATCCGTAATACTGACACCATTATAAGTTTTGCTTTCCTCATCAGAGTCACCATTCACTTTTACCAAAGTAGACGGTTCATTCGAAGCCATTTTTGCCACAAAGCAGGAGCAAAATGGAGCAAAATATCGGAAACAAAAGGCAATGCCAAGCAAAATATGGAAAGTGATCGGGCAAAATTTGCCGGCAAAATATCGAAGCGCCCCGAGCAAATTTGGGCTAGGCCTAATGAGTGCACATATTTGGTACGACGGTACACATGTGTACAGACTGTAACAGAGTCCATGTGAAATGATTGAATGCCATGATCTGATGATGTGGACAGCTGTTACCTGTTGTCATGTCATGTGCGTAGATCTGCTGGCATCTCATACGAGTCCTCGTACTCGAACTCGTACGATGAGCATGCGATCATAAAAATAAAACAACAATAGAAATTCAAAAAATAAATCATCATGAAGTGCGGAAATTTTTTGAAAGAGTCGACATGACAATAAAATTATGTAGCTTTTACGTGATCTTGTTTACTACGTGAAGTACATAATTTTTTGGAGGCTCTGTATACATGTACCTGGCATTGACGAAGCATTTTCTGTATTTCACATTGTAGTCTGTAGTAGTGTAGATCTACCCCTTCCTACGCCAGGCTAGCTACGGCACTGGTGACCCCCAATCAGGATGGCATCCAGAGAAACTGTCCTGGCTGCAGCCAAGAGATTGGTCACATTTATCAACGCATCTCCATCTCCCTACCATGTTGTCAATCAGTGCAAGCAGTCGTTGAAGACAGCAGGCTTTGTTGAGATCAGCGAAAAAGAAAGCTGGTCTATCAAGCCCAATGGGAAATACTTCGTGACGCGTAATCAGTCCACTCTGGTGGCATTCTCTGTCGGTGGACAGTTCAAGCCTGGAAATGGATTCTCAATCGTGGGATCACACACTGACAGTCCATGTCCCAGATTGAAGCCTATTACTCGCAAGACCAAGGAGGGATACTTGTGCGTTGGAGTCGAATACTATGGTGGTGGTATCTGGTCAACATGGTTTGACCGTGATCTGACAGTTGCTGGCCGAGTTGTGGTCCGTGAAGCCAGTGGCGATTCCATGAAGCTTCACAGCAAGTTGATTCACATTGAGAAGCCCATCATGCGTATTCCACACATGGCCATTCACCTGCAGAGAGAGATGAATGAGAAGTTCAACCCGAACCGTGAAACAGAAATGGTGCCAGTCCTTGCGATGAGCATCACAGAAAAGCTTAACTCGCAAGCAACAGCCAACTGCGCAGCGAAGCCAAAGGATGCCCAGTACGAGAACCAAGCGCAGAAGCATCACCCACTGCTTATCAAGCTTCTGAGTGACAAGCTTGGGTGTCAAGCTGAGGACATTCTGGACTTTGAGCTGTACGTGTGCGATACACAGCCCGGTGTGATTGGTGGTGCATTGGATGAATTCATCTTCTGTCCTCGCCTGGACAATCAGGTGAATTGTTTCACAAGTCTGGAGGCACTGGTCAATGCTAATGGTCTGGAGAAGGATCCCAATGTCCGTGTCATTACCCTCTACGACAATGAAGAGGTAGGCTCGCAGAGTGCCCAGGGCGCTGGCTCCAGTCTCACCGAGCAGATTCTCAGGCGCCTCTCCGCCTCGACGGAGAACCCAGTTGCGTTTGAGGAGTCGATCTCGCGCTCGCTGCTCGTCAGTGCAGATCAAGTGCATGCATGCCATCCCAACTATGCCCACAAGCACGAGGAGGACCTGCGTCCGTCGCTGCATGATGGTCCCATCATCAAGTTCAACGGCAATCAGCGCTACGCCACAACAGCGATCAGCGCGGCAGTGCTGCGCGAGGCAGGGAGACGGTGCGGCGTACGGGTCGGTGATGTTGCCGTCAGGAACGACTCGTCTTGCGGCAGCACCATCGGTCCTATCCTAGCTGCAAAGCTTGGCATGCGCACCGTTGACACCGGTACTCCACAGTTGAGCATGCACAGCGTCCGGGAGATGGCAGGTGTTGAGGCCATCCACCAAGTTACATGCCTCTACCAGAGCTTCTTCGAGAACTTTGCTGACATTGATTCAGCCATTATTGAGGACTAGGCGACCATGATGGCAAGTAAGCAGCTTGTTGTTTGCGCTGGTCTGAAACGAGGATGTACTAACTGCTATTCCTGCTATGGAGCCGCACTGCCTTTCCGCATTTACAACTGCTCCTCGACCCCCTGGACATTCTTATGAATTCTTCTTTTACCTTTGTTTAGGTATGTTGTGTGAAGCATGTCACTTGTCTTGCTTTCATTTTTAGATGTTCTCTCATATTGCCTTCGTCCTACTTGGAAGTAGTTTTTTGGTATTTTAGCAGTGGAACTTAACTCTTTTTAGCAGTGGATCTTGTGTCACCAGATAATGCACTGGCTGGCCTTGTATCTGTTCTAATTCTGTGACATGTCCATAGCATGTAAACAAGCTGAACTTTCAGCACTCCATAGTGACGACCGAATGCTCATTCTGGTCCCGAGTACAGTCAGACCTCGCACACATCCGTTTTCGTATGAACTCAATAATTAATGATCGATATGAACAGTTTCTTCAGAATTCCCAAACTCCATTGCAGCGTATTTCTTGCACTACATGAATAGTTGTTTGTAGTAATTGTACGGCACTTGTACTTCAGTATACAGTGCAGATGTTCGTTTAGAGCTGATACGACCACAGCAGGGTGCTTGCACTGCGGACACCAGCCCAAACAGCTCACCAGCATGCAACATTACACAATATCATGGTGCTTGCAGACATCAGCCCAAACAGCTCACCAGCATGCAACACTACACAATATCGGATGAAGCAAGGGTTGCATCAAAACAAGCACCTTTGCTGGATCATGAGTAGCACAGATCAAAATGAAGGTGCATGCATGGCATAAAGAGTATAATTATAAGCTCCCAGTGAGCTCATTTACTCTTGATGGCATCAATAGAATAAAATAATAATATTGAAGATGATTGGAAAGCCAGTCTGATCACTGATCAGTGATCACATTCATGAGCTAGTATTAGTTGTCACACTGGTAGATAGCACCAATTGATTTCACATCTACCGGTATGCAGAAAAATGTTGGCCACGGGCAAGTAAAGTTAGAGATTTGTCAGTTTGCCCTTTGCCCCCTCCGATACTGAATGAAACTGCACGCACAGAGTGGGAAATTTAAAGTTTGTGCATGGCTCCCAAACAACCGAACATGAAAGGGAAAGGATCGCAATGTCCATGTCAAATTTGGTGCCCAGCCATTAACCTGGCTGCCTTGGATCACAGTAAAATATTGTAGCCATAGACTCTGAGCAGAGAGCTGGTAAAGACATGCACCAGTCCTTGTACGAGCATCTGACGATTTCTCGAATCACGCGCACACAGATTCACACTGGTTTCAATTTACAGTTACCACTTGTAACTGAGTTGCAGAGTTCAGCATGCAGGTACACATGCAGTTCATTGCAGTACCGTGGAACACGACGGGTGACGTTAGCATGAAGGACAGCACATGAAACAACCATTGTGACAGCAGAGCACCTTTGAACAGAAAACACAGAGTACACAGGAGCACAGTGTACTAGTATGTAGTTACGTGGACAAACTACAAACTCCGGACACTGAATAGATGCGTATTGAATTGCGGGTGGGTTACGGGCAGTGATGCGCGGGTGGGTTATGGGTAGAAATGTGCGGGTGGTGTGAATACACGGTCTACATACAAGCCAACCAGGCCATTATCAGCTTGGCCGACAGACGTGCTATCAGATACGTGGCCACGACATGAAAGACAAACGGCTGGCCGGAACACTACTGAGAAATCAGAAAAAAATATAAAAAATTGTTCGAGTAAAATATAGCATGTTGACGGAAACACAGTGCCAGTTTGATCCCTGGGAGGGCACGGAAGGAAGGCAGCAACCAACGCTGAAATGGTGAACCAGGTGGTCTGTAGTACACGTAGCTACACGACTGCATGTGTACGGGCGCATCATCACATCACATCGCAGTGAGCAGGACGTGCGGTGACATGTACAGGGCGCCGTAGGCAGTGCTGCCCCAGTCACCATACAGGAAACACAACAGTATACTTGGAAGTAGGAGATCCAGTCATTGCAAAACAAGCAGTTCTTTATAAAAAAAAACCCAGCTCCACTGGACACAAGTCGATTGCACCTAGATAGACATAAAACTCTGCAAATTGTAAGAGCCGACAACGAGCATGGTGTTGAAATAGTTGGATTGCACAGTGCGTGAGCAGGCGGACAGTCTGAGCGGAGTAAACCTTCTCTAGGGAACGTACGTGTACATGTACGTGGTCCCGCCGACTTGAGCTCGCAATTCAACGTGGCAGCGGGCAAGCCGTAGTCTCACGGGCTGGTACTGTCTGGACAGGCCGAACCTGCTCTTGGCAAGAGCGTGCCCTCAACGCAACTTGGCTGGTATGTTTGGCTGGCCTTCTCGCTGGGACCCACTGCAAGTTCATTGCTAAGTGTGGGAAAGTAGTTGCCGGCTGGGTCTTAGTCATGTTTGGAAAGCGGAAAGCTGGAGAAATCAAAGACGAAAAAATACCACATATTTTCGTACGAAGGGATGATCAGTGAGTCTATCACTAGTACCGGAACGACTTGTATAAACACCTGTCTCACATGACAGCCTGCTTTGGATACAAGTACAAGGATCCTTTCAGGATGGACCATTGGCATATAAGCCTGGAGTTCAGCAACAAGCTTGATTAGAATAGAAACATAACCCTCACATAGACTTGTAAGGTGGTAATGCTACAAGAACAAGCCTGGCGTTTATACCCAATTGTACCAGGGGCGTTCATACCAAGCTGCTAAGAAGAGAACCTGATACAGTACTGCTGACATTAATGAGAGTTCTTTGTAGAAAGGAGAAGGGACACATGGATACGACTTATGAGTAACTGTCCACCACTCTAACTAAATACTATACAGTCAGAATGTGCGACAACTATAAAATAAAAGCCACCAAACCGACAGAGTATTGAGACATATAACGACCTGACACCTAGCTATCTCCGATGCACAAACCAACAGCTCTCCACCTTGGAGCATTCACGGCTAATACTGACTGGCTAGTTTCGAAAACTTCACCACATCAAATATGGAGTGGCCAGAAAGTAGTGCTGTGCACCACACACTTTTAACACAGCTGTTCGAGGCTGCATGGTTCACTTCGATATGATTGATCACCACACACTTGTCTCTACCAGTCACATATTCAGACTACGTTCTGAACCAAATACTACAGAACTGAGCTTGCCGGAGCATAGCCCAGCTGTCAATGGTCAGGAGGCTCCGAGCAGCACCCGGTTACCATACCTGATTAACTCCTTATCTATCGGCGAGCTAGGAGTTGGACTTTGAGTCAGCTCGGCTGCTGCCCCCGCCACTTCTTCCACTGTCCGCCTACATTCATCATGGGGAAAACACGGGGAAAGATAGAGAGAAACCACGTCAAAAGTCAAACAGAAAAACGGAAACTTTGGTCAAAAAGGCCAGAACTAAACAAGAATTTATATACCGTTTTGGAAAAAGTGTGACTAGTAGCTACAAGTAGTAGCAAGACACTCAATACAGGAGTTTACAAATCGTTGCTTGCTCAACAGCTACCCGGCCATACCTGAGATTTGCCTTCTGATCGCCGCGAATCTCCGCCACCACGCTCCGGGCGCGACGACTTGTGACGCGATTCTCCGCCGTGATGCTCCTGGCGAGAAGATCTGTACTGGGAGCCACTTCCTCCGCCTCGCTCGCCGCGATCCGCTCTCTCACTTCTTTCACTGCGATCTCCCCTCTCGCTTCTCTCAGCACGACCTCCTCTCTCGCTTCTGTCACTGCGATCCCCTCTCTCGCTTCTGTCACCGCGATCCCCTCTCTCGCTTCTGTCACCGCGATCCCCTCTCTCGCTTCTCTCACCGCGCTCCAACCGTGCACGTGGTTGGTAAATCTGCTGTGCTGGGCGCTATTATGCACGCATATTAAACCAAAACACAACAAAAGAAACAACACAAGGACTTGTTATTATATGCTTTCCATTAGATACTTAGCTCAGTTTAGTCCACCATTGTCGCAGTCGAGTCTTGTCTTTGTTCAGTCAACCTTTGCATTGTAAATCCCTTTGATAATACAAAAGATTACTTCCTCATGTAATCGGTGCCTTGTGTCTGGCGGACATAATTCAGTCATAAGAATACGGGTGCTCCAATAATATAGCAATTGATAACATTGGCGCCCAACGTGGGGCTCGAACCCACGGCCCTGAGATTAAGAGTCTCATGCTCTACCAACCCTGCCCGTTGATGACACCGAAGGATGTGCGCCGCAACCTCCGGCAAGCCCGCCGTCGCCGGACCCCCGCCTTCGTCGCACGATCTCGACGACGAGCGGAAGCCCGTCTTCGACAGCGGGCCCGGGCCGTTCCTCTGTTGTACATGTCCCCTGTAAACCCATACTCACCCCCATGTAGTACCATTTCCCGCTGCCCCTGCATGCAATAATCAGTACCATACACATTTGTAGCCCGTTTTCCATCCTTCTGACCCTGCACATAAAACCACCGTACATTTGATCTAAATACATCCCTTTCTACTGTACATAGCCACCGGGCTATACACATATAATATACGCGTCAAATAATTGGGCGATGCATTGCACCGTACGCATTTATTGTAGTAAGATTTCATGTATAACGAGACTTCCCCAGAATCTACAAGTAATAGTCAGCCGAATCTTTGGTCGAGTAGTCTAAGCTTTGGTCTAGTTATCGTCAGTCTAATCTTGTCTCGTCCAGTCGTCCACTCTTGTCCCATCTTCTATCAATAATAACTCAATAATACCCGATATCTACTTGGTGCCTTGTGTTGGACCGGGACATAATAAGATTGAGAGATAGACCCTCTAAGCCACCTCTTCAGAAAAAAATCCTCGAAAAGTCAAAGAGTGACGATCGAAGAAAAAAGAAGTGGAAAATGGCCGCTCAACCAACCTGGATTATGCCCCGTCCCTTTCCTGGTAAAGAAAACAAGGATTTTGAAGCCTTTCGCTGTTGGTTGCAGCAGTCCCTTTTTGAGAAAGTTCTTCGGAATATTGCTCACGAAGCTCCCGCAATTTTTCTCGTATAAATTTCTAAGCGATTGGATAACAAACACCCAATTTCGGAAATTTTATGCACAAAGTGATCACAGATTTAACGTGGTCTAGATGCTGGCCTAACGGTTTTTTGAAACCAGAGGTCTGGACTTTCTAAACACACTATAGCCCTAATTGTGCACCACAGATTTTCACACCAATTTTGCGTCCCCGTGGTACAATTCTAGGTGTACCACAGATTCCCACCCCAATTTTGCGTCCCCGTGGTACAATTCTATGTGCACCACAGATTCCCACCCCAATTTTGCGTCCCCGTGGTACAATTCTACGCGCACCACAGATTCCCACCCCAATTTTGCGTCCCTGTGGTACAATTCTATGTGCACCACAGATTCCCACCCCAATTTTGCGTCCCCGTGGTACAATTCTATGCGCACCACAGATTCCCACCCCAATTTTGCGTCCCTGTGGTACAATTCTATGTGCACCACAGATTCCCACCCCAATTTTGCGTCCCCGTGGTACAATTCTACGCCGAGTGTGAAACCAGATGTCTCCGTTTCCACTCAAGGCTATGGTGGTACAGGTGCTAAGCAGAGTACACTCATATCAATCTTATCCGGACCTCGAAGGTACAGGTACTACCAAGAGTACATAACCTTGGGGATTATGTACTCTTGGTAGTACTGTAACTGGGTCAACCGGGCACCCTGTGGGCGAGTTCTAGGCATATTACTACTCTTTTGCCAACATTCTGTGGAAATAGTGACGTCACATGCCAGATCTCTGGCCCTTCCTCGTTGAAACGTATGGGATTCAGAGTTGCGGACATTTCAAAGTTATGGGTAGTACCTGGTCCCGGACTGCCCGGATAACGAGATATGAGTGTACTAGTACTGCTGGTAGTAGCCATGAAGTTCCTTCACACCTTAGTTTAGCGCTTGGAGCTGGTTGCAAACAATCACCGTGTCCATTACGGTACGCGTGGCGATACCTTTGTGTCAAGAAACAGACACATCCTATAGATTTGCATTGTAGCCGGGACACTTCAGTTAGTTACGAACCAGTTTCCAGGGCCTTTGACATCACACTTGCTAGCCCCGCTACTCATATCTCGTTATCCGGGTAGTCCGGGACCAGGCACTGCCCAAAACTTTGAAATGTCCGCACCTCTGAATCACGTACGTTGCAACGAGATACGGAAAACTCGGCCTCCAGTCGAGTCTCATTCAAACTGTTTTTTGTTTTGTTTTGTTTTTGCTAGCAGCAATGGTTTTCACCTACCTTTTTACGTGACGGCTGCTCCTTTCCACCACCACCACCACCACTGTCCGTAGCAGGAGCAGCAGCAGCAGGCTGGCTATCTGAGCCATTACTGCTAGCATCAGCAGCACTAGCAACACCGCTGGAGCGGATCAGCACCTTACGCGGCTCAGCGTCGGCTTTCTCACCTCTACCAGCATGTTCTGTGTCACCGCTGCTAGCACTTGCACTGGCCGCTGCAGTCCGCTTGGGCGGCGCGTGGTCACGGTCGCGGTGCTTGGACGACTTCTCCGGACGGCGTGGCTCGGCACGCTCTGACCGTGCACTTGGCTCGTGCGCGTCTACACTGCCCGATGCACTATCACCATGGGGTGTTCCCTTACGACCGCCGGACGAGTCCTTCGAGCGACCTCCACCGCGTGACGAGGAGTGGCCACTGCCGCCACGGCCATGCGTGCCACCGTCATCGTACGGGTCTTCTCGACTCGCCCTCGACCCGCCGCTACTGCTGTCGAATGCCTTTGTTGAAGAGGCACTGCCACGGCCACTGCGTCCGGAGCCGTGCGGCTTCTCAGCATGGTGGCCGCTTTCTTTGTAGCGGTCCTCTCTTCCATCGACACCAGCGCTGGTAGCACTGCTACTAGTCTTGACACTAGCTGCACTGCTGCTGCTGCTACTGGTCTCGCCGCGTTTGCCCTGCGAGCCGCCGGTGTGCTCCTGGCCTTTGCTGCTGCTACTGCCGCCGCTAGCGCGAGTCTTTCCACGACTATCGCCAGCATGGCGAGATGCAGGCGCGCCTCTCTCTTTCTCGCGGTGCGAGGAGAACGATGCATCGGTCGTATGGGAGTGCTTGCCTGAACTTGAGGAGCTCTCACCGCTGGTCGCCGCCGGCTTGGAGTTTGGTGGGCGGCTGCTGGACTTCCCTTTCTCAGGTGCAGGGTGCTGAAGCACATACAAATAACATGTAACGACATACTGTACTCATTCCAGCTGTTTCAAAGTATAAAGTGAGAAATAACTTTGAGGGATCTTGCAGTTTCATCTGTAGAAAGTGAGTGGACAGCGACATATATTTTTTCAATTACAGCTCCCATACGAGTCAGTCAGACTAACTTTCCTGCATCCGCAGGAATGCTACCGAGCGATATCATTACTATGACTGGAACAGTGTCAGTTGCATCATGCTACTGCATACTTGTGGACAACAAACTCAGAATGGTAAAACTCCCCTAATCCAAGCACATCAGTATATACCAGGCACCTTTCTGACCGCTCTACAGCCATAAAATCGGCTTTTCAACGAAAAACAGCCCCCAAAACTATTTTCATAAAAAGTGTTTATTCGCATGCAATACGTATGTATGTACTTAGTTACCGTCCAGGATGCTCGGTCCCAACCTGCCCGGAAAAGGCGAGTTCTACTGTACTACAGTATAAAAATCACAGAGCTATTTCAATGTCATGGTCAGGTACAGAACAGTATTCCCCGGGTGCAAAGAAAAGCACGAATCAGGCTGGGAAATCTACACGACAGGCATACACACCTCTTCATAGTCCTCTTTTGAATGACTGCGGCTTGGCTGCGAGTCCTTCGTTGATTTCCCACCACTACTGGCCTCACTTTTCTTCTCCTTTGCAGACGTAGTTGGACGACCACCAGCTGGCCTGGCAGCTGCTTTAGAAGTACTTGCAGGAGCATGCTTCTCTGCAGGCTTTGCTGTCTGAAGAAAGCCAGAGGACAGAGAACAAGCCAAAAGGAAACGATGCAGTTTATCATTATGCTTTGGGACGATAGGGTCCAGATAGAAGCCCAGCGGCATACCTTTCCAGTTGCTGCAGCTGACGCACGAGTTGGTGGTGGCCGACTGGTGTGCCGCTGACGAATAAACTCTATTAGAGGGGTATGCTTCTTTAGCTCTGTAATTGGACAAACACACGCAGGTGAACATATTGGTAAACACACTCCAAGGAACAACTTCAGAACTTTTAAAATAAAAATGTCATCTCGGGTTGAGCCAAAAATCTCGGCCGGGGTATAGCGAGAGACCAAAAGCGGCAGATTACTACTAGGACGGCCTGACCTTTTAAACTCCGAAAATAATATGGCAATGGGATTGAACAGGAATGTCAGGTGAATGATGTACCATTGCCTCCTTGGACCAAGACCAGTTGACTCACTGCCCAGAGAACTACTTTGAAGTACATGTTCCGAAGTTGTATTTCAAATTTTAATGCACAGCAGTTGTCCTTCAAAGCAGCGTCAATAACAAAACGCACTTGTCTCTGACTGTTGGTGAGGTCCAGTGCCGCAGCAGACAAGCTGGTTCAGCAATGAATCCACTGCATCCATGTGCAGTTGTCATCTAGTATGTGCTCTCAGTGTCAGCTAAACAGCCAGGGCTACGTAATCCAGGCAGCTGCGGAAGTTTCTGGCTTAAAAAAAAAGAACTTTCTCTCAAGCTTTAGTCAAGGTCATTCGTAGTTTTTGATTCTCAGGGAAGTGCAAAACAATCCATCTCAAACTACTCGTTGTCACACTTGTATTGTGTGGAAGCTCCATGTTGTGAACAGCTAGCAGTACTACATTAGTATTTTCAAGATATATCGTCATAAGCCTGGTTTTAGTGTAGACATACATGGAAATACCTGGCTTGAATAGAAGCCCGATGTGAATAGAAGCCTAGCCCTGACATCGGCTTCTACAAGAATAGGCCCAGCTTTAACCCTTTACCATCCGTGCGTACTTGAATCGATCAGATGGACATGCATACACTAAAACATTCGTAACTCGCAATTCTTGTCGGAATTTAAATAACTAAGTATCTAAAAAGAAGCCGAAGAGCTCAGCTTTCCATTGCATCAATCGGTAAAGAGCTGCGATGTCGCATTCCAAAGATATTTCGCTCGACATTTCAGCTATGGCAAAAGTCGAATTTCTTTCGGAGTGACTGACCTTGAGCGTGGATTTTCCCTTCTCCTGACAAGCTGAGTCACTTTGACATGCTGTGAGCGCGTGGGCAGCATGAAAAGAAACCGAAGCAAAACATTTGGAATGTTTACGATGAAGGAGCGAGAAAAGGCTGGCGAGGAGAGAATTTCCTCGTATATCCAGCGATGGGGTGTATTTGAAGCTCCCTGGTGCTGGATATGTGATCTCGGTAGTGTCCTGTTTGAGCTCAATGTACGCAGCTCGTGGAGAGCTTTCCAGAATGCCCAAGATTGTGAAAATTGGTTGATTAGAACCGAAGCTATTCTCAGAATAAGGTGAGAATTATTGCATTTCAGAATGCTGGGGAAATTTGGTCGGATGGTAAAGGGTTAATATGCGACATTACGGTACATAACAAGTAAGAGGCCAGCAACTTGCAGCAAGGCATGATAAAAGAAGCAAGTCACACACCTTCTTCTTCCTTCTGTTTCTGATCGTCCTCCTCTGCAAGGGCTTCCGGTGGTGGTGGGGGCTCCTCTTCCGTTTCCAAAGTTTTCAGAAATGCAACATACTCCGGATCTAAGAATATCAATATCAGAAACAGCAGGCATCAGAAAACACCTCCTTCTATTCACCTCATTCTGGTATACATCCACATGTGCAAAGGCATAACTTCACAGTTTACAGGATCAACCAAAGTCAAATGCAGGTGCAAAATCACACACACACACACACACCTCAGACCTCAGACATGCCCATCGCGGAAGCGATGATAGCGAACAGCTATGTTAGACATAGCAACTTGTGCTGGGATTACACCATTCAACAGCTTGCAAGGCTGATGAATTGACCGCACACACACACACACACACACACACACACACACACACACACACACACACACACACACACACACACACACACACACACACACACACACACACACACACACACACACACATACACACACACACACACACACACGCACGCACGCAAGCACACAGTGCCACATACACACACTGACAAACAAACGTACATACAAACACACACAAATACATACACACATAGTGGCCAAACAACCTTACCATCGCACAGGCTTCCCATTTTAGGGTCAGTTTTCTTGCGAGTTCTTCGTGCCACCTTCTGGTAGGGAGCAAACTCCACAACCACTGGGCATTCGCGACCTATTTGGCAAAGCAAAAGAAAAAGACTGTTAATCCAATTCAAGCCTGTCACATGCAGCTAATAGAATGGCAGACATGGCCAACTTTGATCTGTAGACAGTGGTGTATTGGCCATATGCCTCAAGTTACGTCAACTGAACACCACTTAGCATGCTAGTGATAGAGAGGCTCGGCTAAACGTGAAACGTAGAGAAATCACGTAGAGAGCAGGTGCCTAAGGCTTCGAGTTTGCGTGTTTTGGGTCCAGATTTCTATGCGTAGATGAGGTTCTCTACGTTGTGGCACACGCAAAGAATACACATACGGATCTGCTGGGTATCATTCAAAAGCAGGCAGCAAACTGTGTCTTAAGCAGCAAACTTTTCACCATAAGTTGTGGTTTCGTGACTTTCATAACTTTATAAGAGCAAAAACCATCGGCATTGGGCAAACGCTGGCCACATCTATTCCAGCGCGTGCTGGTTTTGTCTTGAAGCAGGTTATCACATTTCTATGGAAGTAGTATTAAGAGAGAGAGAGAGAGAGAGAGAGAGAGAGAGAGAGAGAGAGAGAGAGAGAGAGAGAGAGAGAGAGAGAGAGAGAGAGAGAGAGAGAGAGAGAGAGAGAGAGAGAGAGAGGGAGAGAGAGAGAGAGAGAGAGAACAAACTAGTGAAGCGCCCAGCCTATACCTGTACTATCCTTCCATAGCTGGCCGTCCATCAGTTCACGTACTCTGACAGCATCCTCGGGTCTCTTCAGATTGATGTACGCTCGGCAGAAGGCAAACGGTTCCAGACTCCTGCACACAAACGCACAACAACATAGAGGATTAACAATACAAATTGAGCTCTCTAATGAAAATACTCTAATTTCAGAAATTTTAGGTGCTCAATATTTTCGGTATGAGGGCAAAAGGCCAGGTTAGGTGAACAGAAAATTTAGGTACAGAGAAGCAGTTCCCTATTGGATTATGCGTGTTAGTGTTTGTTCGGTACATGTATATTGAAATTTTAGGTATGGAACAGATGCACCGAAAGAACCGAAAATAAAAGTACACCGAAAATTTCTGAAATTACAGTAGTCACAACCACCAAATACACATAATCCCGTGCATGTGTATACTATTGTAGATAATCCAAGCCGAAAGTGTCCATGTGTGTGTGTGTGTGTGTGTGTGTGTGTGTGTGTGTGTGTGTGTGTGTGTGTGTGTGCAAACTACCGCACGAAGACGACAACTTGGAACGACTCTGAGCATTGGCTCATGGAATGTTTGCTCTGTTGTGGAGAGTGATGGATCAGTTCGAGCGGCCGCCGTGAGAGGAATCGTTTCCGACGATAAGAAAATCTTTCAAATAGTTGAACATCTTGACAATGTGTGTGTTCTCTGCTCTGGTGGAGGACGGTTGTACTTTTCCGGGCTCTTGTTTCTGGCCTCCGTCCGTGCTTGTTCTCGCCGGTGTGGACGGCCTGGGGTGTCCCCAGCCGTCCAGGCCAACAGTGCCTGAGGTGGGGTATTCACCGACAGGAGACTTGGTCAGATAGTTACGATGCCGACACTCTCCTCGTCGCCCCCACCTCGGAGTCCTTCGCGAGGCTTTGCAAGCCCGCGAGTGGAGCAAACTACCGCACGAAGATGACGACTTGGAACGACTCTGAGCGTTGGCTCATGGAATGTTCGCTCTGTTGTGGAGAGTGATGGGCCAGTTCTAGCGGCAGCCGTGAGAGGAATCGTTTCCGATGATAAGCCAGAGCCATAGCTGCTGGAGATGGCTCTCTCGAACATGGTCCCGCTCGTCGTTCTATATTGTCGGCCCCGTAAGGGGACACGTGACCGTAATGGCAGTGTTTACCAGGACCAGGACCAGGTGTGTGTGTGTAGCTATCATCGCCTTCGACGATGGGCTTTCCAAAGGTCCCAAAGGTGTGTGTGTGTGTGTGTGTGTGTGCGCGTGTGTGTGTGTGTGTGTGTGTGTGTGTGTGTGTGTGTGTGTGTGTGTGTGTGTGTGTGTGTGTGTGTGCATGTGTGTGTGCATGTGTGTGTGTGCATGTGTTTCAAATCTTTATTCTCACAATAGCCAGTGGCCAATAAGAGATTGTGTTGTACTTATGGTTGATAAATATGGTGGTAAAGACACACCTGGCAACATGCAGTAAACACACGCCTGCCCACACACGCTCTCTAGGCTGCAAAGTTCTGGCACAGAGCTCTCCTTCTCACCACCACCACCACCATCAGTTCGCGCCTGGCGCCTGATCGATGCATGGTTGGCGGTATCCGGCATAGCAGGCTGGTACATCAAGTAGCGCATGGCACATAGAAGATGACACAGCAACGACATAGCTCGATTGCGACGCACGTTTCGTCCCCGCTGGACTCATCAGGGAATCTTCTTCTTGGATGTCTTCATACGGAGCTTGACTCGGGAGAATGAAGTTGAAGACACCACTGCAGCTGTACTTATGGTTGATAAATACGGTGGTGAAGACACACCTGGCAATATGGCGGTAAACACACGCCTGCCCACACACGCTTTCTAGGCTGCAAAGTTCTGGCACAGAGCTCTCCTTCTCACCACCACCACCATCAGTTCGCGCCTGGCACCTGGTCGATGCATGGTTGGCGGTATCCTTTGCAGCCTAGAGAGCGTGTGTGGGCAGGCGTGTGTTTACCGCCATATTGCCAGGTGTGTCTTTACCACCATATTTATCAACCATAAGTACAGCTGCAGTGGTGTCTTCAACTTCATTCGGGATGCACTGTAGACGGAAATATTCCGAAGAGGTAGTCACGGGAAGAGAAAGAGGATTTTGCCACCTGATGTGACGACATTTGCGGTGAGATGGAGGAAGAAAGCTGATCCCCTGATCCGAGTGCGTGTCCCGACTCACCAACTTCTCGCCGTTTGCACGGTGTGATACATGTCAGGCGAGATGCTGGAGCAGAGAATGTGACCGGATTTACGTCACAATCTTGGGAAAGAGTTCAACAAGTTCTTGCCAATTGGAAAATAGAGGCTGTCATGTCAACAGTTCCGTGGCCTTTGCTGAAAATCCGTGGCCGGATGATGCAAGCTACCATCGTCAATGCTATCAGCAGCTCACAAATAAGACTCTGTTAGAGTGTGCTGACAAAGTAGTGAAGGATGTTGAAGATAGGCGTTGAACATCCCTAAAAGTCACTCCAGATGTACACAGCTGCATTATTGCTCCAAGATGGATACGAGGTGTGGACTTGCTGTCAGGAAAAAACTCTCCAGAAAACATCTCTCTACCAGACTGAGGCTGCTCCTGCAACAAAGCTGACCAATGCCACTCAGCACGAGGTGCATTTTCTGAGTGACCATTCGAAGTCTCTTCCAAAACCATCATGGCCTCCTTTGCCTGAGGCACACCTCAGCCAGCGGTGATGAGTGTATTCCAAAAGACCTACACAACTTCTTGGCAAGCTCGACCAGCTACGCATGTGGCATTAGCTGCAGTAAAGCTCTCCATCATTCCGAAGCCATCCATCGTCTGAGATTCGTCTCATCTGATGCTGAATCTGCTTGGTCACTGCCTTTTATATGCCCAAGCAATGGCAGGAGAGCTGAATGTCACCAACATCAGTTAAAGGGGAAGTGCATCAATTTTTCAAGTAGGGTCCAGAAGAAAGACAATTTGATATCGGTTCGAATGGCATATCTCTCGCTTCCATACAATAAGCCAAACTTGCCAAATCGCCAATTGTATGCTCACGTTGCCATAGCGACCAGCGGAGTGATGACGTACGAAAGGCTTAGCTCCTCCACAGAGAAGGTCGATCACTGCATAAATTGGTCATTTTCAATTGTCTTATTGTATTCACGATGTGAAAGAAGTGCTGTGTTCAATGCTGTTAGTGCCGTGAACTATTTGTCGCCCTTCTCATGCATTTCCCTAGGCTGACTGTGCCTTGGAAATGGTTTCCTCCAGGACAAGATGCTTGGAATTCGCCGTCTCTCCTGAGACATTTTCAGCAAACTTTCAAACCTACGACATTATTTCATTCGTCAATCTCCACCACCCGTCGTCTCACCTGGCTTCAGAAGATATTACGAGAGATAGGAGAGTCGCCAGGAAGCATCACATTCATCTTCAGGAAGTGGAAAGAGCAAACGGCATGGTCCTTGGTTGGGGGAAATGCTGAACGTCTGATTTGTCCCAACCAAGATTTCAGCATTTTGTTCGTCACTATTTTCGCTTGTCTGCTGGTGTCTCCGCGCTCCAGCTTTCTCCTATCGGTGTCACGTCCCAGTACACAACTGAGAGGACTACTAACAAACAGTTCACTGCACTTACAGCATTGAACACAGCCCTTCTTTCACTTCGTGAATACAATAAACCAATTGAAAATGACCAAATTCTGCAGTGATCGACCTTCTCTGTGGTGGAGCTAAGCCTTTCGTACGTCATCACTGCGCTGGTCGCTATGGCAACGTGAGTATACAATTGGCGATTTGGCAAGTTTGGCTTATCGTATGGAAGAGAGAGATATGCCATTCGAACCGATATCAAATTGTCTTTCTTCTGGACCATACTCGAAAAATCGATGCACTTCCCCTTTAAGTTGTGATCATGTGTGTGCCTTTTTTCGCACTACCTTATTCACCTGCACAGGTCCGTTTCTGGCACACATGCTCACAATGTGTTACCTCTTGTATGCTCATGTCTGTTTCTGGCTGTGCTGCCACTCACGATGGACCCCCGTTTATGATTTTTGTTTGTCTTTGAAGCTTCTTCTCCGGTTGTATTCATCTTTCAAGTTTGTTTTGCCGTCGCATCTTGAGCAACGTAAACATCTTTGAACTCCGTGGAAATTTTGAAGTTCGCGGCACGACAAGCTATCATGAGTTGTACAATTTCTGACAAAGATGTTCGCTGTTCTGTTTGATTCTGAACTGCTGTTCTCACTGCTCCAGTGAACCTGATCTGAATCCGGATTGACCAATCAAACATGCCCCAAAGGTGCGTGCAGTACATTGTGATTGGTGTTACGGAAAGCCTGATACAGGTCCACTAGAGGGTAGCTAGCCGAGTGCAAACAACAAACTGAGTGCACACTGAGCCAAAGGAAACATGGCGAAGCAACACCACGGCAATGTGTGGCCTATAGAGTAACTTCAAAGTTCAAAGCTATGTGCACCACCGGTAGATCACGCCTTACCTGTCACTTTTGCAAAAGTACAGGAACTCATGCTCCGGAGCATCTTTCAGACGCTCCCGGAGCTCACTCTCGGTGGTTGCCGGTGGAAGACGACGAAAGATGACCTACGTACAAATAAAACCCAGGTACAACGTGGTCTGAAGCTGAGGTGGCAAAGTATCCACTTCAGAGAATTAAACAACAAGCTAATGTCACTCTTTCCGCCTCCTAATGTACATACACATTGGAACATCCTCTGCCGTTGCCTTTCAACATTAGGGAGGTTTCGCTCTACGGAATTACGTATGAAAATAACGTAGGAACTGCACGGAATTTTCATACGTAAAAATCAGAGCTGCTGGGTTTCGCTCTACGTGATTTATCCACGACTGCTAAACAAGCGTTGTTGCTTTGGAGACGAGTTGGCTGCATGCGCCCACCACATGCACGATAAACTGAAACTGCGTTTTCCATCTTATTTTGCACGTGGTGTACGGTGTGTGTACCTTATGTTTCGCGCGGCTTGAACGTTGCCGTGGACAAATGCGGAAAATGCGGAAAAATATTTCAAAAAGTCCTACGGAGGACCCAACGTAGGAAAGCGCTTTCCTACGGAAATCCGTAGAGAGATTTACGTATGAAAGCTGCCCTCGCTCCCCGGCGCGTACGACATACGGATTTTCATACGTAATTACGTAGAGCGAAACCTCCCTATTGTCTACAGCAGAGCCGGTTGTGATGCAAAATTGATACAAACTCAGCACCTTTCCACCCCACTCATAATCGTGAGTACATGTACTACATATTACAGTCGTAAATTAGTACATGTACTGTTTATAAGAGATGCACATAAGTGCCTTGATCCTTGAGGGTGGTGGCGTTCCTGCGTATGCGGAAATATCAGTCTGACTGAGTTCAACGCGAGCCGTGGTATTTATTTATGGTATTATTCAAATTTTATTTTATTCATAATGTCCACAGCTACAGGACACAGTTCACTCTACGGCATGGACTATAAAACAGAAAGGTTCCAGGCTGTCCACAACAGTGCTCAATGCCCGAAGGGCAGAGCTACTTACAACAAGTAGAAGATGAAAAACATCTGCCTGATGATCACCTCGTGCGTGAAACCCAGTAACAATGAATTTTTCATCCTCTACTTCCAATATTAAAAATGATATAAAGCACGCCAATATTGATATTTCGGACTGTTTTTGAACTGGCTCTAGACAAGAAAAAATGGCTGATGCTTGTGGAAAAATGTGCTGCGCTTGCGTAGTTGTTCTTACTGCGATATGTTCTAACAATATTGAGATGCCTTTTGTTGGCTCTTCTGCCTGGATTTCATTGACAGATGCGTTAAGCCCACGGATCCTTCCATAAGTGACATGCAAACTGTAACTATTATTATTATTATTATTATTATTACTTCTTGTATGGCATGAACGATTATGTTTGGGGATGAAGGCGGCACAGATAAAGTCATGTCAGCTACACAGTCACGCTACACCCGCTGGACGGCACCTTTAGTACTGTCAGACCTAGCATAACCGCACACATCCGTTTTCCACAAAAATATCCGGATAGGCGAGGGAACCGGATAATCGAACACACATACTGTACGTATGCATGACATGTGCTGCAAATCGGTAGCCAACGATTTTCTCCCGGATGGCGAGGGATCCGGATAAAAGAGGACCGGATAAGCGAGGTCTGACTGTAACTAGCTATCCATCGAATATTACGTGACATACTCCGAAGTAGAACGTCGCATAGGAAACGAAATGGAGTCCAGCTCGAAATCTTACCGCCTGGCTACAACCGGTATGCTCTAGCATATACTTCAGGGCCGTAGCACCCATTCCGCCCATGGCCAGACCTTATTTTGAAATACAGGTGGAATCCTGATAATTCGAACCTCGAAATTCCAGGAAAAAACTTCTAATTATCCGACCATTCTAATTATCCAAACATCAACCCACAACACAATATGCATGTCAAAATGCTCTCATGGTCACGCAGAGTTGCCCTATGGACCTTAGACACAGATTTCACAGATACTGAACTTCGAATTACACTTTGCTAACTTCGAATTATCAGAACAAATCCCACACATTTTCTATGTGAGTGGAATCCGTGGAACTTCTAATAAACCGGACGGTTCGAGGTTCGAATTATCAGAAAATTCTATGTGGGAATCGTATTGACCGAAATCGGTCCTGGAAAAGCTTCTAATTAAGCGGTATTTAAACAAACGGCGAGGAGACAATAATTTGATAACCGCAATCAATAAGACAAGCTGAATCGACATGTGTGTATACTTTATTCATGCAATGTAAAACGGTGAAGACAATGTGAAATAAAACGATGAAAATAGGAAGAAATAGTGTAGAGAAAATTAGGATTCAGCTCGTCTTATTGATTGCCGTTATCAAATTAAGCGGTATGTTCGAACTAAGCCATATTCGAATTATCAGCATTCCACCTGTAGTTGTCCCACTCAATTCGTGCAAAATGGGTGTTTTCGTCAATAATTTTTTATTTCCCGTCAAGCATCCCATTTGGCCGGACCACCTAAAATCCCAGTGCTACGGTCTCGTACTTGCTGGCTTTATCATCGCCAGCATCTACAGGAGTAGTATCTAGGCATAATGCAGTGCCTCTGTTGGTGCATGGACTTTTGAAATGTTACTGCGTGCATGCCCCTGCCAAATGTCTCCACCCAGTTATGGTACTATAACTATTAGACATGGTAAAATGTAAAATGTGGATGTCTGCAAGAAACATATATCCACGATAAGACTACTTCATCAGCTTACTCGAGTTTGAGTTAGTTCTTTAGCGGCACGACGCGACAAGACTACATCACTTGACTTTTTCGCCTTGGCCATTCCACTAAAACTTCATTTGAAATCGAGATACAGGTTGGAATATGACAGCTATCGAATAACAGTTGAATATTCCGCACAGCTTCTCTTGCTACTTTCCAGACCAGGCCCGGAGAATATCTTCGAAAGTACACGTAACGACTACATTCAAAGTAATTCCACATCCGCATATATGCAGCTACAAGACCTTCACTTTCTTTTCGGAGTTTGCTCCGTTTGAGATGAGAAAGATTTCAAGAGGAAGGCCAAAATGTGTTTGCAAAAATGGGACTACTCACAGCCATTACGTCATGATAAACGCGTGTCCGCGATCCGTTGTTCTTGATTTGAGTTTTCGGGTACCGGGCGTGACTGTGACACCTGCCCCCCCCCCCCCCCGCGGCCCGGCCCCCTACACGTACACGTACAAAGGTAGAGCCCAGGGCAGGGAGTCGTCACATATTGACGACTCCCTGGGCCTGGCATACACCATGGTACTATTACGGTAGATAAACCTTGTTTTTGTTCAAACATGTTTATGTTGTTGGTTGACAGCATGTAACAAGGTGGAGGACACCGTGTTTGGAAACAGTGATCTTTCTACAACCATCCACGGTTAGTAGAGCCCCGGTCGGTTGCGACCATCAGAACCGTATGGGTCTTAGACCCGATTCTGACCCTCTCTTTTCGAGGGGAGTTTTTTTATAGACTGCTTGTAACGTCAAACTCCCCTAGAATAGAGAGGGTCAGAACCGGATCTAAAAGACCCATACGATTCAGATAGTCGCAACCGACCGGGGCTCTACCAACCGTGGATGGTTGTAGAAAGGTCACTGTTTCCGAACACGGTGTCCTCCACCTTGTTACATGCTGTCAACCAACAGCGCACACCATGTACCAGGGAGTTCGTCAAATATTTGACGACTCCCTGGCCTACATACACAAACACACATACACACCGTATTAGGCAATACTTGAGTCATCCTCAACGGGGATGACATGCAACCAGGCAAGAATTAAAGTTAGAACCGAGAATATCAGCATGCAGGACAGTCATGTAACGTGTAAGTATTTGAAGGAAGAGTAAAAAACTAATACGAACATAGGCCTTACAACTGTAGCAGAGGATCATGGCTATACATTGAAGTGATATGTATATCAAAACAAATAACTTCATTCAAGATACTGATACCTGAAAGAGCATTCAAGGGAGAGAGAGAGAGAGAGAGAGAGAGAGAGAGAGAGAGAGAGAGAGAGAGAGAGAGAGAGAGAGAGAGAGAGAGAGAGAGAGAGAGAGAAAGAGAGAGAGAAAGAGAGAGAGAAAGAGAGAGAGAGAGAGAGAGAGAGAGAGAGAGAGAGAGAGAGAGAGAGAGAGAGAGAGAGAGAGAGAGAGAGAGAGAGAGAGAGAGAGGGAGGGAGAGAGAGAGAGAGAGAGAGAGAGAGAGAGAGAGAGAGAGAGAGAGAGAGAGAGCAGTTTGGCGCAGTTCTCATTATGAACAGGTTCATCCGTGGGACACGTGTAACGTTATGCGTGTTGAAAAGAGACAGTATGTGCGCACACAATAGAGGGAGAACACAACATACCAGCAGCCAACACCCTATACATTATCAGGGTATTTATACTTCTGAAGTATGACAGAGTCACAGTGGACACTCCAACACTGACTATGTTCATGCAAGATAGGCTGCCACATTGACAGTGACAAGGATATAGACTGATAGAGGCAACATAGTTATAGTCTCTATAAAGGAGGTATAGAAACATCGATAAAGGTGAAGATCATCATCGTAGATGGAAACAAAAACAGTGTTCACTAATTTTGTACAAACGAACGAGAGTGCATCGGCGCATTGGTCTATGTATACTGTACAAACTGCTGGCAATCACAAATCAAGGCCATGCCTATGCAAAGGAATATTGTTTTCAACAACGGAGTGCTAGTGGGGAGCGGAGTAAAACAGATCAATATGTTCCAGACATACGCTTGCGGTGGGGCAGCCCTGCACAGCAGAGGTAGGCACTGATAATTTAATATTTAGAATGACGCACCCAATGGTCAGACTTCCGTTATCGTTTTCGTGCGGCGCAGGACTTTCAGCCGCTTCTCCAGGTCTTGTTTCTCCTTGCGAAGGCTCACCTTGCGCCGCTCATACTCACTCAGGCAAGACTGTAATGAATGCAGCATTGGGATGGCAAAGATGTCCATGATTGAACAAAGGGCTTGGGTGTAAACTGCGTCAGGAATGGAACAGAAAAAAGACACATAGCTCTTAGAGATGTGTAAGGACCCAGGTTGTTCAACTATTATTTGTATGGTTTTAAAGGATATTGGTGATTATTAAGGTACGCAGTAGACTTATTCCCCTGTCCACACACTGACACACAGTACTCAATACCACACGGGGCAGAGGTTCCTTACAAAGAAGGCAGAGCGAGATTTGTTCGCGACTTGAGTTTCCCCGCTGCACAACCATCAAGCATAACAATTCTTATGTCATTGAGCTAGCGACCCAAAGTGCATACGTCCCGGGAGGTGATGCAAAATTTAATGCTGCTGGTGGTGCACACGGACAAATACGAGTACAGTGATGTAATCGTAACTGGTCCAGAATGCCAGCTTTGCACGTTGGGTCGCATTCCACCTAACACAACTGTACACTCTGCACTCAACGCCGCCGGAAATCTGATGCCCTTCACAGCAGACTGCATCGTGCCCAGGCATATGTGCAGTACGTGTATCAACCGTCATACATGTCCGCTTATTCAAATGCGCTCGCTCACAAGCGTAATTGTTCATGCGGCTGAGTGGCATGGAAGTCAAATTGCGTTGGCCCTGACTATACTCCTAGCAAAAGACACTTTTCAATTGTAAGCACAGGGTGGTATTGCTGTAGCGAGGCGTTTGTTTCTATGCTCGTCACGGGTACTCAACATGAGGACAGAACTGTTCTGTGCTTTGTGCACTTACCAGCGCAGCACAGAAAAGTGGCCATCTACATTACATAAAAATCGCTACTTTTCGTAGCGTGAGCAGTCTGGCGCTAGAGTGACACGCTATCTCAATGTCTAGGGTGCAATCCTTGTGCCAGCATTGGGCATGACATAAAAATCTGTACATGTACTTTGATGATTTTTTTTGTAGCCGAGGTACTCTTTATGCGAAGTCCACGTTGTAGAACGTGACACACCGGGTCCTGAAGTGTACTACAGCGAAGCTGTTCAGTGTAAAGTACCCTGGATATAATATAACATTTATGATTATACTTCTATTGCATTGGATATTTAAAAGTATGCTTTCGAGGACCGTGCATATAATTTTCCAGACTTCGCATAGAGCATTCGCGCATAGAGTACATCGGCAAAAAAGTACAAAGTACAGAAATTTATGTCCCTCGGAGCTCCGGAAGTACGCTATACTGTAGGTTCACTGTATTCACCTGATGAGAAGGCTTCAAAGTACACTTGTGAAACCGAAAACTTTCAAGATGTTCGTATTAAAAGAGCCTGAAGTGTGTCCTTTTTCTGAGTATTATCGCATTCTTGTCTCAGAGGAAACTGTTCACTGTAATAGTTGTAGTTTATAGTTTACTCACTGATGTGACAGCCATGTACTATGCTGCTGTCCGCTGCACTTCTCTCATGGAACCACGTGCTACATTGCAATCCACTCATGGTTGAGTGGGGGCAAGTACTTCATTGCAAACTCAACCATAGGTGCTGCGCATGCATAGCAAGAAGCGCTTACCGGATATATTCTGCAAGAGAGCAATGACATCCTTATCTCCCGTCCTGCAGAAAACAGATGCAGGTAAAAAAACAAACATTTATAAAGTGCAAAAGAATGAGACTGCATGAAAACTATACTTAACTCTTCTTCCAAACACAAAGTGAGATAGCATGTATAGAATAGAATATTATGCTAAGTCCTGAGAGCTTATACTTTCCCTGTAAACACAGGGGGAAAAAAAGTTCATACCATATTATGTGTGCTATCAAACCGATTTACAGAAGTACAGTGTTGCTCAAGGAAATACGATCAGAGAATCAGCTTCGTGCACACTGGACGCGGGGAAAATCCCAGTGCTCGCAGGTCTAGGGCTGCCCAGTGCCCGGCGTGCGCTTGACTCACTCACTCGGATTTCATTGAGCAGCACTGTACTTTCACGTGTCGTTTAGGCAAGAGGAGATGCATCCACAGCATTTTCTTGTTTCCACCGGCTTTTTTCACCGGCTTTCAGCAAGAACGATGGCGGGTTCTTTGTCATCCCATTCTCATAGTGTTAGTTCCGGTAGGACGATGGAGCTTTTCAGAGTCAGCTGCACCTACTTTGAAGTACTTCTTCATGCAGTAAGTCAACTACCGTAAAGTACCGTTGATCCGCCCCCACGCCATGTTGCTTCCCAGCTGGTTTTCGGCAGGGGGTGGGAATTAGATCAAGGCTGTCAAGTGCAGTACGATGTACAACAACTTGGAGGATCAGACTCGATGTGCTAAATTGTGCACATTTTCATCCTGGATTGGCACATATTGTTGACAGCAGTGCAAGCATCGGTTCAACATCGTATTTTGTTGTATACGCCGAAATCGCTTCACAGGTAGAAAATCGACAGGGGGCGGGAATTAGAGAGGGGGCGGATCAACGGTACTTTACGGTAAAACTACAGCAGATGATTAGTTGTCTGTCATCCCTCCTCCTCCCCCCCCCCCCCCCCCCCCCTGATTTCTGTGATTTCAAAATAATGTTGGAGAAGAAGAAGTAAGTTAGTTGCTGCTCATCTGGAAGACTTCTTTTGCTCTGCTAGAGGGCAGGACAAATCAGAGTATAAGCGTTCCAGCAATATTGCTGTATGCGGTGCTTTTCAATGCCACTCGAATTCACCCAGTTTTCACAAAAACACTGCATGTATGCCTAAGTCATTACCCCAGAATGACAACTGCTCATATCTCTCTTATCCGGACCTCAAAGTTACGGGCACCCCGTGGGTGGGTTATTGTGGAAATATTACTTCGCTTTTGCCATTTTTTTGCAAAATAGGGATGTCATATGCAAGATCTCTAGCCCTTCCCCAATAAAAGATTCAGAGTTACGGACATTTCAAAGTTCTGGGCATTGCCCGTTCCTGGACTGCCCGGATAAGCAAGGTATGAGTGCACCAAAAAACAGTTCAGTACGAAGTACTCTGTATACTAGTACCAAGAGTATATAACCTCCCAAGAGTGTGCACCTCTGCATTATGGGGTCTCCGACGGCGAAAGCCCACGTCACGTGTCTCAGATACGTTCGTACTACGTACAAACGAAGGATAGCGTGCGCGCAATCCGAATACCTGTCATGATCATGCTGGGGATTTGCATACCCGCAGTGAGTTTCTGTCAGAGTGCTTTTTTTTATTACTCCGCAGCTCGCTAAAAACAGGCTGGAAACGTACAACTGCGACACTGCACCACGTGATGTGAGTTTTCGCCGTCGGCGTACCCCATAGAAAGGGTATCAGAAGTTGCACACTCTTGGGGGGTTATATACTCTTGCAAGTACAGTAAAACCTGTAACTAACGACCACCCCTTGGTGCCCGGAAAAGTGGTCTTTAGTGGCAGGTGGTCTTTAGTTACAGGTTTGCACCGCGCGACCATATATGGATCCCATTCTATGATATGTATGTCAAAATGCAGATAATACAATGCCCCAACACTTGCGCACTGACATTCTTCTTTCAGATCATACAACACTTGGAGAGAGAGAAAATCAAGTCTTTTATACACCGGAAGCGATACGACCTTTTGACCCGTATGTCGACTCACTGGGTTTCCAGAGCAGCGCTGGCCTGGCCAGGCAGTGGACTAGTCACTATCGACTCCATCCTCATCTGTGTGCGACTACACTGGCAACTGGTATCAGTGTGTAGATCTACAGTGGAAACTCAGTCGCTCAGACTTTGATGTAGTGTAGCGTAAACTGTACTGGTGTGTACTGGTGTGTACCAGTACGTGATGGGGCGATGTTGCGAGTTTTCGCACCTTCACTGTCGAATAGTATCCGCCATCGTATCCTGGCCTGTGTTCCTTACAGGCGAGTACATGTACCGTAGCATGCTAGCTAGCCAACACAGACTGTCAGTGTGACCTGGTGACTGAGCTGTGTGATTGCACTTCGACAGAGAGCCGCTCAGTCTTAGTTTCTCCTTCGAGTAGTAACATCGATCAAAGAGCGCTTTGGATGCGCTCTCCAAGACGTTTCCTATCATGTTTGTTCTTGACAGCACTTGAAATTATGACAGGTGTAGTGCAGTCCACACTGATTCCACAGTTAAAATGAGACTGCGTTCATTTGTCCAGCTGTAGTATCGAAACGACCATGGAAAATCATCAAAATTTCGAGAAGGAGCTTCGAGCAATGTTTGATTTGCTACATCGCGGTCGCTAGTTACGGGTCAAAATTCGACATTGGGACAAGAAAAGGCGGTCGCTGGTCGCGTTCAGCAGGTAGTCGCTAGTCACAGTGCATTTTGAATGTGAGACCGTCCTGACGAAGTGGTCGGTAGTACCAGGCCGGTCGCTAGTCACGGTGGTCGTTAGTTACAGGTTTTACTGTACTTGCAAGTAAAACAGACTATGGGCTACACGGTAGAGTATTCGAGGACCCTGCATTATTCAATACCAGTCATTTGCCCTGGGATAAATAGTGCTTTGCCTGTAAACCACAGATTTCTGTGGCCTTTGGAGGTGCGTTACACTGATGTTTCTCAGCTCAACTCGCTTTGTGTAACTACAAAATAGGCCACAATCACATCTTCATCACACTTCCCCTATAGACGTACTGTGCTAGTGACGCTTCCAAAGAAGATTGCTCCTCCTGCACAAAAGAAAAGAAAAGAAAGACTTGTCAATTGATTACAAAAGCAGGACAAAAATGATACGAGTTATGACTACACCAACGTACTGTAAATATACAAATTTTCGGCAGCCATTTAATTTCGGCTATATTCGGCACCGACCCAAAACGCCTAAATTAAAACGCCGATGAAATTTTTCACAGCATCTGTCGCACCATGCCCCCTACCCCACGCCGAAAATAAATCGCCGCCGAAATGTCAAAAATCGGGAAGTGCCGAAATTTTGCAGCGCCGAAATTTTGTATATTTACAGTAACCAGATCTTATACATGTCAGCGAGTCACCATCCGAGATTAAAAAAGCATTAAAAAAAAGTGTCATTCAAAGACAACAGAGAACAGCGACAGTACGACTAGTGCAGTACAAAGACCTTACCTTAAAAAGAAGATTAGGAATTTGAACTAGTTGGTCCGCCAGGAGCTGACTGGGTGCAGCTGTCGGTGTAATGTCAAGAGGTACATGACATGACACATGCCTGCACAAAATTCGAAGGGATGTGTGTGTGTGTTTGTGTGTGCGCGCGCGCGTGTGCGTGTGTGTGTGTGTGTGTGTGTGTGTGTGTGCGTACGTGTGAGAGTGAGTGTGTGAGAGAGAGAAGAGAAAGACAGAGACACAGAGAGAGAGAGAGAGAGAGAGAGAGAGAGAGAGAGAGAGAGAGAGAGAGAGAGAGAGAGAGAGAGAGAGAGAGAGAGAGAGAGAGAGAAGAGAGAAGAGAGAGAAGAGAGAGAGAGAGAGAGAGAGAGAGAGAGAGAGAGAGAGAGAGAGAGAGAGAGAGAGAGAGAGAGAGAGAGAGAGAGAGAGAAGGGAAAGAGAGAAAAAGAAAAGAGAGAAAAGAGAGAGAGAGAGAGAGAGAGAGAGAGAGAGAGAGAGAGAGAGAGAGAGAGAGAGAGAGAGAGATGAGAGGGATGAAAGAGAGAGGTGCGCAGAAAAAGACACACAGGCCAGAGCAAGATCATCAACAAAAGTGTACAGCAGCACCAACCCAAGAGAACCGAGCAGGTCAGACCCAGAAAAGGTGTGCAGGATGGTAAAGAGGTGTTTCCCCACACACACCGCTTACCCATGTCTAGTCTCAGCTGCTTGAAAGCAGGTCACTTGAACACGATCAACAGCATCCGTCTTGAGCAGGAAAACGCAGAACATAAGGCAAAACAAACTTCTTTATCAAACATATCTTCCTCACAAATTCTCCATGGATAAAACAAATAACACTGAGAAGAAAACAACAACAAACAACAACAACAACAATCTCTTATTGACCACTGGCTATCGTGAGAATAAAGATTTCACAACAACAACAACAACAACAACAACAACAACAACAACAACAACAACAACAACAACAACAACAACAACAACAACAACCCTCTATAAGGCCCTTCATTACTTTAATTGCTTGCCCGCCCAGCTTCGCGTTGAACCTGTGCAATCTATTTTAGGAAACCTTATGGACTTACCATTGCGACACGATGGTAGGGCTCAGATGGAGTCTTTGTATGGAAGCAAGATATAATTATACCTATGAAGTCCTTATCCATCCTCTGAATGGTAAACTGTGTCCCGCAGTCTGCAGCCACAGCAAGAAAACAAGCGAGGTAATGTACAACATAAAATATACGGTGTACACACAGCAGAATCAACCTGCACCTTCAGCGCCCTTTCCTGGCACATCATCAGGCAACTGGATGATGCCGTCACACACAAGCGCTCACCAACATGAGACGGCATGGAGGTGATGTGCGGATGAGAGTGATACCAGCCTATGACTCGGTGTTGGCGTCCTGACGACCCCATGGCCCAGGCCTGCAAGTGGGCAACATACAGTGAACAGAGACGATGTCATCAATGAATATTTCTAGTAAATGGGCCGCCCAGGGTTACTGATTGTTTTTCCAATCAAAACGAAATGTTTTAGTACCTTCAGCCCCACCCCACCCACCCACCCTTATTGCACTTAAAAATATTTTCAACAAAATATTGATTTCAATTTTGGCACTCAGTAGTACGTGGCAATTATCAATGAGCATTCAATTAATAATAATTATTTTCAACATGAAGCTCCAGAAACACACAAGCGAAAACTTTTCATTTTGAAAAACAAAGCATATATAATCGCTAGAAACAAAGTCTCCTACGTATTTTCGAGCTGCCGGTGTTATGCAGGGTTTTTACGCATGCTGCATGCATTGTGTGAAGTCTTTCGAAGTTTGGGGGCGTTTTGTACATTCCATTCCCAGTTTGAGAGAATGCAAGCTAAGTCTGTACTGAACTCTCGTCCAGGATTCGCACATCTATGTTGTTTTCCAATTGCACTATAGGGTGGTGTTCATATCTTGGTCATGTGACCGTGTTTGTGTACAAACATCTTGGTTATGTGACTATGTTTGTGTAGAAACATCTTGGTCATATGACCGTGTTTGTGTAGAAACATATTGGTCATGTGACCGTGTTTGTGTACAAACATCTTGGTCATATGACCGTGTTTGTGTAGAAAGTGTAGATGTCATGTGGACAGTGGAACCAACATGGCCGACATCTCGCGGCCCTTTGGGTGCAGGGGTTCACTTGCACTGCTGTTTGTTGGAACCAACATGGCTGTCCCGCGTGGCAGGCACGTAGCTCGTGTGCAGTCAGCGCAGCCCGGTCACCACACCAGCAAATGGCCATCATACGTACTACATAGTCAAAATGGGAAAAAATGCAGCTATGACGTTGCCAGCAGTACATAGTCACCACACCACAGATGTGCTCTGGCACATAATCACCACACCATGGATGGGCTCTGGCACATCATCACCACACCATGGATGGGCTCTGGCACATCATCACCACACCATGGATGGGCTCTGGCACATCATCACCACACCATGGATGGGCTCTGGCACATCATCACCACACCATGGATGGGCTCTGGCACATCATCACCACACCATGGATATGCTCTGGCACATCATCACCACGCCCTGGATGGGCTCTGGCACATAATCACCACACCATGGATGGGCTCCGGCACATCATCACCACACCATGGATGGGCTCTGGCACATCATCACCACACCATGGATGGGCTCTGGCACATCATCACCACACCATGGATGGGCTCTGGCACATCATCACCACACCATGGATGTGCTCTGGCACATCATCACCACACCATGGATGTGTGAGCTACGCCCCTGCATGGCGGTCATGTGATAGGTGTGCAGCAGGTCCACTATGCACAACAAGCACTTACCTCGGCTTGCACGGCAGCAGCACACAGCTGTTCTGGGCTGGGTTCAACTCGGTCCTTGCGTTTGTCCATTCTGCGCAACGGCAGGATCACTGAAATTCGCACCACGTGATCATTGTCTACCTGTGGGCAAACAAATAAGAATTCATTGGTTTAGCCCAGACTAGCACAACAAACTCAACTCAGATCGTCGCCCAGTGATAGACAGTCCCATTTAAAAAGTGCCCAAGTTCCTGCCATGCAACATAACAGACACAGCAGGATTATATGAACGCGGGGTAGGCACTGAATACACATCAAGAACCCAACTAACTTCGTACCTTCTGAGGCCTCGTTTACACGACGATTGAAAAACGTTTGTGTCGTTTCAAAAACGTTTCAAACGAAAAACGGCCTTCAAAGTGTCTTTCAATCGTTTTCGTTCCGTTTCGTTCTCGTGTAAACGGCAAAAACGTTTTACTAGTACGAGCCTTGTACTCAAAACATGCCGCCGCCAGCCTGCGCCAGGCCAACTTATTGCACGTGACCATTGCGCGCCGAAAAACGTGTTGCAGTGTACACAATTATCGTTTTCGTGTAAACAGCAAAAACGTTTCGAAAACGATTGAAAAACGTTTTTCAATCGTTGTCGTGTAAATGAGGCCTGAGTTTCACGAAACTCTTTAAAAACCTGGTGGTTCCAGCCTAGGCTGTTCTTATAAAATTTGAGGAGCAACTCCAGCGTAGACATTCCTACAATACATGTTCTTTAAAAAAATCCCGTGTTGGACATCTGAGCGGAGTTGCACACTCTGGACTGGCGTATGCACTCTCGGAGCCACTCATCCCGGCTTTATAAGACAGTCATGCACTTTTCAATTTCATGTATTAATTAATTTGGCTGTATGTGCTTGCTTCCGTTTTAGACCATGTGATATGAGTGTTCACTGCCACAGGGCCCATCAGATCGAAGATCCAATACGAAGAGTCACACCGGAAGCGCATTACTAGTGTACTCTTCACCATGCATTATAACTTATCTAGTACTAGTGTTGCATTTATACATCCTCAAAAGAAAGTTTTCAATTTATTTTGCGAACTACACTGTTGCAACGTTGCTGCATTTTGGAACAAAACGTATGCGTGCAGAGAATTTCTGGACCCCATTGAAATATTTTTCATCAACCACCACACCACCCATTGAAATAACTTATTTTGCAAAGTAATAAGGAAATTTACGACAAGGCGTTCTGTTTCCTCAACACTTGAATAGAATAATACGAACATACATCGCCAACCAGAAGTCCCATTACTTCTTCCATCTCAGTCGACAAGGCATGTGTCACGCAGCCATAGAAGGCATCAGACGTGACTTCTACTCGTCTCGCAGTCATAACCGGAGGTGGCAAAGTAATGTTACAGCTAGTAAACCATGAGACACTGAAAACAGAGCGAGATTCAACACAGTACTATACAGGTTGCTGGTGCCGGGGAGTCGAGCTACAAACAAACATCTAGCTACTTGTAGGACAGAAGCAAAGAAGGCTAGATCAAACCAGCCAAATCTTCTCACTTTCAAAAATCACCCTTCACACACACACACAGTTCACACATGTAATAATGTACATCAAGTCATCAACACAGCAGCAGAGCATTATGTCATTACATTACGTGACATGAGATCAAGATCCTCGAGAAGAACGAACGAAAATGCACGTGGCCCATGCGTAATATTGACGTCATTTGTCACAGCTTTTCGATCAGAACAAAAAGTAAACATTTCTGATTTGTACAATTCTGTGTTCGGTATTTTTAGGTCAGGATTTGTAGGAGAAGGTTTCTTCCTGCTCAGCGCCTGGAAGCTTTCCTCCGTTTGGTAGATATGTAAGCACAGACCAGAAATTATGCCCGCAAAGTGGATAACGGTCAGACCCACGTTGTCTGACCCGGTGCTGGATACTCTGAAAGCACTCAATTTCTCTCGGATGACCCCAGTTCAGGTGAGAAAAATTGAAGACGTCCACCTATCATTTAGCATTGAGTAGATAGATGAGCCATTCTTGCTTTACGAAAATGCTACCAAATACCTGCAAATAACAATACTTGATTTTGATTATCCATGCACACCACGTGCAGATGGTCACAGCACCAAATGTCATTGCTGGTGATCAAATCTAGTGCCACCGGGCAATCAACCAATATAGTCGAAAAATTAAGCCTATCATTACTCTCATCTTGTGAGCCCCTAAATCCTCATTAGTATGCACTGGAAGTGCTGATAGTCGTACGTCAGTCGTTTCAGACTGTTGCGAAACGTGCATGCCGATCCTCATGTTCATCCGCACATAAAACACAGGTTGGTTATAGTTCTGTTGAGTACGAACAGGACGACGGCATATTCTCCGGAGACAACAACGGACAACGGGAACAGGTTAGGTGGGAACGACATTTATTAGGGAAGACGAAGAGGCTCAGATGCAGACAAAGACGAACGGAACGACTACATTGCGGAAGAGGGAGACAAGAGAGTGAGACCAAGTGAGGGCGGCAAGATAAGGGGCCTGGGTAGCTATGGCAAATATGGGCGCGCAAGTAGCTACACAGGCCAACGGAACAAAAAGTGACAAAAGGAGACAAAAGGTGAGTACGAGGGCGCATACAGGCCAGCTTGGAAAGGTTGTACAACGTACGGGAGGAGGTACCTAACAGTTCGCTCGAAGGCCATTTATCAAGTCAAGCAATATACTGTATAGCAGGAAATTTTCGGACGGAATTTTTTTTTCGTACGATTTCGTACACGGCCTCTATTGTACTAAAATTAATTCCGCACTAAAAATTGTTCATGTGAAACTATGTACACTGTACATGCGTACTGCTTGCGAACACGTGCATTTAGCATGCAGCACTGTCTGAAAATAAAATCCGTATGAAAGGTGGAATTTTGGCTTTGTCCGAAACTAGAAAATATTTCCGTCCGAAAATTTCCTGCTATACAGTAGTCAAAAAATCAAGCCGGTCATTACTCTCAGCTTGTGAGCCTATTCCGTATCTGGACTAGCAGCCAGAAGCGAGTTGAAGGGAAAGATACTGTGTTTCTTCAGAATCTTTAAAAGTTCTATAGCGATAATCAGTGGCAATTGGCCACAAGGCCCAGCAAAGAGAGCAGTATTGTGAGTGATAGTTGTATTACAACGGGAGAAAAAACAAGTATGGGGAGCCCGCTCACTCGGATATGAGAGATACCAATGATTAGAGTGATGTTGCAGTGCTGCTTCTGTCCTGTGAGTCGTGGTTCGAATCCCGCCGGGGGTGTTTTTTTGCAATATAATAATACTGCATTTTTAGTAATTTTTTACATTTTAGGGGACTTTGTGCCATAGCGCTAATTTTCACGGAACGAAAATGTAAAAAAGATTGTAGTCATGTTACTTTGAGGGAACCTGGGTGCTAGCACACCGAGAATACGTGCAAGATCACACTGTTACACATAAGGTACTGTGGACATGGATACAGTCATGTCATAGACAGTTCTAGACTTCGGGCTCCAGCACAGTGAATGTCCCAGGGGTCTCTTGTTTGACTACTTGCAGTGCTGTGCGAGAGTCTGAAGTCTAAATTGTCTCCCCGGTATTCAGTGTGCTGTTTCAGTGTGTGCCATGATCGTTTGCGCCTACAGGATAACATACGTATGCGTAACAGTGTGATCTTGCACTTTTTCTCTGTATGCTAGCACTTTTACGTAGCGCACTACTTCTTTTTCACAGTAATTCTCTACGTAAAAGAGTGCTATGCACAAGTTCTAGCCATTCAGTACTTTCACAACCTTCACTAATGAGACCTGTATGATCGAGACTGCTGTATGGAAGAATTGATGCCATTATCCACGACAACTTGGAGCTGTGTTGCGGATGTGGTGAACGAGGTTTAGTTTCGTGAAAAGGATTGTTGATAATGTGTGACCCCTTGTGTTGCGGATTTGTATGCTACTCTTTTGTTTTCAAGCTCTGTGTTGTGTACTATGTGCTCTGTTGCCTGCAGGAGGCGACATTACCTCTTTTTCTAGCACATAAAGATGTAGCAGTTGAGGCGGTAAGACAGCTGACTGACTGTGTGGAGTATGTTTAAATCCGGTGACGTCATTGTGTGTGTGCTGTCGGTCCGCTTTTCCTAATGCAACCACTCGTATGTGTTGTGTTGGGCCTGCAAGCCACGCAGGAGTCCATCGCGGGACAAGACAAGGACTGGTTTATTTACAACGAGCATGCGCATATATGATACAGATGAGAGACAGACAGACAGACAGACAGACTGACAGACAGACAGACAGACATACAGAGACAGAGAAAGACACAGACAGACAGACAGATAGACAGACAGATACAGAGAGACAGATACAGAGAGACAGAGAGACAGAGAGAGAGACAGAGGGAGAGACAGAGACAGACAGACAGACAGACAGACAGACAGACAGACAGACAGGCAGGCAGGCAGGCAGGCAGGCAGACAGGCAGACAGACATACAGACAGACAATACGGAGAGAGAGAGAGAGAGACAATGCTGGGACAATCACTATACACTACAGTATGTACTCGAGCATCGGGTATAATTATTGGCCTTCTGACCCAGTCATAGTTCCATTCGACTGCAGAGCTGTTGTGAAGCTTCGGAGCGTGTTGATGTGGCCAGAACAGTTACATGTACAAAATTAGTCTCGAAACTGCCTTTGAAATCACTTCCCCAGTTTCTGGATATTCAAAGAGAATTTCTGGATTTCTGGAGTTATTGCCCAAAGTGAAGGAATCCCGTTAAAATCTTGGCCGCTATGGAAAGCCTAGGTCCCGGCATGAGTTGTCTTTTGTTTCTGATTGGCTGCTTCAGGTGACAGGCTCTGGAAAGACACTTGCATTTGTCATTCCACTTCTAGAGATTCTTTGCCGAAGGTGAGTCGATCGCCCTGTGCTAATCATAATCTGTCAATGGTTTGTGTACACATACATGTACATGAGGCCCGTTGATTTTATTTGTGATCCGGTTGGCCAATGTCATATTTGCTTGGCTGGACGAGGCTGTATTTGGTCAATGTTGCCGCTATCAGTTGTTTACAAACTCTTTGTGTTCGTTGTTATACTGTTGGCTTGTTGGTGGTTCTTTATGAATGTGAATTTCTTGCTCTGTTTCTTTGTTCTGCACCCAGAACTGAGCCATGGAAGAAGCATGATGTAAGTCCAATATTTGCGGACGGGTTTGATGCTGCTATTGTATTAGGTAGCATGCTGCTCATTGGCACTGGCTGTGTGTCTCATTGGCACTGGCTGTGTGTCTCATTGGCACTGACTGTATGCCTCATTGGTACTGACTGTATGCCTCATTGGCACTGACTGTGTGCCTCATTGGCACTGGCTGTATGCCTCATTGGTACTGACTGTATGTCTCATTGGTACTGACTGTATGTCTCATTGGCACTGCCTGTATGTCTCATTGGTACTGACTGTATGTCTCATTGGCACTGGCTGTATGCCTCGTTGGTACTGACTGTATGCCTCGTTGGTACTGACTGTTTGTCTCATTGGCACTGACTTTATGCCTCATTGGCACTGGCTGTATGCCTCATTGGTACTGACTGTATGTCTCAATGGTACTGACTGTATGTCTCATTGGTACTGACTGTATGTCTCATTGGTACTGACTGTATGCCTCGTTGGTACTGGCTGTATGTCTCATTGGTACTGACTGTTTGCCTCGTTGGTACTGGCTGTATTTCTCATTCTTACCCAGATTGGCTGCATCATCCTCACGCCGACTCGCGAGTTGGCCAACCAGATCTCCTCAGTTCTGTCATCCTTCTTGGAGCGCGTCCCTGGTCTCTGGTAAGGCCCCTCCCCTGCAGCTACTGTTAGTGCTGCTGACTCGTTGCTAGCCCTGCTGCCACTTCTGCTGCCTGGCCTCTGTGCTGCGACCATTTGTTTTCGAAGAATATTTTAAACTATATTTCAGAGAATTTGTGCTTCATTCCCAACTCATCACTATTTAGTTCTGAAATTTGTGCTTGTCAACTAAAATATTTCTCATCTTCAACTTCAAGTACTAGGAATTCATAATGGTATTTTGAGATTGTTTCTTGTGGCTGTCTTCCATGGTGAACAACACTTCATCCTGTTCTCTGTTTATGTCTTGTTTACAGCCAGCTGCTACTGCTTGGTGGAGGAGACCCGATGATTGATGTGAACCGCTTCAAGGAGAATGGGTATGTAGTTTGTGATGTGTGCAGCTTTCCCCTGCAGTGGTCTGTTTTTCGAATCTTTTCTGGTGTGGGTTTTGACCAACATGACCTGTGCGTATACACGCTTCATGGATGCTTCACACATGAGTTATGTGAATTGTGCGATTGTGTACACATGTGTGTGTGTGTGTGTGTGTGTGTGTGTGTGTGTGTGTGTGTGTGTGTGTGCGCGCATGCGCATGCGTGCGTGTGTGCGCGTGCGTGCGTGAGGGGTGGGGGCTCAATTGTGCTGTGTGTGTGGTTCTCTGTTGACGATGCGAAATGTATTTCTATATTATGTTTGTGTGTTGTACCTGCGCTAAGTAGACCCAACGAGGTCGAAGTAGCTACAATGTCGCTGTCTAGAAATTGACTATTGTACTGTGTCCTTGTGTGTGTATATGTGTGTGTGTGTTCGTGTGTGTGTGTGCGCTGCGTACTAATTGGTAGCGGCAACATTCTTGTGTGCACACCTGGCCGGCTTGAGGACATGCTGAAGCGCCGAGAAGAACCCAGCATGGCTGCGTATGTCAAGCAGCTGGTATGTCGACCCTCATTCATTTCTTCCCCATACTGTAAACCCCCTAATTTTAGCACACATAAACCAATAGCGAATTTAGCGAATCAGTCAAATTCGCTAAAGATAGGGGTCACGTTTTTTCTTCTTCATTTTGTTCCTACTAGTATCTGCACATGGGCTTGTTTGGGTTTTTGTGACAATGCAGGGGCCTGGCTGAAATGCCGTGTCACTTGTGTTTGGGTGTTGGCGTCAGAGACTTTGTGCGTTGTGTACATGTATCTAGACCAACAGCAAGTTGTTGCACCAATACTAGTATGGGGCTCTATACTCAGCGGTGTACGCATAGACAAATACATATGGACCTGGTGTTTTCTTGTATTTGGCTGGAGACATGCAGCTTTGGAATGATGAATTTCGAGTTGAACCCTTCCTATGCATGTGTAGAGCAACAGCTTCCTGGGCGATTGTGCAGCCCCTTGACCGTATTCACGTTTTCTCATTTGATGCAGAGCAGAACCTCCCCAATTCATTTTTTGTGCAAGACTTGGGCAGTGATAGGATTTGGTACCAGTGATGGAATTACAAAAGCCTCGTTGTGTGCAGAATAGAGAGGCACCTGAACCGACCAGTTGGAATCACGTCATGATGTGTTTCAAACCAGAACTTGTACTTTTCACCAGGGAGTAGTAAAATACCGGTATTTCAATACTCCCTGCTTTTCCCCATTTTGTTGTTTGATCGCAGGAAGTGCTGGTTTTGGATGAAGCGGATCGGTTGCTGGACATGGGCTTCTCAGCCAGGTAGGTGCAGGCTACTGCTGTATTGTTGTCCCTGTGTTCGCTGAAGTGTTGAACTGCCCTGCGTGCCCAGTCCAGTGTACATTGGTCACTTTTCGTAACACATCACTACCGGGTCAATCCGGGAATCACCTTCAGAATGCCATCAATGGGTTGAATGGATTTCCTGTAACTGCACACAAGCAGTGTGTGGTGAATTCTCATGCAAACCGAATACGATTTCTGTACACCATATTTTACTGATTCTTCTGCCCGGCCCTACTGGAAAACTATGTATACCTTAGGTAAAATCGACGCCCGAACAAAGCAGGAATCCATTCCAGTGCATGTACTTACTTCAAGAGATTCTTGTACTTGTACACCTGTTACTTGAGTAGATATTGTCCATATCACTACTTGGAAGTACTATGCAGAGCACTCTGTACAATGTGGTTCACGCTGGGTAAGTGTGACAGGCATAGGTGCATTGACATAGGCCATGTGGAAGTCATTACCATGACTGCATGAGCATTTATTCCTGCATGTATGTGTGTGTGTGTGTGTGTGTGTGTGTGTGTTTTGTTTTCTTTCTGTGCGCACAGCCTAAACAACATTCTTGGATACCTGCCCAAGCAGAGGCGGACGGTAAGTCTCAAACGCAGTCCTCGTTGCTTTCCTTAATCTTTTACCTGCCATGTGCTGGTATGCACTGATTCTATGGCTTCCATGCCCCGTGTGTACCCCGCACGGGCTACACACCTGATTGAAGTGTGCTTCTTGTCTTGTTGTGTCTTTGCTTCTTCACCATCACAATGGCAGAGTGTGAAATTATATCTCGTCAAATTGCTGTGTTAATTAATCTCATTGGATTGGCTTGGCTTTGTGCAGGGATTATTTTCAGCCACTATGACCAGCAATGTTCAGCAGCTGGTCCGGGCTGGCATGCGCAATCCCACGGAGATCACCATTCGGGAGAAGCCGACCAAGGAGGTACGTGTACATGTGCAATACTGTGGAGCAGCACTGGTCTATGTTTTCTACGTTTTCTTGCTGCGAGTTTTTTGTGTACTTCGTAGTGCAGTGTAGTTCCTCTCCGTTGACCTGTCCTCCACTACTACTCAGTACTAGTATTATGATTTGACATTCTGTGAATTTCCTGGTACTAGTAATCGTACGCTAGTACTCCTGATACCTCGCGTTTGTTGCAAATATTTCCACGGAAATGCCTACAGACGGTTGCTATAGTATATTGTGAGTGTTGAAACGAGCGGTTCTATAACGAGCGAGCTATCGAGCGATTTAGGCCCTCATCAGACTACGTACATAGAACATCCAGTACAAAATCACATAAAACCTAAAAGGCTACATTTTTCCACGCCTGCATTCAGACTACACATTTTACATGCAATATAGAATATACAGGCAACCTTTGGCTGTGTTTTCATGAGGCGTTTCAACCCGGGTCAGATTTCAACCCGCCATGTACACAACCTCACAAAGTGAATGGCGCGTTTACATGACGCATTGCGCTTGATCCGGGTTGAAATTTCGCCCCCGGTTGATTTCAACCCTCCCCTTGGGGGGAGGGTTGAAATCAACCTGGGTCAAAGATATCGTACTACGTACTTTTGTGCGTATCTCGCGCCAGGTTTGAACAGCACTGCACATGCAAATTTCGCGCGAAAGGATTCAACTGACCATACAGGACTCTAGAAGTGGAATTTTGGCGGCATATCAGTATTTGACCCGGGTCAACTGTCTTCATGTAAACGCTCACCTATTTTGTGTGTCGTACAGACTTTCAACCCGGGCTGAACTCGACCCGGGTTGAAATTTCTCATGTAAACACAGCCTTTGACCCTACACAATTGCGCAATGGGCCTGGGATGCATGAAAGCAGCGGACAGTCGTACCCGGGTACAAAGTTTGTACGACTGCCTGGTGAAAGTACGATAAATGCAGGAAAGTTGCCTTGTACAGGGGTTCGCACTCTGCCTGAAAGGATTGGGCAGCTTTTTAGGCTTCCCGCCAGATTCTTGTTGTTGTCTTGGAAACTTCTATGTAAATTTGACTTATAGGCTGTTTTGTACCTAGTCTGAAGAGCCTAGTCTGAAGAGGGCCTTACGAGTTTTCAGTGATGTGGTGGGCATGAGGATGATTTTTTATGATTTTTTATTAGCAATTTTGTTAACATTTTCAATTGATGTAAAAAAAAGAGAAGAAAACACATGAGAACGAGTTATGCAGCAACTATCCACGACTGTAATAAGATGATAAACAGTCAGAAAGTGCGATAATAGGGCACAAAACTGACAGGCTACTGAGACATTCAGCGACCATGTGTTTTCTTCTCTTTTTTACATTTATTACTGGCTCAGTATCCGAGTTAAAATTTTCAATTGAAAACTGACAAAGATGACTGCGCTGACTTTGTCTCAAATATTTGTTCCACGGCTTTGATCAGAAATGCCTCGGTGCCTCCTCAATACTGGCATGCAGAGGAGGCCAATACTTCAGATCCCGGGTAGTGCGGATCGAGGACTGCTGCTAACACGTACAGACTGTCAGAATCTAGACCGTTGAGCTTGAACCGGTGCTCAATGCGGTCGTGGAGGCGCTTCTTCAATGACGACACGGCTAATCGTCTTCATTATAGCCATTGTCATGATCATCAGCATTGATGCAGGCCGTTTTCAGGGAAGCTAGAAGAGGAAGATACCACGACAATGTGGAGTACTCCTCCCCGTCCAGATGCGTGGTTACCGAATCGACCTTGTGGAGACTGGACAGCAGCTGCTTGGCAGTCTCCCAGGAGATGGAGGGTAATTCCAGCTGCTTCCTATCCTTGTCACACATATCAGCAAGCAGCAGTTGGAGGGGAGACTGCAGCTCAACTAGCCTTGCCAACGTACGGTAGGAGCTGTTCCACCTGGTTGGTCAGTCCTGAATCACCTTCTTTGCCGGTCCTATGCCCAGTAGTGCCTGCTTCTCACCCAGCTGTGTGGCCTTCAATGCTGAATTATTGATGTGACCCACCTAACGGTGACAGCGTGCAAGTAAATTGCAGAGCTGCTTCTTGTCCAGAGCATCCTTGATGGCATTCTGGAGGCGGTGTGCAGCGCACACCAGATTTGCCCATTCCAAGTTCTCCCAGAGAATTCTGCCTGAAGGCACAGAAGACAGAAGCACCAGAAAAAAAGCAACATACTCGTATTAGCCCTTTGTCATGTCTAGATAATGTTCAGCACCCTATAATATACTTGAACAGTGCATGTTGACATGCCAATGAGGAATTTAGCCCCTGCACAACTAATGGTGACCGTTGCATCAAATATTCTCCTTCAGTGCACAGTTCACACTTAGTACAAGTCAATTATTATCAATACAGTATAACAATATTGTCACATCATGAATGGAGAAAGCTAGCATGCATACTGTGAACTAACCTGCCAGCTCAACTTTCACTGCTTCATCGTGCACAACCGCTACTACTTTCCAAGTTGGTATTGCAAATCGTGTCACAGCACCCTTGAGCTGCTGGCTGATGTTGACGCCAGTGTGCGATTCCGGAAAGTGGACAGTTTCGAGGACGGCAGATACGAGCTTCCAATTTTCATCAACAAAGTGGGCTGTTGTCGTCGCATACGCTTGTGTGGCCTTGGACGTCCATATGTCCGTCGTTAGAGCAACATAGTCTGCCTTGGCGACTAAGCCTTTCACTTCCTTCTCGCCATCATCGTGCTGCTTTGTCGTCGCATACGCTTGTGTGGCCTTGGACGTCCATATGTCCGTTGTTAGAGCAACATAGTCTGCCTTGGCGACTAAGCGTTTCACTTCCTTCTCGCCATCATCGTGCTGCTTTGTCGTCACATACGCTTGTGTGGCCTTGGATGTCCATATGTCCGTCGTTAGAGCAACATAGTCTGCCTTGGCGACTAAGCGTTTTACTTCCTTCTCGCCATCATCGTGCTGCTTTGTCGTCGCATACGCTTGTGTGGCCTTGGACGTCATGTCCGTCGTTAGAGCAACATAGTCTGCCTTGGCGACTAAGCGTTTCACTTCCTTCTCGCCATCGTCGTGCTGCTTTGTCGTCGCATATGCTTGTGTGGCCTTGGACGTCCATATGTCCGTCGTTAGAGCAACATAGTCTGCCTTGGCGGCTAAGCGTTTCACTTCCTTCTCGCCATCGTCGTGCTGCTCGCGCAGCAACGATGCTACATGTGTAGTGGATGGTATAACGTAGCCTGGTTCCAAGAGCTGAAGCAATTCCTACAGCCAATGGGATGCAAATAGATTGAGAAGCACAAATGTCAAATTCACTCCTTCCACACTAGTCGAGTCGTGACAAACATAATAAATTATGTTGCAAGAACTAACGAGTAATGATTCGTTCGAAAATTCTAGGAAATACTGATCACTATGCAACACATCAAGTCATCAACCGCTGAAATCAACAAGAACAACTGTGTCTCGCTCTTACCTGTAAAGCTTTGTACTTGACGAGACTGATCGGCCGACCGTCGAGCCAGGGCCAACGTGACAGCACACCTTTGACACCGATAATGGATATTTCAGTGATGTGTTTTACGAGTATAAGCCGCACTTTGAACACTCGAAATTCACCAAAAAAAGGGAGGGGGGGGGGGCGGGGTACGGCTTTTACTCCGATGATCAAATTAACGGTGATAAATAGGATAGGATAAATTGGAAGCGGAAGGATTTTTTCCAGCCATGCTGCGACCCACAGTTAATTGGGAACTCGTGGCCTGGCACGAGGGAAACATCGATGCAGCAAATGTAATTTCGGTCTTTGACCACTTTGTGGTGGGTCTGATCTACTCACCTCCCACCGCTTAGGAGCTGCATCTGCACCTTGATCCTAGAGGGTGGTGGCGGTCCTACGGATGCGGAAAACTCGGCTTCCAGCTAAGTCTCACGCGAATCGTGAAAAAGAAAGAAGAAGAAATAGGATATTATGTCTGTATTTCGTGGCGAAAATGGGGGGGGGGGGTGCGGCTTATACTTCGGAAAATACGGTATGCACTGCTGTCTTGTAGTCCATGCAAGCGGACAGTGACCCGGACACGGTGTTCTTCTGCATGTGCTTGTGCTTTGGTTTAGGCCAGTGGACGTGTCCCATCAAAGCTCTGTAACTATTATGCAGTAAGTTCAAGTTCTGTTGTCGTGCACACTTGTGGAATGGATGATCCTCACTAGATGTTGGTCCCATTCTAACAGTTTATGCATGTTTGGTTACACTACTCTTCTCACCCTAGCTGGGCTCTGTTTTGTGTGTGAAATGGGGATTTCCCCTAGTTCTCACGTGCCAGGCATCGAATCTTATGTACATTCCCACTTTGGCGATCTACAAAGCCATTACCAAATATTCTGTGGATGAACAAAGAAATTCAGGCAGATGAAGAGAAAGGCGCTGAAGCCATTCCCAGCCACATGGCGACTTCGCTGGGTACACAGCTTCATGTTGTCTCATTGTATGCATCTTTGAAATGACGCATTGCCAAGTGCATTGAGCACTCTGGAGCAGTCAATGTTCATCTTTAAAATTTTCAGGTTGCATAGTCTTCTGGACACGGATTTCAAGTGGTCGTGGACCGAAGAGTCGCACTGTTCCCCAATCAAACAGGCTCCGAAATCGGCCTTTTAGCACTCGAAGTGACTCACTGCACAGCTGGCTGGTTGCACGCAGTGACATCATTACCAGAATGAGGTACAATGCGTGTGCAAGTTCACTTGGGATTTACCGAACAAACGATATATCGCAGCGCCCTTGGACTAAAACCATTTTGACGCAGCGGACCCAACTCTACGGACCCCGAAGTTATGATTTTTCACTGGAATTTCCTGTGGGTACTGTGCAGTTGCACGCGTGTGCTCACCTCATTGACCTCATTGGCCTCGCTCGTTCCTCATTTCTTTTGTTCATTTGGCTTATGCGAAGACTAGCCAAGCTTGCTTGGTGATTTCAACGCGAACAAGCAGAATAATAATAATAATTATTATTATTATTATTATTTTTAAATAACTGTGCATAGCCAAGCTGTGTAGCTCTGCTCTGTGCTGGCTTTTAGTGATCTGCTTTCTGTTTGTTCCTCTCTAGACTTGCCCTCCTGCAGACAAGTTCTCTCATCTGCTTCACTTCCTGCGCCTGCATAAGGTATATACTTGCACAGCTACGCATGTGTGTGTGTGTGTTTGCATGTGCGTGTGTATGTGCGTGTGTATGTGCGTGTGTCTGTGTGCGTGTGTGTGTGTGTATGTGTGTGTGTGTGTGTGTGTGGGTATGCATATATGTATTCATGTACCGGTATGTGCCGACGTATGTACATATTCTGCACTCATCAAAGTCGCACAATAAACGTGGCAGTTGTGGAAGTCACGTTAAACCATGTCTACTGCAATCAATGCTTACGCACATATCGATGGTGCATGGTGCGATAGAAGGCTAGAAACACTAGTGTCACTAGTACCAGTACAATCGAGCATGACTTACTACTGAAGTGAATATACCAAAACCATATGGCTCAAACCTGAAAATAGGTTTGCAACTTATAATCGGGGAAATATGGTAGGCTAAACAGCTGAGAAAAAAATCAAAAAATTCAAAGCTGCTTGCTGCTGGTTCTGAAAGCCAATAACACCATTGGACGTGCCTTACTGCCTTGATCTTGTTTGGACAAACCAGCAGTGCATTTTTTTACTGTTTCCTGTATTTGTGTCTGTGCTCAGAGTGAAGGCAAGATACTTGTCTTCTTGAGTACGTGTGCTGCTGTTGATTACTTCACTCATCTGCTGACCAGGTATGTTTGATTATCCTTTTCGTGGCCGATCCTGGGATTGTACACTGAGGGTAGCTTTCACTGGCACCCCATTCAGTTATGAATCAGAATGTAATCTTGCTTGTTCCATGCTTGGCAATTGCGATATTGAGCTCGCCGCCAGTTTTCTTTTGTGTTTGTGCATGTGCCGAGTATAAATACTTACCTCTGTGTTTGCTGTTGCAGTCTAGTCAAGGATGTGGCCATTGAAGGCTTGCACGGCAAGAAGTCGTCTCGGCAACGTGTGTTTGATACGTTCAAGGACAGAGAAAAGTATGTGTCAGTGTGGAGTCGTGCACGCAGTTCACCCTTCTAAAAACTATGCATGTTGTCAAGCTATCCACTGGAGCTACATGTATTTGCAGTGTCTGATTGTAAGGGATGTCCTTTTTGTGCTTTGATATGCTGTAGTATTTATAGTGTGGCTACATTGCAATTGGAATTCAAATTGATTTTTGTCTCTCATTTTTACATTTCCCTTCTCCCATTCCCATCTTGTCATTCAATCTCTCACTCATTTACTGACTCATTCTCTCTTGCTCATTCTCTCTCTCTCTCTCTCTCTCTCTCCATTTTTCGTGTTCTGGTTTCGCTGGTGTCTGTCTGTTGGCTGCAGCGGTATTCTTGTCTGCACTGATGTACTGGCACGTGGTGTGGACATCCCCGTGGTACAGTGGGTCATCCAGTACGATCCACCCTCAGCAGCAAGGTACGATACTGAACCGGGCACGATAGACGACTTGGGCACGTGTGTGTGTGTGTGTGTGTGTGTGTGTGTGTGTGTGTGTGTGTGTGTGTGTGTGTGTGTGTGTGTGTGTGTGTGTGTGTGTGTGTGTGTGTGTGTGTGTGTGTGTGTGTGTGTGTGTGTGTGTGTGTGTGTGTGTGTGTGTGTGTGTGTGTGTGTGTGTGTGTGTGTGTGTGTGTGTGTGTGTGTGTGTGTGTGTGTGTGTGTGTGTGTGTGTGTGTGTGTGTGTGTGTGTGTGTGTGTGTGTGTGTGTGTGTGTGTGTGTGTGTGTGTGTGTGTGTGTGTGTGTGTGTGTGTGTGTGTGTGTGTGTGTGTGTGTGTGTGTGTGTGTGTGTGTGTGTGTGTGTGTGTGTGTGTGTGTGTGTGTGTGTGTGTGTGTGTGTGTGTGTGTGTGTGTGTGTGTGTGTGTGTGTGTGTGTGTGTGTGTGTGTGTGTGTGTGTGTGTGTGTGTGTGTGTGTGTGTGTGTGTGTGTGCAGGACAGTAAATAATTCCTCTTCTCGCGTAACTCCACACTCTGCTGTGGTGCGTGTGTATGTGTGTGCGTTGATGCTTGCATGCGTCTGTATGTTTACAGTGCATTTGTGCATCGCTGTGGTCGTACAGCACGGATCGGTCAAGAAGGTGAGTACCGGGTACATGTAATCATTGTCTTTGCACCATAATACTGGTACTTGCATGAGGTAGTCTGGCCGCCGCCTGAGATATTCTGGTATCTTCCTGAAAGGAACTAGCAGAGCATGTCTGCGTGTCGGAATTACCACTGGGGGCGCTTGGGCAGGTTTTGCATCTTGGGGAAATTTTTCTTTTTTACTTCCGGTTGTAGGTACATGTAACTTAGGCCTCGTTTACACGACAACGATTGAAAAACGTTTTTGTCAAAAACGTTTTCAAAAGAATACGCTTCCACAGATTTTGATAAGAGCGTTTACACGACAACGCTGAAAAACAATTCAAAAACGTTTCAAACGAAAAACGGCCTCCAAGTGTTTTTCAATCGTTTTCGTTCCGTTTCGTTCTCGTGTAAACGGCAAAAACGTTTTACTAGTACGAGCCTTGTACTCAAAACATGCCGCCGCCAGCCTGCGCCAGGCCAACTTTTTGCACGTGACCATTGCGCGCCGAAAAAAGTGTTGCAGTGTACACGATTATCGTTTTCGTGTAAACAGCAAAAACGTTTCGAAAACGATTGAAAAACGTTTTTCAATCGTTGTCGTGTAAATGAGGCCTTACTCTCGGCTTTGAAAATAGGGTTGTTGCACTCGGGTTTGTGAAGCTTCAGAAGTACGAAGTAAGTTTTCCCTGACAGGACCCCGGTCGCTGCACCTGATGACTAATGATCTCGGGAAAACTTTTACGTCAACGAAAATCCCGCCATGGGCCAAACTGAAGATGCACACAGTGGCACTCTTGTTTACATGTATGTACTCTTGGCTCAATCCTTCTTTTGTTCATGTTTTGTTTCGTGTCCAGGAAATGCCCTCTTGTTTCTTTTGCCTCTTACATTGAATTTCTGGGCATCAATCAGCAGGTCAGTGGGTTCGTACACTTGTTGACACTGGTATGGGCTTTCTAGTAGGGGTGAAACGGTTCCATGCTTTTCATGTTCGAGTACCCTAATGCCAGCATAGTTTCCCACGGGTCGGGTATCGGTTCCATGCACTCCATGCATTTGTGAAAATTATTTGTTAGACAACATTTCTGTGAGCAAGAACGAGACATCGGAGAGTCCATGTGCGAAGAAGATAATGACCAGGAGAACCCTTTGGAAGAGCGGTGATCGTAAGGTAAAGACATTTAAAATCTTGAGTTGACTTGACGTGTACATGTATTTGTACAAGAACGAGATTTTTCAAGTTTCGGTTCGAAATTTGACGGAACGGGTACCCGATTCTTTTCAGCTGGCGGTTCCAAAACCGGTTCCTTACCCGAACCGTTTCAATCCTACTTTCTAGAACTACTGAACTACAGTCCATTTCAAAACTATGGAGGCGTACCCAGGCAAAAACCGTTATGCCAGCATCTATACCACATAAAATCTGTGATCACTTTGTGCATACAGTCCATTCATCGGAAACTGGCCCGCTGGCTTTTGAAAGTCTGATTTGAGCCGAATTGAGGATCAAAAACCCACTTTAAATCTCAAAATCTGGGTTTTGGATCTGCTTCTCCATACATTTTGCCATGGTATACCTGTCCCAATTTTGTAAAACCTGGCCGAATTTCTATTTCCCTGTTCTTGGACTTTTCTGGCCTCAAATGTTGCAAGGAGTAATTGCACGGGTCACACAATGCAGGATGTACTCTTGGTTTCACGATATCTACAACTATGTGTGGGAGACACGAAAAAGTTAGGGTGCCAGTTTCCAATGAATGGACTGTAATTTTTTTCCAAATTGGGCGTCTGTTGAAATGTCGAAAGTTTGCTCCTTACTTAAGTTAGAACGGGGTTACTTTGTACACTGTGGGATCCCCTCACCAAGAACAGAAAAAGATTGAAACTTGACTCCAACGAAAGGCTTTGCTGACGTGAATTTGTGTTTCTTCAGCACCGTGGTTGTGAACCTGTGCTTTTCAGCACCTGTGCCTTACACTAGCCAAGTGTTCGTGTCTGGTGCAGACAGAGATAACGTTGATCATGCAGCAGTCCTGTGTCTACCTCCTCTCTCTGTCTCTCTCCCTCTGTCTCCCTCTCTCTGTCTCTCTCTCTCTCTCTCTCTCTCTCTCTCTCTCTCTCTCTCTCTCTCTCTCTCTCTCTCTCTCTCTCTCTCTCTCTCTCTTGCCTATGGATACCTTGTCTACACTTTTACAGATCACCCTCCAGAAAATGGAGTTAGACAGCGACATCTTTGCCGCAACGAACAAGATCCGTAAACTTGTGTGCCGTGATCGGTATGTCTTCATCTCGGCCCCTGTTTGTGTGTTTTCAACTCTGGAGCATGCAGTTGTTTTGTGGAACTTGCACAATTGGTGGTGTAGCTGGTACTTTGGCTGTATGGTTGACTACCTTCATTCCTTGATTCAGGTATAACTTCTGCCCGAAAATTTCCACTGCCTCCAGCCTAGGTCAACGTGATGGTGACCTAGGTAAGGAAATGCTGTGAAAACCGTATATTGACTGGGCAGTGAAGAAAGCAGTGATATAGTGCCTCGTAACTTCTGACTGCGCAGATGGAAAATACAGCCGGTTTGTCCATTTTTGTGCTGTGAGGGAGACATTCTACACCGATAATTCTTCATGTCTCGTCTGTCAGTGTAGTTATTATGTGCTGCTGTTTGGTTGTCAACTATCAATAGCCTATCGCAGCTGTGTATCACCATTTCTTTCCCTGCTCTTCTGTTTGCAGTCAGTTGATGGAGAAAGGCACGCGGGCGTTTGTAGCGTTCATTCAGTCCTACATGAAGCATGAGTGCAGTTTAATCTTCAAGCTCAAGGGTGAGGACGACTGCACATTTTGTTAGCATTGTTTGCCAGTGTACGCCCCTTGTATCTGACACGTGTAGTGCTGGTGTAAATGCATATGCATGTACTGGCTTAGAGGAGGCCTCCCTGTGGAGTTCGTCGTTGCCAGGAAAGTGCTGTGTCCACACTACATACTGTTTCCATCCTGTGGCTGTGTTGAGTTGCACAGCACCAATTCAACCCATTCACTTCACCCCTCACCGCTGACTTGTGCTGTGGACCTGAAGACAAGGCGCTGCCATGTTCCCTGGTAACGTGTGCAGTTACTTCAAAGTAGGTTTAGCCCAACTGCAGATTCATGTTCGTACTTGCAGTTGTGTAGCCCTGTAACAGAGTTTTATGTAATCGCTTGGTGCTCTTATGCTCAGATCTGGACATTGGCGCCCTGGCCACCAGCTTTGGTCTCTTGCGTTTGCCACGCATGCCAGAGCTACGCGGGAAGACCGTCACAGGGTTTGTGCAAGCCGATGTGGATATAGACTCCATCCGCTATGCGTAAGTCTACTTATTGTGCAATGAAAGGAATAGAAAGAAATGGAGTGTGTAAGACAGGGGAAAGAGAAAGGGATTAGTCTTGTTAGTGACAAGGTTGTTGCTGTAATTGCACTTTTGATGGTTGAGATCATCAATAGTCAACGTCGTTTCTCTTCATGAATTGACTTCTTACAGTGGTTGACAACAACATGGAGCTGCCCTTTCACAGAATTTCGATCTTTGTGACTTTTGGTGGTCTCCATCCCCTGTGTGTGAATGGCTGCAGGAATTCTGTCATGGAAGAAGCCAGGCAACGAAAACTGGAGCGTGCCAGAGAAGGTATGCTTGAATTGATCATTAGAGAGGTTTAGTCACTCGTGCCTGAAGGCAAACAAAACAAGGTCTACTCGTTTTAGTCACAATCTCGTCTTTTTGGACTTGAGAGGTTAAAAGTCTCTCGTTATGGTTCTTTAGTAAATCTTCACCACATGTTTTGGTAGGGCGTGTCCGGTATGGGGACATGATTTGGCTCTCATGCGGTCACACACGCGCACTCTTCAACAAACTGCGCAGACCCTGCTTCGTTGTAATGAAAAATTTTCACGAAACCCTGCCAAGGCTCATCCCTGGACCGGTTGGAAAACTCAGGTTTGCTTGCTTATCAACAAGTGACTTTAGTGCCAGCTCTGTACAACTGTTTTGCTTGTTCACTGCAAATTGCTGGTTGGTCACAAAGTTGGTATATTTGTTGTGTTGCTTTTCTTGAATTTTTGTAGCGGCAGCGGCGGCAGCACCTGGGGGGAAACGGAAACGATCGGTAAGGCGCCTTTCATTTGTGTTCCTGTGAGCATGCTTTCAACATGCCATGGTGTGTGCAGCTCTGGTCAATACAGCTTCATCTACTGATCGTTTTGCCTATTGCACTGCCTCTTTATGGTTCAAGATACCGCATATTCTGTCTTCTAAGTATTAGCACATGCCTCTCTTACAAGGGCATGCCGCATGTTGTAATTTCTTTGCTTTTCATTCAAAGTCACTTTGGTATGCAGTGCGCACTACGGAGGCTGGAGGTGCGGTGTATAGTATTGCTCGTATGTGTGGGGTTTGTGACAGTACATCCCTGTTACCAGTACTGCACTGAAACAGGTCTCCGTTAATCCAGCACCCTCGATTTCCGGTAGGATCTCGAACAAAACCGAACCATTGCCAGTATGACTTGTATACGTTTTACCATGTGACTGACGATGTCAAGCCGACATTTGCTGTCCAACTGTACAATGTGCATGTACTTTGGCACTACATGTACAATTGTCATGTACTTCATTCTTTTTTTATGCCCTGGCTATCCTATATACAGAGCTCTCAAGATGAAGCTTGGTCGAAGAAGAAAAAGAAGCTGGAGAAGAAGAGAGCGTCCGAAACTAGACAAGTTCGTCTTGGATTCCTCGACAAGGTATGTGCATGCATTGTCCTTACCTATCTGTGTGTATGAGTACATCAACAATGTTTGTTGTTGGCTTACTTTCCCAATAATGCTACTTGGTGCATTATTATGTCAGTTCAGATTTGGCCTGAATTGTCTTGAGCTTTGGTGACACATGTTTCACTGTTGATACTGCAGAAGGGCAAGGCACGCTGGAAAGACAGTGAGCTGGATGAGCTGCAAAGAGAAGCCTCCTTACTCAAGAAACTCAAGCGGGGAAAGGTGAGTCAGACACTACATGATGACTGCATCTATTGTAGGTTGCTAGCACATGTGTGTTGTTGCATCTAGTTAGCTCTGAGTCTCTGACTATCTTCATCATAATAACTAGTACCCAACTATTTGTGATTTTAGCTAGCTCTATCATACGACACATTCTTGGCCGATCCATGCCACTTCCACACCGCTGCGAGGACCCCAACTGAGATAACTACATGTATGGATATTGAGACCCAGCTGGGGTTTTTTCTCCTTCAGAACTCAACATTTGGAAGTTCCTCTTTTCTACTTCTACTTCGAAGTACTTGTGTAGACATACTGAAGTTTGGCCGTTGAAAGTCTAAAAAAGCTTGTCATCTTGACTGGCAAATCATGCCATTCACTTTGCGTTGTGTTTCATTGTTTGACTTTGTGTGCATTCAGATCACACAAGCCGAGTTTGATGAGCGGACAGCATGCGATGATGATCTCTAGAGTGCCGTGAGTTTGAAACACCGTCCTATCAGCACTACACTCGTACGAACTGACAATCTGGCCGGCAAATGCTGACTGTGCAGGATGTGTTCAGGCTGACGAAGCAAACATGTGACTCTTTCTATTTCCATGTTGAGGGAATTGTCATCGTCAGCTTGGAATTCCTTGCTGGTCCTGTTCACTTCTTGTACATGTACATACTCTCTGTATTATAGTTTAGCTATTGCACATAGGTGACGATTTGTACATATGACGTTGCAGATTCGTAGGCTTTCCTCTGTATTATAATGCAATGCGTGTACATGCAGTGCTAAATTATGTTCCTGCTTCCTGAAACACAGTGCGGGCTCGGCCTTTGTTCTGCACGTTCTCTGCTGAAAGTCAAACAGCATAATCCTTTCTTGTGAAATTCAGTGCTTTTGTCTGGTGTTGACATAATTATATCAGAATATTGAACAAAGTTGTTGACCGGTGTATGATCATCGAGGTTTGTTCGTGGCTGGTCAGTGGTTGCAAGTTCTGTACTTGTGTAGTGTCTGGCCTGGCAATGGCCACCATCAAAAAGGGGTTTTGTATATTTGTCACTGTGTTACGTGCAGTTGCACGTGTGAGTGTATAGCTCAAATCTGCAGACATAGACCTCTATCTTGGATGTAACAGAATATCTCTTTGCACTGGATGTGAAGTACTTTTCACCCTGCATATTCTTCTCCGGTTGTTTGGCCTCGGATCATACATAGTATATTATAGGGAAGTATTACAGTAGAATGTGTTTTTCCCCTTGTACTTTTTAGGTGTAGGTACCAGGAGCATAACCCTTGTATTCGGAGAGGTTGTGTACTCTTGATCAGGGAGTATTTTGCTACTCTCTGGCCCTGGCCCTGGGACCAGGGACTGGGAGGCTGCGCTGGGACCCTGACACTGGACAGTCGTACCAAGAGTACAGACAGTCATGTACATGACTGACTGTGCTCTTGGTCGTACACACAGCACATTATGCACTGTACAATAGTATCAAGAGTACATAACTACACAAGAGTGTGCAACTCCACGCATGGGATCTGGTTCATCGGAATTCCTAGTTCAACTGCATGGTGCGCGGCGTGCGCGATGTTTTGCAGTCTTCGGATCGCACTTTGGCCCACAAACTGGCGCCAGACGCGCAAGACGGCAGAGTGAGGGTGTGTAGTTATGTACTCTTGATAGTATCAATACAATCATGCATATTTCAAGAGTCGAGTCATGAATCTCATGACTGTGGACTACGTCATCGAAAACATCACCTTTATGTCATTCTTCTGGTTACCCTTGGCGAAAATGGCGTCGAAACTTTCAGCATTTCAAACGTTGAAATTTACCTGGCCTCCTTCATAGTTTCCGCAGAGATGAAGCTGCAGTAACTGTTGTTGTTTTAGTGGATTTTCTTCAGAGGCAGTAACAAATTTATTGTTAGGTCTTTCATAGGAGCGCGTGATGGCTGATAATGCTCAAGTGGCAGCAGCTGGCCCTGGTGATGCTGCACCAGCTGGCGGCGAGCAGCAACAACAGCAACAGCAACCTAGTATTTTGCGTACAATTCTCACTCAGCTGTTCATAATGTATGCGATTAACAGCTTTTTTCGGTCAGGGAAAACCTCCGGTCCTGCTGCAAGCGTAGGGCGCAATTTATTTCCTCCTAACCAGTCTATGGTACGTGATGCACTCATCTGTAAGGGATAAGTTATCACTACAGCTGTATTTGATTCTAAATGACTTGTGGAAAGTGAAGGAAAGTTTCATCCGTCAGACCTTGATTCAGGAAGTGTACTTGGTAAACTATTATTGCTCTATTAGCCCAAAAGGTCGACTGTTAGACCTATGTTTGGCCTAGCTTTCTGTAAACTGATCCCTCGGCTCCTGTTGCTATCAGACCACAGATAACAGGTACCAAAGTGACCACCGCAAAGCGAAATTTCAATCCGTATACCCAGATCTCATTATCAAACATACAGAGCCTGACCATGGCAGTAGTTCCACTGAAGTACAGCTGCGGAAAGTAAAATCTGGAACAACGCATGCCTTTAGAGCAGTGAGTGGATCTGGTTGACCTGCATGTGTTTGGGACAGTGCTGAGAACACCAAGACCGAGTGACCATCAGCACGGTGTACACTGGTTCTGATTTCACGTAACGTAACTGTAGATTTCATCGCACCGAACGATTCGAGGGGCGGAAGTGTGCAGCTCTGGAGTCGTCAGTCACATGCTCACCCCTTCCCATGCAGTTGCAATCCATTGCAGTATCAGCTAGCAGAGCACTACTTCTCCAGCTAGCTGACACGCTACACTGAAACTTGTATTAGCTAGCAGAGCACTACTTTTTTGACTAGCTAACACGCTGCACTGAAACTTGCTGCTTTTCAATGGGAGAAAGACAACACCAGCGTTGAGGCCATCATACCCACTACAGTTGATGCTACGATGCTCGGGGTAACATTGGTTGGAGCGTGGTCGGTTTGTAAGAAAGTCCCCATTCTATTTGGTTACAGGTACACACATGCGCAGTCAATATTTCTTTCGATTGGCGTGAGAGAGGGAGGTGTTGCTCTGAAAGACTGAAACTATTATTACTTTTCATTTCAAGACATTGATTTTTACGGAAAGCCCTTAAACTCTATGTGCATTGTATATCTGAGCTTTGACTCATATCAAGTGTGTTGGTTGTGTGTGATTTGTCGGTCCCTCGTTTAGGAACTTGCTGTATACCTGACAGAAAGTAGCAATTTTACTGAATTTAATTGCACCAGCTGCTTGCTATGGGAGGAAGCCGAGCTGGTGATGGGATCATGGACGGATGGTCCCAATAAAGATGGCAAATTTTCATTCTCAACGAATATTTCCATATCAGAGGTCAGTGAAGGTGTTACTATGGTATGATCGTGCAGCGAAATTCCTGTAGATCCTTCATGGAGGTATTTCTTCCAAGAGTCTTCATGGTCATTGATAGTGCACTTGTATGCTAATAATTATGAAGAATACTCCTTTGGACTGGATCTGTTATTGCCTTGACTTCCGTTGTAATCTGTTTCTTGTTCGTGTAGCCCATGCTATTCCTTCTCATTTGGTCTCTCCCTCTCTCTCTCTCTCTCTCTCTCTCTCTCTCTCTCTCTCTCTCTCTCTCTCTCTCTCTCTCTCTCTCTCTCTCTCTCTCTCTCTCTCTCTCTCTCTCTCTTTCTCTTTTGTGCAGGCTGTTCAAAACAATGGTTCATTATATTTGCATGCGTTTGTGACCAAGACGGGCCACTCACCTGACCCAAGTAGCACTACCTATAATCAACTGAGTACTGTCAACTCCTCAAGATGTAAGTCACATGACCGGGAGGAGCAACTTTCCGACATTCAGGACCCTTTCACAGTGACAGTACATATAGTATAAAGAAAAGTTATGCAGTTGCGCAGCCGAACACAACCACTACACTGTATTCAAGAATGGTTGGTTTTCGAAGATCTGTTTGACTGAACGTTGTCTGCATTCTAACCAGTTTTGTTTGTGTGCTCCATTCGCATTGCTTCATCTCTTTGTCACTCGCAGTGTTGACTAGATATAAGCCACAGCCGATAAAGAAGACGGCAAACTTGTTGACTGGTGAATCGGACCAGAACGTACCAGAAATTAAGGTGAGTTTCTTTCTTTCTGTTTCTTCTTGGGAAGTGCAGTTGTTGTGCTCGTTCAAAGGAAGGAAGAAGAAAGTCCACCTGCAATACGTATGCATATTGAACCAACATGTTCTCAGCAATGCACTGTTTTGTTGCTGTCTATTTATCGTCTAGGACCGTGGCTTCACCTTCTGGCCTGTGCTACCCAATACCTGTTCCAAGAGTTTATTTGTATACTGTACTGTAAGGGGCCATCCGTAAATATAGATATTTAGTTAGAAACGAAAACTAGTCGTTTAGGGGGGAGGGGGTTGAGCGCCTGTTCGTTTCTCCAAAAATATCAATGTCCATTTTGCATATGTGAGCATGTCCAGAAAAAGACCAAAAATATTGATACTATGTACCATTTGTATGTGTTCGTTTCTCAGGGAGGGGGAGGGGGTTGAAGAGAAACGACTAGTTTTCCTTTCTAAATATATATCGGTATTTACGGAAGGCCCCTAAGTTACAAGCAATGTTGTTCACTTCATGTGTTGGATCTATGCAGGATGACACGCCTCGTAAGATCATCAGCTTCTGGCATCCTAATTTGACACTCAATGTCCTGGCAGATCATACCAACTGGCAGCGAGATGCTGTCCCACCTCCTATGGACAAATGTGAGTGTCACACCTCAACTCTCCCTCCACATTTGGATCATATTGCTAGTCCACGGCATTGCAAACAGTTTGGTATAAAGTACTCTGGATATGAGTCATACGACATCCTATGGGATACAGGTGCTATCCTTGAGAACCCTGCGTTATGCTGCACCTGTCATCTGACCTAGGTCTACAGTACCTTTCAGCTTTAAGGCACAGACTTTACGACCCTTGGGTGCCTTTTACTGACATGTCACTGTACTACTCTTGACTGACTTGCCATGTCATTTGTATGTTGAAGAGGTCATTTGTGTGTATGTCTTCTAAAGCACTGGTTGTTCTGTTTATTACTTGTCCACAGTCATCGAATTTGACAACATGACAGGCGATTACTTTCCTGTTCTGTATATGAATGATTACTGGAACATGGCCAAGGATCACTATCCCATCAATGAAACTACTCCGTAAGTTCTTTCTCTCTCTCTCTCATCGTCTCTCTCCCCTCCCCCCCCCCCCCCTCTCTCTCTCTCTCTCTCTCTCTCTCTCTCTGTGTGTCTCTATCTATCTGGGTGTGTGTGTGTCTCTCTCTCTCCGTCTCTCTGTCTGTCTGTCTGTCTCTCTCTGTCTGTCTGTCTCTCTCTGTCTCTCTGTCTCTCTCTCTCTCTCTCTCTCTCTCTCTCTCTCTCTCTCTCTCTCTCTCTCTCTCTCTCTCTCTCTCTCTCTCTCTCTCTCTCTCTCTCTCTCTCTCTCTCGTCATTGTGTATTCTGTTGTGGTTGTAGCAGCCACCTGGTCTGTATGCCCTCTATTCTTTGTACCAAAAGTGTTAAATGTATGTCAATAGTCACCAGGAACCACCAGCATTCAAAAGCCAGCCAGTCCGGTCGCTCCAGCTAGGTTTCATCTTTACATGTATCTCCATTGCCTCGTCGTGGTTCTGTGTTCTTTTTGCATTGTATTGCACGACTGGATGTTCTGGGCAGCCTTCACTCTACTGCTGTCACATTGACTATCCCTTTCAGAGCCATCACTTGCAGTCTTAGTACTCTGGATGTCTTCCCTTGACCAAACATAGCCACTGTGTAAGCAACAGGTATCATGTACATGTTTTCATCATATTTATTCACAGGAGGCTGGTTTCACATGTATCTGTTCTGTCATTCTTTGCTGTTTCTGATTTGCGGAGATAGAGTTCTTCCCCTGAACCTGGAGTACAGTCCATTGACTATCTTCTACTGGCAAATGTACCTCTCTCAGTCCATGAAGCCGCAGTGGATGCAGTGGATGGGTGAGCAACAGGCTACTGATGAAGAGCAGGACTCGTTCAAGGAGACGCTAGTTGAGACCAATCCCTACCTGCTGGGAATGACCATAGTGGTCAGTCTACTGCACACGGTCTTTGAGTTCCTGGCGTTCAAGAATGGTGAGTGTGCTGGGTCACGTTTCTCTACCTTGTTTGGTGTCTTTTGGGCATTGTGCCACTGTGAATGGAAGCCTTTGAGAGGGCTGTGTGTGCTCTTAATCGTCCTCTACGGGTTGGAATGGGTATTTGAAGAATAAGAGGTTTGAACTTTTTCTCCTCACTTGTTGCACGTTGTACAGTAGATTTGGGATGCTTTCGAGAGACGGGTTGTTCTGGTGGTACTTTCATGGTGATTGTTTTTGCTTCTGATGCTGCAGATATTCAGTTCTGGCGCAATCGCAAGTCGCTGGAAGGTCTCTCAGTGCGCACCATCTTCATGAGTGTGGTGCAGAGTGTTATTGTTCTGCTGTACGTCATTGATAACGACACCAACACCATGGTCATTATCAGTGTGGCCGTGGGCCTGGTCATTGAGATGTGGAAACTACCCAAGGTTTTGAACATTGGGGTAAGCTGCTGCCGCCGCTACTGCTGTTGCTGCTACTGCGTGGTCATTGGAAGAGTATGTGCAGTCCTGGCCAGAGAAACTCGACCTCATCCTGGCTAGAACTGTACAATCATGTACATGATTGTGCATGTGTGTTGAGTGATTTTCATCAGTAAAGGTTTGGAGATATTGAGATGTGATTGTTAGCATATTTCTACAAGTAATTTGCCTTTGTAAACGTCTCCAGTGTGACCTGTTGAAAGCATGTTCATGCGTATAGTGTGCAGTGCCCTTCTTAAGGCTGGCCCTCGATGCTAACCTTGTGGTGATGTTTGCAATCTTCTCTGGACTGTTTCCAGATTTCTCCAGATCGGAAGCTGCTTGGTGTGCTGCCTTTGCCAACGTTTGCATACAAATCAACCTATATTGAGTCTCCAACTAAGAAATACGATGAGGTAAGCTGATGTTATCATTTTCTTTCCGATTTCAAAGTAGAGATAACTATAGAAGCTTAGGCCGCAACCACACTACGTAAAAATCACAGTACAAATTTTCATGCATATCTCAGTACAAGTCGGTACGCAACCACACTACACTTTTCGGTCTGCATAGATGACGTTTTCGCGCGACCAGCACGTGACGTTGTCGTACCAAAGCGTGTGTCATGCGCTGGAAAAGACCGGGAAATTCAAAAACAATGCTGATGCTGATGCTATGTACGACGACCAGGTACAAAAACAAAGTTGTACACAGGAGATGGAGCGCGAAAATGACGAAAACGACAAACGTGGCTTTCTACAGGGGTGCGCCAGTTGCTGAAAACCTACAAAGCGCATTTTGCATTTCGCACGCGTCGGCATGACGATTTCTACTGTAATGCCGTTTGTACGTGATTTTGTACCTAGTGTGGTTGCAGCCTTAGCAGCACTGGGTGTTGTATTTACGGGGTTTTTTCTCCTCCTTTCATCGCTACTTTTTCCGTGTCACCGTCAGCCAAATGATTTTCCATTTCGCTTAGTGCGCTTTTGCTTATGCTGGGTGGTAGTGAAGGAAGTCAAAAGCGGACAGTGCTAACACCGAAGGAAGCAGCAAGATAGGTTCTGGATATTGAATGGGATTGATGATATTGCATGGTGGAGAGATTGACTCTGTAAGTTAATATGGTGATATGAATCAGATGCATTGCTATTGTTGTAATCAGACTCCACGTTCTGTTGCTGTTTTGTGGCCACTGAACTACTGAAGCTTGTGCACCTTTTCCTGCGTGTCGATGTGTGCTGCAGATGGCCTTCAAGTACCTGTCCTGGCTGGCATTCCCACTGCTAGTCGGTTATGGAGTGTACTCGCTGCTCTACCAGGAGCACAAGGGATGGTACTCGTTTGTACTCGGCATGTGCTATGGATTCCTGCTGACATTCGGTTAGTGCTGGCATGCCCTGGCAAACAACAACACGATTACACGTTTCTGCTTTCTGCGTTTGCGCAGTCAGAACCATCTTCTCTCTTTCTGATACTAGTAGTCATCATGATCTAGCAGCGAGATTGTTCAATCACGTGGGTAGCAGAGCCACATTGGGCGTTTGCAGGTGTTTGAAAATCCTATCGTTCCGGCTTGCCTCCATAAAGTAACGCTTGTCATGATTTCTCTACGATCACCATTGGCAACGAGTCAAGTTTTTAGGTCTCGGAGAATGCCTATGACAGTTAGCTGAGTGCTAAACAGAGAATGTTTTCTCCTGTGCTGCTTCACCTTGCAATTTACCTTTCTTTTCAGGTTTCATCATGATGACACCGCAGCTCTTCATCAACTACAAGTTGAAGTCAGTCGCTCATCTTCCGTGGAGAATGATGACGTACAAGGCATTAAACACATTCATCGACGACATCTTTGCGTTTGTCATCAAGATGCCAATGCTGTATCGCATCGGCTGCTTGAGAGATGGTAGGCACCTGCTGGACATTTTCAATTGTACTGCATGTGTGTTTGTCGTTTTAAAGTGGCTTGCGTGTAACATGCCTCTGTTTTTGAGTTTTCACTTTCCCTTATTGCTATGCTTTGGTCTCCCACTCACTGAAGTATTGAATTGGTTTTCTTCTTTGAATCCTATGTGCAGATGTAATCTTCTTCATCTTCCTGTATCAGCGTTATATCTACCGTGTGGATCACACTCGTGTCAATGAGTTTGGCGTGTCCGGCGAAGACCTTGGTGCACCAGGAGAGGGGGTCAGTGCTACTGCTGCTGTTGCTGATGCTGCAGAGGTTGCTGATGGCCAGGAGGCTGAGAGTGCTCCGGAAGCGTTGCCTGAAGATGACGAGGCAGACAGAACAGAGGAAGACGGTGGGGAAAGTAGCAGTGAGCCTGCTGCAACAGCTGAAGATGACAGCGTCGATGATGGCACTGAGCTGCGGAGAAGACAGGCCACGTCAACGTAGTCACTGTGTATGTGTGTGTGTGTGGTGTTTGGTAATACTGTTTGGTGATGCCGGCGGTGTTACATGTTCTTCCTGGGACGGATGTGGAAAGAGGAGATGCACCAGCCAAGCCGGTACACTGTCAGTCCGCTCCGCTGCGACAATGTTTGTCTCCGGAGTTCAATGCGCTGACAGCTGCTACCCCGGGGTGGTCCTGCTTACATCCTGCTGCCTCAGCTTGTCCTTGCGGCTTACTGGCCTATCAAGGCTTATGCACTGTGCTTCCGTGTGATTTTAGTGCAGCCTGCCTTTGATACACATTTCTTCAGCACGTCATAACCATGACACATGACCATGAAATTTAAATATAAGTTATGCAATTCCATTTCTTCTACTCCGAGGAGACACGGACTTGCTTGTGTAAGTGTTTCAAAAGCGTTCCATCATCATGTCATTATTTACACAGCAGAGCTGACCAGCTTTCCATCTCTCTTTTTTTAAACTCATTGTGTAACGAATCTTTGTGAAAAATGCCGGATTGGCTACTTCAATTCCAATCAAGCCATGCAAGATAGGAGCATTGTGGTGACCTTGTCTTTGATTGTTTGTTTTTTTGTTTTTTTGTAACGTCCAGTTGGTTGTTCATTTTCCTGGTTTATGTACTGTCGTATGTTGTAACCCGAACTAACTTGTATGGATATACCCTACACTGGCTACAGTACAAACTGAGCAGTGACCCTGGCTTGCAGCTACCTGTGTGCTTGTCATAATTTTGGGGACCCAAGCTGTACAGGTGTAACCACGCGAATTTCCGGACGCGGCTGGAAAGGGACTGTACTGGGTTTCTTCTGAAACTGACAATGCAGTGCCATCCATGATCGCTGATTACATCTCATTTCATGCCGCATTAGAGTTTTGATATCTCAGTCACTGATAGCGAGTCGAACTCACCCTCAGTGTCGGAACAGCTGCACAGACGGTGAAGACAAGTCTCGCTCTGGTAATGCCTTTTTCCTGTGTAGGACCATCGGTATCTCAACGCCATACAGTAATCAGGTGGTGATACTGGACTGTGGATAGTTTTTTTTTAAGTACTGTGCCCTTCTTTGAAGTTCTTTCCCTACATCATGTTATTATCTGGTGAATAGCCAGCTTCCAAGACAAAGCGTCCAAGGCCTTTGTTGTCATCGTAACCATGGCGCTTGGCGTAGCCAAAGACAACCCTTATTAGTTTTTTGGCGTTTGGGGTCCAGGTGTTTTTGGATGTGCGTTGTATTCCTTTGCGGTATGCAGCCAGAAGCCCCTTCACGCGAGCAAGGATTTCGGAATGCATGCGTCGGAGCAGCATTCACTACATATAGTCTATGACTCTATGGTGAGTATGGAACTACGAGGTCTGAATTTCCATGTGCACGTGAGTCTGACAATGCCCATAGCATCATCCCGCCATGGCTTAGCCGCTAGAACAAGGTGCTACATGTCTCAGAAACCTCCAACTAGAGTAACTAACTTCGCGGCCCTCGCAGGCTTCAGGTCTGAAAGTGAAATGTCTGCCAGAGATACCTGACCACGGACCATGCTTGTGTAATAGCATGCGTCGAACTCACACATGAGACCAGAGACCTAGACACTAGACAGAGTGTCAGGACCACACGGCTGTTGGTTGCTGCGAGGTGTAGTGTCGTCTCCCGTCTGTTGACCTCCCAGTACTGCAGTGTGCGTATTGCGTAAATCTACTCATCTTCGACTTCGGACATTTCAAACGGGCAGAGAAGAAGACGGAGATCCTTTCTCTATGCTGTGAGCACACACGTAGATTTACTGCCGTACTGGGGACTTTGGCGAGTTGACATAGAATGTCCTTCGAGAGCGGAGAGGGGAGAAAGAGGACGTAGTAACGGTTGGTAAGCAGATAGTTACCGAACACCGTCCACCATTCAGTATTGTGCGGAGAAAAGTCGGGAAAAGAGAGGTGGAGTACACCGATATCTGGTCGACGGCATGCCAGTTGGGTCTGGTTAGTTTTCAGTCCTGCCTGCGGGTAAACCAGTCGGTGACGACATAGTCATTGCGAGCATGCCGGAGAAGCAATGAAGAGTCAAAGTGGAGGTAGGTCACCGATGAAACGCTGTGCTATGCGGTTGTTATGTCCCCACCTGAATGCTGCATGGCCGCTGCAGTTATGATAGATAACTGACTGACTGAGGGTTAGCAAGCGACCTGGGCAACTAATTACTTACTTGCTAGCACTGGGCATTGATCGACATACAAGACGAACATGAATTTACACCTTGCGAAGTCTCAAGATGAAGCAGCTTTACTGGCGATTGGAAGTAGAACTCCACATTCCAGACGGAGAGAAACAGGGAACCATTGTGGCATTGGCAATACAAACCTGCATAACCATAGTCCGACGTCGGACTGTTTCAGTGGATGGATTTGAATGGTCATTATAACTTCATGCCTCGGAATCCCCAGTGGCGGCTAGTGTAGACATTCATCAACCCTTTCTGAAGTAGATTTAGTACACGATCATGCAGCCTTCCTCAGGCAAAGCGCTGATGTCAAGCGCATTTTGTCGTCTCTGAACTGGGTTTGGAGCTTGGACCCTTAATGGCCTTATATTGATGAGCATGCATCCACAGTACTGGAAGACACCAACCACAGTTTAATAGTTGCCACAGTGGCTAGCAAACTCTGTTGTGTAACGTTATCAATGATAAGAATCACCGTTCTATAATCTCTACAGATTCTGTTGATGGAGGGCGGCTGGCAGAGGATGCTGTCGATGCTGTGTTCACCGACCCAATGGATGGCTGGGAGAGGGCAGTGACATCAAATGGCATACCCTACTTCATCAGGTAACGTGTAGATCGACTAGCATGCAATCACAACAGAACAGTATGCTCAGCACATACCGGTATCATCGTGGTACACGGAAGGTGCCATGCACTGTATACGAGTATTACTAACGTTGCAACGAAATTGTATCTGAGCTGTATTAGGTGCCCTTCCAACTTGAGGCACCGATTCCACTGAATCCTTTCATGCCAATCATGCAGTGCAATTCTTTGGCATAGTGGGTTAATGAGGTTAATGTCAGCTAGAAGCTATCTTGCACATGCACAGGGTACAACCGGCCTGGGAGCCAATACTACGGTCTCAACAGCGAATAGAACTCAGTTCTCATTGAAGCTGTGTTGATTGACCTGATGTGATAATGAGACTATACAATGTAGCTGCACAAGCTTCTGCATTGTGCGGCTTCTTCGCCTTGTTCCATTAGGACTTGTTTCTTACTACCATCCATGATTACTTGGCTACTGCAAATCCCTTGTGTGTTTCCTATGTTGTTGCTTGCGCACTCAGCCACGGAGCAGAGACTACAACATGGGATCACCCATACATGACGAAGACTCTCCGTGCCCTCGGTAAGTACATCCCTGTGTGCAGCTCTACTGGGTGCTAGGCACACAGTGTGATGCAGTACTGTGAACATGTAGTGATGAGGCTGTGTGTCTGCAGAGGCTGTACTCGGATGTGTTTTATACATCATGACGTCATGGTCTCACAGGGAGTGCATATGCTTGCATTTGCCATGTTGTGCTGTTTGTCATCAACTGTGTGTATTCTCGTATACAGTCAACTTTGCTTATAACGACACTCGACGGGGCATCAGAAAAGTGTCCTTATTCGCGAAGTGTCCCTGTACCCGAAGTCTCATTATAATATGATTGTATTGCAGTTAGATGGGACCTTTGCTCTGGGCATGGAAACTCTGTCGTTAGTCGCGAATTGTCGTTATATCCACGGTCGACGGTTATTAGCGAAGTTGACTGTGCGTGCTATGTGTGCTATGTGTACAGAGGGTCTGAATGCTATCAAGTACGCAGTGTATCGGATGGCAATGAAGTTGAGATCTGTACAGAAGACGGCCGGCTGTAAGTAACTTAGCACTGCCCACAGTTACCTGGTCATTGTATTGTTGCCGGCTTGTATCCGTATCATGTGGAACTCGACTCATCATGTAACTTAGGATGCAACCTGCAGTAGACAATATTGCTGTAAGGGTCAGAGCTAATGTGCATTGGTCAATGGCCCGGCAAACTTGGACCAATTAACACGGAGTCAACACGTTGCCACAACAATGCCATGACTGTACACGAGGGCAGGGGTGTTGCACAAATGGACCAAGGTGAGCAATTCACATGACCAGCAAAATTTTATAAGTTATGTCATGACTGTATGCCATGCCTATACAATACGGTCATGTACTTGATGATAGGATGTTGGCAGTTTGTGCTCATTGACTGTTCTGTCACCTCGCCCCTTCTTTTACAGTGGATCACGTGACGTTGGCCTGTGTTGAAGAGGCGCTGCACAACAGTGGCGTCAGGCCTGGCAAAGTGTCGTGGAACTCCACCATTGCGGTGTCAGATGCGGAGACCGTGATCGGTAACATTTTCAAGATGGTGAAGAGCAAGTCGGCGCAGCAGGTTATGGACATCGCACAGTGCACAGACCTGGCGCTAAACTGGGTTCTAAACACTTATGACAGGTAACATGCCATGTGAAAGCTCCGACTGGTATCAATGATTATGCTGGAAATTGGTACATAAGTTGATTCACTGCCATGGGTAATTTTGTTAAATGGGAAGTTTTGCATTCCTCCTGGAGTTGCTAGTTCATCTTGAGTCACTGGCATATTTTCACGGATCGCTTTTATTGTACTACTGTGAGCAGTCCGCCACCATGTCATGTGACATCTGTATTGTTCTGTATGTGCACGTGTGTATGATTGCTTGTACAGCGGTCGGACGGGTCTGCTACATACCCTGTCTCTTGTCACTGGCATCATACTGCTGTGCAAAGGCAAGCTGGCAGATAAGTACCAAGGTAAGGAGATGCATGACTTCCAGCATTCCAGCTCTGTATTTGCAACACTGCTAATTTGGGAAAGAGCAAATGAAAGATTTTGATTGCCTTGGGTTTGGGACTTTTGTCTCTTATTCGGTGACTATGCTGGTCTTATGCCATTGCCAGTTCGAACATGTGTGGTTGTCGCGCATGGTTGCAGGCAGGTGTATGTTTGCATGCACAAGAAATACAGAGAGAGAGAGAGAGAGAGAGAGAGAGAGAGAGAGAGAGAGAGAGAGAGAGAGAGAGAGACGAAGAAAGAGATAGTGTCCCCAGCGAAGTTCATGTTCCAACACTAATTCTTTATCATGATTGTCCTCCATGAAACTGACACAGCGCGACTTGTGTGCATAACTGTCGTCTTGCATTGTAGCTCTCATAGCACATATTGGCGGTGGGAAAGATAGCCTGACTCGTGCAGACTGTGAGAAGTTTCTTCAGGACTGCCTGCAGGTAAGCACGGAGTATTAGATGACTATACATGCAGCATGCGATGTCATGTATTCATGGACGGTTTGGATACATGGCAAGTACATATGGGTCACGGGTTCACTAAGCTGCAGAGCTTGCTTTCTCAATGGACTCAGCGGTCGACTATGGTAAACTAAAACATGTCCAATTTTCCCAGTGAGGCATCATCTTCAACAGTCTTTTCTTGTGCATTTCATCCAGTAGATCACACAAGACAAATCAGAGGCTTCATGTAGTTTTTGCCTTGAATTGCTACACGCACCACACCATATTCATTGTCGTTACACCCATCTACACCCGGATGACTCAGGGGCGTCACACACGGTACGACCACTACGACCATGGTCGTACCACTTTTCGTCCAGGATGGTCCACCCAATTCATCCGAAAAAGCAATAAAAAAATTCAAGGATCTTCGGACTTGTACAAAACATCGCAACTGTTACTTTCATTGCAAGGAGCATACAGACTTGATGCCTAGCACTAGCAGCTACCAGGGCTACGCCCAAGACTCCAGGCGGCTATCCATTACGATAGGCGGTTGGAGTCACGGTTAGAGATAACCAGACGATGGATTCCTCACGGACGCATTCACTGCAAACTTGACGGAAACAGAGCTGAGCTGGCGGCGATCACTGGGTCCAGAACTAAAATTTTCCAAGATCTACCATGTTACAATGGCGATCAGCACGTCAAGAGACACTACATGTATGTCACTTGTCAGCTACAACATAATAATTATGTTCTTACTCGAACATGCCTCCGGATAGCACACGACTCGTTGTTTTAGAAGACTGTATTATAATGTTTTACTCTGACTCTGATCGAAATCATCTTGCAGTACAAAGGCAAGTTCTGCCTCTCTCGAAGCAGAAGCGGAGATTCAAAAACATTCAAATCAAAAGATCGCGCGAAAGCAGTGTACGCGACTACGCGCATCAGACGTGAATACAACATGAGAAGTGAAAGCAGTGTACGCGACTACGCGCATCAGACGTGAATACAACATGAAGAATGAAAGCAGTGTACGCGACTACGCGCATCAGACGTCAGCTGACGTGAATACAACATGAGGAACGAATGCGTAGTAGTATGATAATGCACAACAGTACAACAAGCAGTACTGATAGACACATAAAACGGAGTGGCTCTGTACCATTATCAGTGGGCTGGATATAGACTGTACATATCCCCCTTCCTGCTCGAATGGCATGGTGGAAGGAGAATGATCAATGAGAGCAGAACTAAGATTAGAGAGATCATTGATGTAAACAGGAGAAAGAGAGAGAGAGAGAGAGAGAGAGAGAGAGAGAGAGAGAGAGAGTTTACTTGGCAGGCACCTCCGGCTCTACCTCAAGTGGAACCAGCAAGTTGGTCGGACGCCGATACGTTTTGCCTTTGACGAGGATGTCCACCACACGCACGAGACCGTCTGCTCCGGGGAAAACGTCCACCACTTTGCCGAGAGGCCACATTCCACGGGGCGTGTCCTGTGCCATGTACAATACCATGTCGCCAACCGTTATGTTGCGACTGCGCGTTCTCCAACGTTGTCGGATATTAAGGGTGGGCACAAATTCCTTCAGCCAGCGTTGCCAGATGTGGTCCACAGCAACCTGCACAGCTTTCCACCGTCTCTGCGGGTGTGCTGGTGTCATAGAAGCTTGTGCCGCTTCTATGGCCGTTTCCACCTGAATGTGGCCAATGAGGAACTGCTGAGGTGTCAACGGGGCGAGATCATCAGCATCTGATCCAACTGTAGTCAGTGGCCGGCTGTTTAACAGGGCCTCTGCCTGAACAAAGGCAGTTTGCAGTTCTTCATCAGTGAAGTTAGCAGAATGCAGTATAGCAAACACTGCTCGCTTGGCTGACCGGACAAGCGCTTCGAAGAAGCCGCCATGGTGTGGTGCCCGGGGCGGGTTGAACGTCCACGACGTGTGCTGTGTCGCTGTACGGGTGACCACTTGACCTCGGTCAATAGCTTGAAGGGCATCACGCAGCTCACGTTCTGCACCCACAAAATTTCTGCCGTTGTCTGACACTACCAGACGTGGTGCTCCGCGGCGCTTACAAAATCGGTCAAAACACATCAGGAAGCCTTCAGTGGAGAGGTCATAGGCCATCTCTAAATGGCATGCTCGTGTCTCCTGACATGTGAAGAGGCAGATATAGCGCTTCAATTGTGAGCGTCCACGACCTTGACGGGTTAGGAATGGGCCTGCGAAGTCCACTCCAACATGCTGGAAGGCCTGCTTCGTCATAGCAACTCGAGCGGCAGGAAGTTGGCCCATGAGCTGGTCTGCAGGCTTCCTCCACTGCCGAATGCAGCCATTACATCGTAGGCGATGCGATTTGATCGCTTGTTTGCCTTTGATCAGCCAATACGAAGTTGTCAGGTTGGCCCACAGATGATTCGTGCCGACGGCATGGTGGGTTTTGCGATCCTCATTGGCAATGATGAGGTCAGATACTGGATGCCGATACGGCAGTATCAGTGGCTGCCTCGTACCTTCCGACATTGCTGATGCCTGCTCCAGCCTGCCTCCAACGCGTAGTACAAATGGCCGTTCAGCGGTGTCTAGGACTGGATTGAGCCGGAGCAAAGGGTCTGAGGGCTTAACACTTTTCTCCCGCTGTAAGGTCGAAATAGTGGCCGAGTAACACTCCTGCTGGGCAACGCTGATCCAGTGCCGTTCTGCTCGCTGTATTTCAGTTGCCGACAGTTCGGGAACTGCTACATTCTCTGCCGACGACACAGCTACACGAGAGACCGCATCACTGCCCTCAGGTTCTTCCCCCTTCTTGGCACCTCGGCAGTTTGAGGAGAACCGGATTATCCAAGCCGTGACACGCTTCAGTCGGTTCCAGGATGAAAAGTTCTCGGGACGCAGTCTAGATGCCGTGGCTTCGGCGACAAACGTCAACGCTTGGTGTCGCTTAGTTTCTCCTAGAAGCTTGCTTGGGACGGTGATATCGCGTTGCGGCCACTCGGTCGATGGCTTGGACAGAAACTCTGGTCCTGTCCACCATGTGCTGCTCGTTGCTAGCGAGGTGGCTGGCATTCCTCGTGTGGGTAGGTCTGCCGGGTTGATCTTACCGGGCACATGTTGCCATTGCAGGGGTGATGTGGCACGTTGAATCTCCGAGATTTTTACACCGATATCTGTGCTGAATCGTCGGCTGTGGGATCTCAGCCAGTACAACACATTGAGGCTGTCCGTCCAGAAACGATGCTCCGTCAATGGTATCTTCAACGCTGCTTCCAGCTCTTTACTTAGCTGTACTCCAAGGACTGCTCCTTTCAGCTCGAGCTTCGGGATACTTAGCTTCTTGATAGGAGTTGGCCGTGACTTAGCGAATGCCAGTGTCACCTTCACGCGTCCGTCTGGATATTCAGTACGGACGTAGCAGGCTGCTGCTGTAGCTGCATCCGATGCATCGACGAACGTGTGAACTTCCGTCTTCACGCAGGTTGGATCCGCATCGGTGTACTTGAAACATCGGTCAGCGTGGATCTGTGCCAGGTCGGGTAACTCTGATAGCCAGCGCTTCCAACGAGCCGTGTCGTCGTCATTCAGCGGCTCGTCCCAACCATATCCAGCGACACATGCCTCCTGAAACAGTACTCGTGCACGCATCGTGAACGGTGTGAGCTGACCTCTTGGATCGAAGATCATTGCCATCTGTCGTAGAACGTATCGCTTGGTTAATTGCTGGGACGCCTCTAGTGCCTTATATCGGAAGGTAAATACGTCCTTGTCAGCAAGCCACATGACGCCCAGGGTCTTAGACGACGGTAGAGTGCAGTGCTGGTTACTGTTGACATCCAGGGACACCTGCGGGGCTCTGTCGGCTTCTGGCACGGACTCAATCACCTCGGTAGAGTTGCTTAGCCACTTGCGAAGCTTGAAACCACCAGACTGTAGTAGCTGTGTCAGTTGTTGCTGGGCATCTATTGCCACAGAAGCTGACTGGAAGGAGTCCAGAAGATCGTCAACATAGAAGCTCTCCTCGACCACTTGGACAAGGTCGTTGCTGCGCATCGAGTCGGTCGCGAAATCTTGTGCTGTTTGCAGTAGAGCCTTGCCGGCGAGATAGGGCGATGCTCTTAGGCCGAAGACCAACCGGTTAAACTCATACACTTGCATATCATCGTCTGGGCTGGCACGCCACAGAAACCGAGTGAATCGCCGATCTTCTTCTTTGAGCCCTACTTGCATAAACATCTCACTGATGTCGGCAACGAGAGCTACTGGTTCAGCAGAGAACCGCAACAGGATGCGAACGATGTCGTTCTGTAGGCGTGGTCCCGTGTGCATTTCTGCGTTGATGCTGCGACCTTTCCAGACGGCAGCGGCGTCAAACACAACACGAACCTTGCTGGTGCTCTTGTCCTCCCGGACGATTGGGAAGTGTGGCAGGTACCACTGGTGCTGGCAGTCTGCTGCGGCGATGGCTTCAGGCACAATCCGGATGTACCCTTTCTCCAGATGTGCTGCAAGGACGCGGTGATATTCTGCCTGGATCGCTGGCTTGGCTGAAAGGGTCTTTTCTAGACCTCTCAAGCGCTGTTCAGCTTGAGCGCGGTTTGATATGATGTTCGGACCAGTTGGGCGGATCCAGGGAAGACCGATTTCGTACCGCTGCCCATCATGGCGCATGGTAGCCGTGGCCAGTTCCTCCGCTTCACGTTCTGCTGGTGTGCGGTATCGCTGGTCAGCGTTCACAACACCAATGGACTCAGTGTCCCATAGGTTGAGGACGAGCTCATCCAGACGCGGTTCTGTGCCAGAGGAGGTCATCTCTGATCGTACAGCGGCAGTGGCACAGTTCGTGATGATAGGCTGGGACCTCTCGGTGCTTGTACCTGTGGGGCCATAGCAAACCCAACCGAGCGGGGTCCGACGGGCAATCGGCGCATCATCGGGGCCTCGTCGCTCTTCCAGCGCTGTGTGGAGTGGCGCAGCATCCACGCCAATCAGCAGACCAATGTCGCCGGTGTCCATAGTTGGGAATGGTATGTCGTGCAGATGCGTCCAGGCATCTTGGTGTTGACTCCAGTCGACGGCCACTGTGTCGGCTGTGACACATGGCAGAACCCAAGCGCTGATCTGGTGGGTCAAGCTGCTGTCTGTACTTTGAATGGTCACCGGTGCGCGTCGGCGCATGGCCTCCATCTGGCTGCCACCAAGTGTGGTCACTTGGAGCGGTTCCGGATCTCCAGTCAAGCCGATAGCTTCAGCCACTGCGGCTTTGATATATGTGCTGGTGGATGCAGGATCAAGTAGTGCTCTGCATACGGTTTCTTGACTCCCGTTGCGAACTGTGACCGGGACTGTCATGAATGATATGGCAGGGAGAGACGTTCGTCGTGGTTGCGAGCGGCACACATGCAGAACTTGCTCCTTGACAGGTACCTTGCCCTGACTGTTACTGCTATTAGACTGCTTCTGCTGAAGCTTGTTGCTGCTGAACTTGTCGAAATGCAGCAGTGCATGGTGCTTGCCGTTGCACTTTGCGCAGGTGGACCCGCTACAGGACATGCTACGGTGGCCAGGTCGCAAGCAGCAAATACAGAGAGGTGTGGGTTTCACTAAATCCCAGCGTTCTCGTACCGACATTGCTGTGAAGGCGGGGCACTGGCTCAGGAGATGATTACCGTCACACTTGAAACATGCATTGGGAGTCTCCGCTGGCTTACCCCTCGAGGCATGGAATGCATGTTGGGTTTGACCTGAGCTGGGCGCTCTGCTGCTGTGGGCGTCGTACGGCTTGCGGGTAGATGCTGTGGCGGCCTCTCTGGGAAGTGCGAGGCGCGCATCCACCTGCTGCGCTCTGTGCACCTGCTTCAGCAGCCAGGTAGACAACACCTCCGCATCACAGCTCTGGTCATCATACCGATCCAGGAATCGGGACAGCATCCGTCTTGGGAGCTTCTGAGACACTGCTATGTACAGTTCGCGTCCGGGTACGACGTTGGCCGTTTTCAGGTTAAGCAGAACGTTTCTCAGCTTCACTGCAAGTCGTTGCAAAGCTGTTGTGTCATCTTCCCGAGAGATCCGGGGACTGGCCAATAGTTCCTGCTGTTGCCGTTCCAGCTCCCGGTTGTCGCCGCCAAACCACTGGTCGAGCTCCTTCAGCACGGCACTGTATGCCCCAGGGCCGTCCAGAATACCACTGACAAGTTCTTCAGCCTTCCCACCATCCAGCGCCTCACGCAGCCGTGCCATCTTATAATCCTCCGTTGACATGAGGTCGTCGTCTACGAGACGCATGAATCGCTGGCGCCATCGAAGATAGCTCTCCTGTTGGCCATTGAATTTGGGCAGTTCCAGCGGCTTTATCTGGAACTGCGGAATACCAACATACCCAGCACTGTGTGGCACGCTGTTTACCCAGTTCTGAACGTATCGTGCAGATGCAGTGGGATCCTCTGGACCATGTGGACGGGTGGCTGGATTCTGTGCGCTCACAGACCGGTGTGGCGCATCAGAGTCAAGGTGCGTTCTACTGGCTGCACCAGCCTTTGCTGGCTTGAAGCTCCTGGCTGCAGCATTCATGATAGGTGGACGCTTGGCCTGTACACGGTGTACAGGAGGCTGTGGCGGTGGTCTGGCAGGTCTTGTCAGCTCAGACTGGGGTGCGACAGTTACTGCAGGTCGGACACAATCTCCTCTGTCAGTGTCACTGTGATTGCTCAAACTAACGTTGCTGCGTCTTTGGCTGTCAGACTCCACTTCCTGCACTGACTGCTCATCCGCAGCGTTCATATATCCAGAACTGCAGTTGGAGATCGAGAGAGCACCGCTACGATTTGAGCGCACACTTGCAGTTGAGGAGCGATGTGAGCTACGTTGGCTACTGTCGTCCGGAATACTTTCCTCATCGGAGAGCCTAGCTAGGTCCTCGGCCAACTCCAGCTCCACTAGTCTTTTGTCTTGTTCGAATTTCTTTGCCAGAAATTCCTGTTCAAGACGTAACGTCTTCGCAGCGGCCTGAATCTTCGCTTGTCGTCGTGAGGACGATGTTGCTCTGGACGTACTACTAGTAGGGACTTCAGACCATTTTTTCAAATCGGTTTTCTGTGGCTTATGTTTTGCTTTTTGGATAGGTTAGAGCTTCCTGAGGAGTTTGGTCTTTAATTTTTCTAAATCGGACAAAGGAAACTAAAGTTACAAGCAAAATAGTCATCGCCTATCACCGGATTTGTCCGACAAACGTCCCATACATTTGAGATCAGAGAGATATGTCAAACTGAGAGAACCCACTTTCCTTGGCAACGCATAGCAACCGCACACCAGATCCAAAAACAATCTTGATTCTCCGCATGAAATAGCTGAATAGTATGGTTTACAATGTAGTGGTTAGTAACAGGAGACATTGATAATACAGTCCTGAGATAGCTTCGGACTGTTGGCGTGGTTGGTGTCAAGAAAAGAATGATCACGGAAGAGGCACTGACTAAGCTCAACATGTACATGTACAGGACATTGTATTGGCTGGGGTAATCGTAGCACGCACATCATCATCAGCAGAGATACAGCAAATAGCAACAAGAGTATACAGCACATCTCCCAGTTCGGCACTCTTTCAGCTATTCTTGCGGAGCTCAACCAGATCGAAACAGCATTGGAGACAAGAATCGAGGCATGGACCGAAACAGCCAAGAGCAATTCAATTTGTACATCAGCATCATTTAGCGCAGGGTACTTCTCACTGCTTTCCATACTGTGACTATGGCGGCGCTGCACGGCAAAGTACAAAGAGGAATAATGCAAGAAATAGGTCTTCTGGAAAGTGAAAACAATAAAGATTACCTTCTATCTAGACTAATTCGAGGTCGTAGAATACGAATATCACATTTTCAAGAAGGGGACCCGGACGGATCATATGGTTTCTCACCTTTCCCTTCCATCCGCATACGTATCTCCGTCAAAAATGAACGTAACAGCTCCATTCTTGCTGGTCCCAAACGAAGGCAAGCTCCAACAAGACGAACCGAAACTTTCTCCAACTGTACAAGACTTCCTTCATTTCGAAAAACGGTTCCACATTTCTTTACACGACTTGACATATGACCATCACACGATTTGTGCAGGCGTCGATTTGCACGCTTTTGCCAGTTTTGGGCCATAAAGTCACGTGGTCTGAAGTCCCTACTACTAGTACCTGACCTACTTGATTCTGCGCTTCCTACAGACCTGGCATCTGCCATTGCCGTTTTCCTGGCTGCCAACGAAGGAAATTCGAAGCCTTCTGCCTCATCCCTTGCTGGTGGAATGCCTTTTAATCTTCTGCTTTTTCGAACTCGCTGTTCGCTCTCAGCTCGCTCTGTCTCTAAGTCCGCCATCCGGCTCGAAGGACCATTATGTTCTTACTCGAACATGCCTCCGGATAGCACACGACTCGTTGTTTTAGAAGACTGTATTATAATGTTTTACTCTGACTCTGATCGAAATCATCTTGCAGTACAAAGGCAAGTTCTGCCTCTCTCGAAGCAGAAGCGGAGATTCAAAAACATTCAAATCAAAAGATCGCGCGAAAGCAGTGTACGCGACTACGCGCATCAGACGTGAATACAACATGAGAAGTGAAAGCAGTGTACGCGACTACGCGCATCAGACGTGAATACAACATGAAGAATGAAAGCAGTGTACGCGACTACGCGCATCAGACGTCAGCTGACGTGAATACAACATGAGGAACGAATGCGTAGTAGTATGATAATGCACAACAGTACAACAAGCAGTACTGATAGACACATAAAACGGAGTGGCTCTGTACCATTATCAGTGGGCTGGATATAGACTGTACAAATTATATTCTTTCCACAACGACACCTACCTAGTACCTCTGGCTCCTGACGATCTACTGCAAGCGGATTCGAAAATGCATTACACCCGCGAACGCAGCGCTTGTCAACAGAAAAGGGAAGCGCTTCATTCTCCGAAGCTGAAAAGTGTTTGGACTGCTGCTCCACGGCGGCAGAATATTCTGCAGCTGTTCACCGACACGACCCGCTTCACCTATATTATAACGATTTACGATCGTTTCGTTCCCCGAGTTTTCTGGTAGCAGCAACAAGAATTTCGTCCGCGACGACAGGACGAAAGTCTCTCGAAAAATAAAGTCCTGTTGCCACGAAGACAGAGAAGATTCCGCAAGCGCTTTCTTCTGCTTCCATTGTTGTAGCTCTCCGGTCCACTGGCAGATCTTTCAATCCCACCGAACAAAAACAAAGGATCTTCTTCTCTCCCTAAAAACAACTAAAATAATTACTTCGCGACTGCCCAGGCCGGACGTGTACATAGTGTACGCGACGCGGCAGACTTTTGCAGGACACGACATACGTTTTTGCATAGCCGCTGGCGCTAGACCGCGCAGCACGCTTGTAGTTGTACTTCGAATTTTGCGATTTTTTCGAGGGCAATGGCCCTGAATCATTGAATGGGTTCCATTTGCCTTGCTTGGCTACCTACGATGTACAGAAAATACCAAAAATCCATGAGAAGTACGTGTATGTTTTTGGAGCTGGAGTGGGGTTGTCGAATAAGTGCTAGGGGAACCCTCCTTTGCGGCTGTAGAGCGCTAAAAGGTGGCCTGTTAGCCGAAAAATCCTTATTCCCCCCGGACCCCCGGTCGTACCACTCCCAGCCACCCTGTGACGCCCCTGTTCAGACTGTAAGGTACTGTAAACTGCCTGATGTTTGCGACGTATTCATGTTTGCTAATTTTGCGAGAAGAGCATAACGCAAATACTAACCATCGTTAAAACAAACTTCAACAGTGGGTGTATATGTGTGGCCATAGTGCTCCGCGAACATTTGCCATCGCAAACTCGCTGGTTCTGAGAGACCACAACAATTTAGTGACACAAACATTGGGTGGTTCAGTACAGTATAGGGCTAGCAGTGGTGCCGTTGTGTATCATTGATAGTGCAATGTAGTTATCTCTGTGTTTCTTCTCCAGATCCCTCGCCAGTTTTTTGAAAGTGGTCCATTTGGTGGCACAAACGTCAACATGGCTATCATCAGCCTTATTGAATATGTAAGAAACAGCTAGCAGACAGATTGTTAGGACCAGTTGCAGCTGTGGCATGATTTGTTTTGTAAAGTACTTGTGTGCTACTTGTAAGCATGTAGCTGTATTACCAGTCTTGAACCTGATTTCACCTGTTGTTGTTTTTTGCTACAGATCAATGTTGACGGTAGCACAGTTAACAATGATGATGATTTCAGTGTCAGTGCATTGGACGTGTTGGATTGGTTGCTCGAAGAGCCGCAGACGATAGTCTGGTTGCCAACCATGCATCGCCTTGCGTCCGCCGAGACTGGTACGTCAATAGAGATGTGTCTACCTGTGTGTCAATGTGCAGGCTTGAAGAGCACTCACACTGATGAGGTAATCTGCACATGGTTCTACCTGTGCAAGGCCATGCGGGGAAAGCACTGGGCACCAGGGAACCTGGGGAAAAGGCAGAGGAAAGCGGTTGTCCAACTCCGTGCATTTGCGATCTGTACGATGTTTCCATGTGTATGAACGTACCTGTGTCTGTGCAGTTCGTCATGAAGCAAAGTGCAGCAGTTGCAAGGCGTACCCTATCATCGGCATGAGGTAAGAACGGTTCAACCATACATTCAATCCTACACATGTGCACACTGTGCGGGATCATGTACATAATGTTCATGTACTACCAGGCTGTGAGAAAAAAACAGAGCCAATATGGCTTACCAATGGCATGTACTTGTACTATTTGATAAGGCAGATGATGTACATCTTGACGATTGTTGTTAACCTTATCTGAGCTCTGTTGCAGTGAGTTATTGCCATGCCAATCATGACCAACCGTTTCTCCTATTGTGCTGTAGATATCGCTGCACTAGGTGTGCAAGCTACGACCTCTGCCAGGTAAGCAGCACTCGGGCCGTAGTTTGCTAGGTGTCCTGCTGTCATAAGCTGAGTTGGACTGTGCAATGTGTACAGACCTTCTATGGCATAGTGTTGGATGCGGTGGCCGAATTGGCAGTATAATTATACTGTATTATCCTGACTTTAGATGACGACTTAAAGTACCCTGAAAGCATGTGGTCGAATTGGACCTTTCTCTCAAAAGCACTCGGCAAACTACTCCACCTCAAGGCTCACAGTGATCTGTCGGACTGCTATGGGGCTGTGCTGCGCTTAGCAGTGGTTTCTCTCGTGACGTGTTTGTTGCAAAGTTGTCGTTCTGTGCCGTGTGCCTGTATGTAGACCTGCTTCTTTGCTGACAAGGTCTCGCAGAAGCACAAGCAAACACACCCGATGAAGGAGTACTCTATGCTGGTAAGCCTTTTCTCTAAGGCGGCGCTCTTGAAAACGGCTCAGTTCTAGTCGAAGTCCAGTCTGTTCTAGACTCTAAATCTCTCTGATTGAAACTACAAGGTGGCAGATTTCTGGGCTCACATTATCAATGAGGTAGCCCGAAGGCTGTGCCTCCTCCCAATCGACACACATTTCTAAAATAGCATTTTCAGGATGTCACAGTGAAGTAGTGTAAAATGGTGTATTTAATACTCTGTATTACTTATCCAGACAACATCCGGCGAAGATGTGAAGGACCTCCTGTCATTTATCAAGAACAAGCTGTCGACAAAGAAGCGCCGGCAACGTTCTCTGGCCAGGAGAAAGAGCAGCTTTCTGCCACTTCCAGCCAGGACACAAACAGATCTGTAAGTGTCCGCAGGGAAGACTCCGAATTGGTTTGGGTACAGTGATATGTCTTGCTAGGAATCCCATTGAGCCTTGCCGCATCCTTGAAGTCTAACATGGAGCTGTGGATTCACCGTCACCACTTACACTCACAATAGAGGTTATGTCCATGATGTTCCGGTGGCGACTCAGTCAGCAGATTCGCTTATGGGCACTTGTGAGCATGAAGCATTGAATGGCAAAAAGAGGAAGTGAGCGTCAAGTGGTGCATTACTGCGCCTCGGCCGAGCTGTTATGCAACCAGTGTTGTGTAGCATTGGTGAAGCTTAAATGTGTGTGGGCTTTCCGATCCGCATAGTGCTGTTGCGACTGTGAACACATAACACAATAACAATGATGTGTTGTAATATGATGTATGCTACAGAGGAAGAGGAGGACAGACAACACAGAGCTCTGGCAATGCTGCGGATGTACACGGCGATATTCAGAGACTACGACAACGGTAAGTATTATTTTAGTGGTTTCTATTTCATGCTTTTCAGTGTGTGAGACTTCACTCACTCGTTTTCTCTTTCTCTTTCTTCTTCTTTTTAGGAAATTGTGTGTTTCTTGCATGCCTTCGTTTGCTGTTGCTTTATGTCTTCTTTTTGATAGTGCCGCAGGCTGTTGCTAATTTGGATTATTACTGAGTAGTGCCCCCCCCCCCTCCCCTTGGTCTGCCCTGCATCATTATAGACACCCGAGTGCATGTACTAAGCCGCCGGGCTTTGTGCTTTGTGCATCAGTGGTATTTTGGCAGTTTTCACCATCCTTCTTTGCCTAGAATAGCGTTACCATGATTTGTGTCACTGCATAGCGATTGCCTGGAGATATCATGCTGATACCTTGCAAGTCACATATGTGTTGTACATGCTGGTACCATCTCTCAACGGAGCTTTCCAGAGTTTACTATTCAGTGTTGACCCGAGTCTATTTAGCTCCTGGTGTGCAAGGTTGGATTAGTGCAGTAGTGTAATTGAGCGCTGGCACCTAGCACTTAGTTCAGGTTGCCGTGTGAACCGTTTCGTTGGTGCTGCAGTATTCATTTACAGTCTGTAGTGCAGTAATCAGAATGTGTATTTGTCATGTTATTGATCATGTGACCAGGCTGGTTAAGCTGGAGAGTGCAACGCAGCAAGTCAACACTGAAGCAGAGTAAGTGCCTGTTTGTTAGCTCATTCACTTTAGTGACATACAGTCAACTTCGCTAATAACGACTGCGGATATAACGACAATTCCCAAATAACGACAGAATTTCCATGCCCAGAGCAAAGTCCCTGTAGTACCGTAGCCCACGCTTGCCAGAGCAACTGCTTGGTTCCAGAAGATCTGTATTCTGATTCTGCATGATGCGACACTTGGCTTATAACACAATACGGAATGTGCCAAACTCTACACTATAGTATGATGGCGTTAATGCTATAACCTATACTCTACAACCTAACACTGACCACTATGATAGCACTAATCCCAGCACTACATTACTCCCTCTCAATGAAGAAGAGATAAGCAGAAAGGCTAGAAGTATAAGCGAAGAACACAATGAAGGTTGAGCAGAACTTAAGTAACGCAATGTGGTAAATACCAAAGCTCATACAATGTCTAGCGCAGACTGTCCGAATACAGACGGGCCTTCTCTGTAGCTTGATCTGCCGTCCGGAGCGGGTGACTGCTCCATCTATGAAACGGTGGTCCCCGCTGCTGGACGCCACGGGTTCGCAATCAGCAGTGGTCTGTTCGGTCGCCGACCGTTCGGATGTATCTTGGAGCTCAGGATTCTGGGTGACACAAGGCTGATGCGACGCCGGGGGTGAATCCACTGGATGCGGAGGGGTCAACACCGACCTCTGCGCAGAAGACGTATCCTGTCTCGACTCAGGTAATAATGGCATAGGCGGACACTCGACGGGTTTGTGAGGGCTAACGTACTCGCGGACATGCTGCCGGTTTCGGAGTAGGTAGCGGGAGCCATCCGTTACTCCAACCTGACGACCGTACTGACTCACCACCGTCCACGGCCTTGCCGTGTCGCAGTAGCCATCCTGCACCACAACCTTCGTGCCAGGCCTTAGGTCAGGCAGCATGCGTACACCTCGTCGAGAATCGTGATCGTTGGCCATGCCTGCTTTAGCCTTCAACTGATGCTGTGGATTGACGATCATAGGGTCTATACGAGCTGGGATTCTTGTTCGCAGCTGCCGAGAGAACAGTGCTGCGCTCGGTGATGTGCCCAACATCCTGTGACGCGAGCTGCGGATGTCAAACAGCACTTGGTTGAGCCGGCCTGCCGGTACAACGAAACATTCGCATTGGATTGACCTTTCCCCGACGGCAACATCGACATCCGCCATGCCAAGCGTCTTGACTTCGCCGCCATTGTACGCGCGCAGCTTACGATCACTGCAGCGAGTGGGCTGTACCACATCATCCGTCAGGATTGTCCGTGTTGCGCCGGTATCGAGAAGTCCCTCGCACGGCCTGCCATTAACCATGAGCGTCATAATGAATTGACCACTGGCTGCCTTGTCGCTGCAAGCGTGAATCGAATCGTACACAATTCGCGCGGCTTCACTGTCCTCATCCTGCACCGCATGAGCTTTGCTGGAGAGACAGACTGCTGCGAAATGACCTACTTTGCCACAGTCCCGACACCTTACATGTGCAGCCGAGCAAAATTGCTTGCCTTTGGCATGTACACGACCACAGTATTTGCATCCTAGGCTCTTGGTGGACGTCTTCCCCATGGCGCGCGGGTCGCCACTTCCGATTCCACCCGAGACGCTGCCCGAAACTACAGCAGCCAATTCTGGTCCTCTAGGCGCTGATGTCTCCAAGCCTCCTGGACTCGTCCGACTTTCGTATGGCTTGCAGTCGGAGAAAGATGCTTCTAGGGCCACAGCCTTTGAAACGGCATCCGCTAGCGTCAGCTTTGCCTCCTTTAGCAGTTCCCGTCGCAGCTCCTGCGATCGCAACCCTGCAATCAGTTGGTCACGCACCTGTGTGTTGACGACCGAGTCCACGTCTGTCGCTGCAAAGTCACACCACTCCACCTTCTCGCGTAACCGACTAACGAAGGTGGAGACAGATTCATCTGGCGTCTGTTTAATCTGCCGAAACTTGTGCCTTTCAGACGTCGTGTTTCTGGATGGGCGAAAATGAGCACGGACTGCCTCTGTAAGGGCTTTGTATGTATCTCCTGGGTCGTCGTGTGTTGCATCACTTGGAGCGGGAACAACCAGACCCTTGACAATCTTCCTGATCCCAAGACCAGCCAGATTCAAGAAGAGACACTTCTTGTCCTCTGGAGTCGAAACTTGACAGATCTTCATGTAGTCGTTCACATCCTCCAGCCATAGGTCGAAGTCGGCACCCGTGTCTTGTCCGAAGTCAGGATGAAATTCCTTGGGTGGCCGGCCCTTCGCCATAGCGTCCAGATGCTTGACTGCCGGTTCACTGCGCCAATGTAGTACCGTAGCCCACGCTTGCCAGAGCAACTGCTTGGTTCCAGAAGATCTGTATTCTGATTCTGCATGATGCGACACTCGGCTTATAACACAATACGGAATGTGCCAAACTCTACACTATAGTATGATGGCGTTAATGCTATAACCTATACTCTACAACCTAACACTGACCACTATGATAGCACTAATCCCAGCACTACATTACTCCCTCTCAATGAAGAAGAGATAAGCAGAAAGGCTAGAAGTATAAGCGAAGAACACAATGAAGGTTGAGCAGAACTTAAGTAACGCAATGTGGTAAATACCAAAGCTCATACAATGTCTAGCGCAGACTGTCCGAATACAGACGGGCTTTCTCTGTAGCTTGATCTGCCGTCCGGAGCGGGTGACTGCTCCATCTATGAAACGGTGGTCCCCGCTGCTGGACGCCACGGGTTCGCAATCAGCAGTGGTCTGTTCGGTCGCCGACCGTTCGGATGTATCTTGGAGCTCAGGATTCTGGGTGACACAAGGCTGATGCGACGCCGGGGGTGAATCCACTGGATGCGGAGGGGTCAACACCGACCTCTGCGCAGAAGACGTATCCTGTCTCGACTCAGGTAATAATGGCATAGGCGGACACTCGACGGGTTTGTGAGGGCTAACGTACTCGCGGACATGCTGCCGGTTTCGGAGTAGGTAGCGGGAGCCATCCGTTACTCCAACCTGACGACCGTACTGACTCACCACCGTCCACGGCCTTGCCGTGTCGCAGTAGCCATCCTGCACCACAACCTTCGTGCCAGGCCTTAGGTCAGGCAGCATGCGTACACCTCGTCGAGAATCGTGATCGTTGGCCATGCCTGCTTTAGCCTTCAACTGATGCTGTGGATTGACGATCATAGGGTCTATACGAGCTGGGATTCTTGTTCGCAGCTGCCGAGAGAACAGTGCTGCGCTCGGTGATGTGCCCAACATCCTGTGACGCGAGCTGCGGATGTCAAACAGCACTTGGTTGAGCCGGCCTGCCGGTACAACGAAACATTCGCATTGGATTGACCTTTCCCCGACGGCAACATCGACATCCGCCATGCCAAGCGTCTTGACTTCGCCGCCATTGTACGCGCGCAGCTTACGATCACTGCAGCGAGTGGGCTGTACCACATCATCCGTCAGGATTGTCCGTGTTGCGCCGGTATCGAGAAGTCCCTCGCACGGCCTGCCATTAACCATGAGCGTCATAATGAATTGACCACTGGCTGCCTTGTCGCTGCAAGCGTGAATCGAATCGTACACAATTCGCGCGGCTTCACTGTCCTCATCCTGCACCGCATGAGCTTTGCTGGAGAGACAGACTGCTGCGAAATGACCTACTTTGCCACAGTCCCGACACCTTACATGTGCAGCCGAGCAAAATTGCTTGCCTTTGGCATGTACACGACCACAGTATTTGCATCCTAGGCTCTTGGTGGACGTCTTCCCCATGGCGCGCGGGTCGCCACTTCCGATTCCACCCGAGACGCTGCCCGAAACTACAGCAGCCAATTCTGGTCCTCTAGGCGCTGATGTCTCCAAGCCTCCTGGACTCGTCCGACTTTCGTATGGCTTGCAGTCGGAGAAAGATGCTTCTAGGGCCACAGCCTTTGAAACGGCATCCGCTAGCGTCAGCTTTGCCTCCTTTAGCAGTTCCCGTCGCAGCTCCTGCGATCGCAACCCTGCAATCAGTTGGTCACGCACCTGTGTGTTGACGACCGAGTCCACGTCTGTCGCTGCAAAGTCACACCACTCCACCTTCTCGCGTAACCGACTAACGAAGGTGGAGACAGATTCATCTGGCGTCTGTTTAATCTGCCGAAACTTGTGCCTTTCAGACGTCGTGTTTCTGGATGGGCGAAAATGAGCACGGACTGCCTCTGTAAGGGCTTTGTATGTATCTCCTGGGTCGTCGTGTGTTGCATCACTTGGAGCGGGAACAACCAGACCCTTGACAATCTTCCTGATCCCAAGACCAGCCAGATTCAAGAAGAGACACTTCTTGTCCTCTGGAGTCGAAACTTGACAGATCTTCATGTAGTCGTTCACATCCTCCAGCCATAGGTCGAAGTCGGCACCCGTGTCTTGTCCGAAGTCAGGATGAAATTCCTTGGGTGGCCGGCCCTTCGCCATAGCGTCCAGATGCTTGACTGCCGGTTCACTGCGCCAATGTAGTACCGTAGCCCACGCTTGCCAGAGCAACTGCTTGGTTCCAGAAGATCTGTATTCTGATTCTGCATGATGCGACACTCGGCTTATAACACAATACGGAATGTGCCAAACTCTACACTATAGTATGATGGCGTTAATGCTATAACCTATACTCTACAACCTAACACTGACCACTATGATAGCACTAATCCCAGCACTACAGTCCCATCTAACGGTAATACATATAATGAGGCTTCGGGTATAAGGACATTTCGCGAATAAGACCACTTTTCTGATGCCCCGCCGAGTGTCGTTATTCGCAAAGTTGACTGTACCAGCAAGAGTAACTGACATCCTTTTTATAGGCTGACTTTTTTGTTTGTTGCAACTTCCCTGCAAATCTGTAAGCCTCCTGAGGTTGAGTTCTGCATGCTATTTATAATTGTTCGCTTGGTTCAACATGGTACTCTTCTTTCTTTCTTGTTTCAGGGAGGATGATCATCTTCTCACATTACATTTGCTTGGACACAGCCAGGAATTTGACCCAGAACAGGTAGGGAGCAATATCTATGATGCGGTGTATGGCAGGCTAACCAGTATGCAGTTCCGCTGCATGACACGGCTGATGTAAATGTATGTAGAATGTGACCACATCGCGTTTTAAGAAGGATCTTGCATTCAGGCTTGGTGACACATTCTTCATTGAAGGTTCTGTCTCGACTACATGCTCCTGGTCAGTCAGTCAGTACATGGCTCTAGTATGATGCCCTGGACCCCACTACTTGTCTCTCCCTCCTCTTCCCATGATCTCTTTGCTTGTATAGTGAATTGGCCATATTTATCAAACAGTTGCCATGGCGTACCCCCTGACCCCCACCGTTAGGTGCTTCATGTGCCGCTGGGTTTACCGGGTGTTAGCGGCTGTCGTGAGTTCCCTTCGGGACCGGACGCGATAATTTACTTTTACTTTTGGTCATGACAATGCTGTTCCTGCTTGCATTCATTCAAGGCTGCTGAGCTGACAAGGTTGCAAGAAGCAAGTCAGGCACAAGACGGTCTCCATGCTGTGATTGATCAGCTGAATGACGAGAAAAGGTATTGCACTAGCTACCATTCTATTTTTAAAGGAAGTACTGTAAAAGCCATATATATATAACGAAGTGCTAACTCTAACGAGTTAACGAGGAGAAATCTGTCGTTAAAATAGAAATCGTTATACAGAAATCGATACATATACTGTCCTATTGAGCGTTGAGAATGAGTGAGAATCGTTACCTTTGGTACACGTAAACTAGTCACTTTTGGGAAATTGTTATATATATGCGCCTCGTTAGAATAATGGCTTTTACAGTAGTCATCTCTCATATCATTATGTGGTCCAGGCTTTCAAAATTACATCTCTCTTCCTCCAGGTGCATTGCCAAACACAAGTACACGGTTGGCATTGAAAACCGTTGCAGTGTAGTAGCGAGCCTTGATCTTCTGGAATTTTTCTTTCTCTGTCAATCCTCATGAACCAAGACGCATACTGCAGGAGCTCGAGGAGCTTCGAGCATCCAGCGCCCTGCAAACGGATGCTCCTGACGCAGGGTATCTGAGAGCAGACAGGCAGCAACTGCTGGACAGGATAGCACGGCTCGAAGAGCACAATCAAACTCTAGAGGAACAACTGCGACGTCTTAGAGAGCTTCTCCAAATACCAGTAAGGCTAGTTAAAGGGGAAGTGCATCGATTTTTTGAGTATGGTCCAGAAGAAAGACAATTTGATATCGGTTCGAATGGAATATCTCTCGCTTCCATACGATAAGCCAAACTTGCCAAATCGCCAATTGTATACTCACGTTGCCATAGCAACCAGCGCAGTGATGACGTACGAAAGCTAGGCTTAGCTCCACCACAGAGAAGGTCGATCCCTGCAGAATTTGGTCATTTTCAATTGGTTTATTGTATTCACGAAGTGAAAGAAGGGCTGTGTTCAATGCTGTTAGTGCAGTGAACTGTTTGTTAGTAGTCCTCTCGGTTGTGTACTGGGACGTGACACCGACAGGAGAAAGCTGGAGTGCGGAGACACCAGCAGACAAGCGAAAATAGTGACGAACAAAATGCTGAAATCTTGGTTGGGACAAATCAGACGTTCAGCATTTCCCCCAACCAAGGACCATGCAGTTTGCTCTTTCCACTTCCTGAAGATGAATGTGATGCTTCCTGGCGACTCTACTATCTCTCGTAACATCTTCTGAAGCCAGATGAGACGACGGGTGGTGGAGATTGACGAATGAAATAATGTCGTAGGTTTGAAAGTTTGCTGAAAATGTCTCAGGAGAGACGGCGAATTCCAAGCATCTTGTCCTGGAGGAAACCATTTCCTAGGCACAGTCAGCCTAGGGAAATGCATGAGAAGGGCGATAAATAGTTCACGGCACTAACAGCATTGAACACAGCACTTCTTTCACATCGTGAATACAATAAGAAAATTGAAAATGACCAATTTCTGCAGTGATCGACCTTCTCTGTGGAGGAGCTAAGCCTTTCATACGTCATCACTGCGCTGGTCGCTATGGCAACGTGAGCATACAATTGGCGATTTGGCAAGTTTGGCTTATCGTATGGAAGCGAGAGATATGCCATTCGAACCGATATCAAATTGTCTTTCTTCTGGACCCTACTCAAAAAATCGATGCACTTCCCCTTTAACTACAAAAGGTACATTGTGTACATGTGACCCATTGCCTAATCAGACTTTAGGTGCAGGAGGTGTTAGAGGCGTCTTGTTGTAATTAGCACAGTGACAATGAGGGCCGTACCTCTCCTCTCTCTCATCTCCCTCGCCTTTCAAACCCAAGTCCCGTGCCCAATCCCAGATGGGTCTGCTGAGGTTGGAAATCACCCGTTAAACTGGAAATGAACTTGAACTCACGGTCTCATGGTTGGGAGGAGAAGGTTCCATAACCATTCTCCATCCCTTCACCCCCCTCCCATTACATGGTCGTGGAGGAAGATTGCTAAGATATGCTGGGGCAAATACTGCGGCAATAAACACAAGTGTGAAGTATAGGTGTCTCGACTCTACAGTCCATTTCAAAACTATAGACGCGTACCTAGGCAAAAACCGTTATGCCAGCATCTATACCACATAAAATCTGTGATCACTTTGTGCATAAATTTTTCCAAATTGGGCGTCTGTTATCCAATCCTTTAGAAACTATAATGAGAGTAATTGTGGAGCGATCCTGAGCAATATTCCGAAAACTATTCTCAAAAAGGTCCAGCCAAATTTGAAATATTTCAAAAACCCTACGCGTCTATAGTTTTGAAATGCACTGTAGAGTCTGATTCTTTGGAAGGTGGACACAACTGGCGTAAAACAAGTGATGTGGCTGTAAGCTGTGCATACACGTTTACACATGATGCTGGTGATGATTGTGCGGAGGCGATGCAAATGCTCAATGTTGCAATCCAATGCAATGTGTATATGTGCATAGGACTCCTCTACACCACAGCCAGCACCACGGGCAACTCAAACATCAGCGCAACCTGTAACTCAGCCCGTTGCTCAGCCTAGGAGGCACACTGGTGGCGATGGTGGCAGTGTAGCCGTTGACATGGCACAGCCGTCAGCTGCACCACCAAGAACAGCACCACACCAACTGGTTCATCGTCCATCAGCTGCCGGTGTCACACCAGTCGTGTTGGCTGCTACTGATGCAGGACATTACAACAGAACCACTGGTAAGGTTTCAATCATCAAGCAGTATATCCATACATCCACACATCCACACACATCCACACACATCCACACATCCACACATCCACACATCCACACACATACACCTATCATGGTTCTGAACCACCTGTCACGTACAAAAAGATATGGAGCTTCAAATTGGTATATGCTACTAGGAACTAAGGCAGTTCTTGAATGGGCTCATTGGCCTCAGAGAGTCCTTTCCCGACAGCCAACCACTGGGGGGGGGATGTGAGAATGGACATCGACATTGAAGGCATGTGCTTTGCTAGCGAACCACCGTGACTCAGTTCTTGATACAAGCTCTCGTTTTTCAATACGTATGACAGATGCAGATGTACTGCAGAGCCCAGCCCGGTACTATCAACCTATGGCGTCAACCGAACAGCTCGGTCTAATGGATTCTATGCAGCCGGCACGCCAGGCCAGCCACTGGGCTGGTCCAGGCGACCATACACATGCTTCTGCTATCGCTCCTGGCGGTGGAGATGACACTGACCTAGCCAGCGTCGTAGCCATAGCTCTTCGTGACCTGACCATGCCAAAGAGACAAGTCAACGGTATGTTGTCACTCTAATTTTGCCTATAGCTAAGCCGGTTGTTGGCTTTTTGTCCTGTGTTCCGTTTGTAGTGTGCACTACAGTTGACTGGGAACAGTTGCGATTGCACACGCATATGTGTTCCTGGGATGTTGTATTCTTAGCAAAAGTTTATCCTTCAAGGCTACTTTCACACTACAGTAGAACGTTTATTATCCGAACGTCAGCTATCCAAAATGCCTGATCACACCGAATCATAATTAAGGGGACAAGAATAGGTTCTTGCCGTGTTTCCCAACCCACGCACAGCACTACTGCACTAAGTACAACAGGAATGGTGTACAGGATGCTTAACAGCAGGATGTTCAACGGTCAAAACATACCCCATGCCGGCTAACTCCAAGGAGCTGATGTGTGTTCTATTCCTTACTTTTGTAGTACTGCCAAAAGAGAACGAGAAATGAGGAAATGTGTATGCTTTAGATGGATGTGTACCTGTCCCCTCATCCGAATATACTCCTCATTTGAACCCCTGGAGATGGTGTTGTACCACCGAGTGGGTATAACTGTCTACTGTACATGAAAGTCCGCATTTCCATGACAAAAACAGCAATAAACAGTGATGACAACCACAGTCACATTCGGGAATTTATCTGTACAACCATACAACATGAGTCCTGTCTGACGTCTTCCTTTTCTCTTTCGTTTCTTGTTCTTTCTCCCCTACCCTGTCTCTCTCTCTTTGTTGTTGTTGTCGTCGTTGTCGTCATTTTTGTCTTTTTCCAGCTCCAACCATGAGGACAACTGCAGCACAGTCACCCAGCGGACAGGACTTGATCGGACTGAGTGAAATGATTGGGATTGCCATGGAATCCTTGTCGCAAGCAACGGCGACAACCTACAGCATGCATTAGTTTGAAATACTCTGAATAGAAGTAATGATAGTGAAGGGCATCTGAGTGCATCCTGGGCTTCACTGCACGGCTGCCCAGTCGACTTTACAGGGGCAGGCCTATACTGGTAGTTGATACAGATCACATCATTGTTTTCCCTTTAAAATACTACTAATAGTCATTCCTTCAGCAAGCGTGCTATGCAAGCAGCCACTGTTGCTTCCCAAAGTAATAACGGTGTTTGCTATGAGCTGCTGAGAGACAGGTATTGATTCACATCGCAGCATAGAGTGGATATGTGAACACATAACTATGAGAATATAATCAAATATCAATCAAGACACTTGCGTACATGGTTGTTTGGTTGGATTGTTTTCATTTAAAGTCGATGAACAGACAGGCATACCAATATTTTGCCGAATTACATTATCAACTGAAGACACAAGAAAAAAGGAGGTAGAGAGAAATTCAAGTCAAAATAAGAAAAGAATACGAGCAATGAACGTGGATAACGGCACACAGGAAAGAGTGCTGTTTCTTCATCAGGGCCATGTGTTGCTCTATCAAATTGGTGGCAAGTCCTTGCGCATGGCTCTCAAAACAATACTAATTGTATGCATATAATCCCAAAGTGTAAAAAACAGTGCAAGTTGACCACCTTTTTGGGAAACACAGCACTTTCACTGTATGATCAAGCCTGAATCATCTCTGGATAGAAATCAGGGGAAACGGATTCTGAAAATGGCGAGGAAACAACCAGGTATTGCTCGTAGTGCCAGTCAGTGTGTGGCAAGTATTACCTGTTGCTAGCGTGACATCATCAAGTAAAAAATGCTGGGAAGAACCCGCTCATGATGATAAGCTTCTATGGGCTCAAGTGATGCTAGCCTAGGGGTCAACATTATTAAATATTCCCTCTGTAGACACAGCAAAAACCGTAGATATCCATTTTACACGGGATGAAGTAATAGTTGTATCTCACTCGTAAGTAAAGTCCAGCTTTGCTTATCACATTAAATTTTACTTTCCCTCTTTAGCAGTGCCAGTTCCTCGGCCTGGAAAAGCTATGCCTGATGTCATTGTTCTTGTTGGTTGGTGGATTGGTTGGTTGTCATGGTTCCCTTTGGTTGTGTCATGACCAAGATGAAGCATTTGTGGTTAAAACAAGACTGCATACATGTACACCGACATGCAAGGCATATAAGCAGCAGTGCAGTGAACAGTCTGTGGGAAATGGTCTACAGGAAAATGGTCTACTACTTTTGATGACGTACAATGTTCTCATTACCACCCTCGCTGCTAGAATCTTGAGTGGAGGAAGGCGGCGTGGGCTTCATTTCATTGATGCTTGTGCCTCCAGCTGCAAAGCGGGGGATTTCTTCTGAGTGCGGTGCTGACATGGTTTCATAGGAGTCAGCTGACTTTGGAGAGGCACATCCATCATTGGACATTGGCATATATTCATCATTTAGATCTGGACTACTGATTGGTCTCTTTGTTTGTGTGGCATCGCCGCGATATACTCGTGAGTCTGTTAGGTTGGGCGCAATTTGACTCGATGAGCTGGCTGCACTCAGCATGCTTGGTGTGTGCGTATGGGGTGCATGAGCACGGGGTATGCTGTAGGTCGCAAGAACGGGCTGCCCGTTCACACCGACTCGAGGTGACTTGTAGCACCTCTCCTGACCACACGGGGACAGGTTAGGACTCTCGCGTGGTGAATTGTTGCTGCTGCCGGAGCATCGACTCTGCCGATCATTGTGGAAGCCGAAGGCTGCGTTGTTGGCAAAGTGGCGGGACAGTGTGGCTGCCGAGTACTGACCATCATCCATGATGGCTGCGGCTGTAATCTTAAGATGCTGCTTCTTAGCTCGGTGGAACTGACCCGCTCTGATCAGCAATAGAATTACGATGATGACGAGGACGCCTCCTAAAGTACCGATCACCACCAAATAGATATGCGTGTCGTCCTTCGCTGTCGTTGCTCCGGCTTGTTTGGTGGTGCTATGACGACTGCCAGCGTCTTGGCTGACGCCCCTGTCACCACTATGCACTGAAACTGGTGCTGTTGCTGCAGCTGCTGTTGTTGTTGGTGCTACACTGGTTGCTGTATGTATCATACAATAGATAAGCACACACACAATAGTTACACCTTGGTATCATATCATTTCCCATGTTCACAGAACACCTGTACCTCTCTTCTGTCTGTCTGTCTCAAACTTCCACAACTGTGTCAGTTCATTAACTTTGTGATTCCAGTTATCAATTCAAAATATCTGCGTCTCACAACCCCAATTCAAAGAATTGACTTTGAATGTGACAGCTCTAGAAACTGATCAGCATAGTGGCTTTGCCATGGAGAGGCTGTCATCAGTACACTGGTACAGTAGTAATAGAGAGGTTGCGCACAACGAAAATTCGTAGCGCTGTAACAAAAATTTTTAAGGAAAAAAATTCGTAAACCGTGAGGTTGCGCACAACGTGTGAACTTTTTCTTAGAAGGTCGATGCGGCGCGCGAGCGGATACGGAGAGTCAAGACAGGGAGTTGTAAAATATCAGCATTTTAGTACTCCACGTTACGAACAATATTTTCGTAGATCTGCTCTGTTTCGGTCGCGTTTGGACGCTTCGTAGCAACTTTTGTTACTCGAACCCGGACGGTCAAAATCTTACGAATTTTTGTTGTGCACAACCTCTCTATTGACGATTGACTCAGAATGATGCCGTGCATGACATTATAGTTGGTATGGGTGACATCATGGGTGACATCATGGCGTACCTGTGCTGCATCTGGCCAGCTTGCTGCTGCTGGAACTAGAGATGAAGGTAGCACTGCAGTCCCGTGTGCTCTGCTGGCCGCAGTAGTTGTTGTAGCAGTGAGCGCTGGGCTCTCCTGGGCAAGACGCCCCAGCACATGGCAGCTGCGGCTGCAAGTTGGTCTGCCGCGCACATGTTGTGGCCACCTGGGTTTTAGGGCATGCTGGAGGAGAAGAGAGATTACAAAAAGGCAACATTCCCTAGCTGAGGAGAAATCGTACTGGTGGAGGCGAATTTTTGAGCCAATTCTGTAGTTGACACAACTTCAAAACTCCCTACCACGTGTGCTCTTTGGTCAACCTCATTAACAACACCAGCCACACAACTCCAAGTCACGATACTGGTAGACACTCAGTCCGTCGTACAGTCGTTAAAGGCATGAAGACCTCATGCATCTCATTCTGTGATGGCTGTGGAATGCTGCCAGACCTGAAATTTTGAATAGCTGCACTATTGTACACATGCATGCCGACAGTCACTGAAAAAAGGAGGCAGCGCAATCCTGGGGTTGGGAATAGCAGAAGTGCTAACACTCAAAGCGCATGATTGAGCTACCTCATCATGTTTCTCTGTGCTGTGATGAAACCCCTCTTAAAATGAAACAACCTTGCACAGCACAGTTCAAGTAAGAACATGAGTCACAGGTCATCACTATAATGGATGAAGGTGGACAGCTACACTACAGGTACTGCAGTATCTCGACTTACAGCATTCCCAGAATGCGACCTCTGAGATTGCGAATGGCTGCACTCTTCCAAAATTCACGATGATGAAAATCTCGATACGGGTAGAAGACCTGCTTGGTCCACGGACACTACCGGTGGGAGATTGTCGTGGCAGGCTCACTGTTGCTTCTGTTTTATCGACGCTACCTTGCGTACCCGTACCCCAACGGATGTCAGGGGGCAGATCCTGTGCATAGTATGCATCAAACTGGGCATTGCCGAGCGTAGGACCTTCGGCATGGATATCAATCTGGCACAGAGACACGTTCTGATGGAAGTCAAATATCAGGTGGATCTCAGGCCGTTGCCATTGAACCCATATGCCTTGTGTGATGCTGCCTGTCTGGATACCGTCAGAGAGCCGGCCTAGACCACCAGTGAGATAGCCAGTTGCACTGCGCTGTCCACCATACCGATTGTCAGAGAAACGGAGCCGCTCAGTGGCGTTTGACGAGTTCCACATGGCACCATCTTGGCCACTGTACTGCAGTGGCTGTACCTCGTACCCATACAGCACAGCTACGAGATGGACAAATCACACAGAGCAGCATACAAGACATAACTGATAAGTCACATGATCCCTGTGCAGTCTGTAAACCATTCAAACAAAACTTCTGCCTATCTGGTGCTGGTCAGTGTAATCCACCCAATTGAATATGAATTAGCGTTTGCCGCAGTTACGAACCAGAGGCTTCCAAGAAATAACAATGGGTACATGAACGCCACTGCTGACCCATCGTCGTGTATGCGCCTTAACCAGGTGCTGCAGTTGGAGCACATAGGGCTTCAAAGTGTGACGCCAGGTCGTTGACAACTTAGTGGCAACTGGGTACAAACAACCATTGCACCCCTCCTCCCCCCCCCCCCCTGCACATGGTGTTTTCTTTTGCAGCAAAAATTTCAATTTTAAAAAGTGCCCTTGTACAGATTATGCTAGATACAGTACCTCTCATGAAGTAACCATGGTAACCAGATGTCCTTTCGGGACATGAGTCTGCTAGCACTTTTAATTGCATTTGGTTTTCCTTTCAAGTTAGTTGACAAGAAAAAACAACCCAAAACATGCTCATGTCATTGTGGGCCTCATTTCTTACTGCTTTTGATGGAGATTGAGACGGGCAGTGCCGAGAGTGTTATGGCTAGCACTAGCAGCACATTTCTCGACGCCATGCTGCAACCGCAATGTACCGTCACAGATCTTCGTATAAACTTGCAACAGCTACTCCAGTTCGCTGAGCTGGACACCGAAACATAGAGCAGAGACGAAAAACAAATTCAAATAAAGGCGCTTGCAGCTGGGCTTATGAACCATAAGTTTTGATATCTGCACATGCTCTACCGACCAGCACAAATTCATTAGGAAACAATTGCACGATTCAGAGTCATCTTGTTGGATACTAAAATGCACACCAATGTGGAATAGGCCGCAGTGTTGGCTCCAAATGCAGCAGTTACCTGCTTGTTTGGAGCCTCAGGAAAGTTGGATTTACCAAGGACAAATCCGACCGGGAAACCATTGTACTGTGAATTACCCGGTCAGATAGCAATGAATGCTTGGCTGGAAATAATGTTCCGGATGGATTTGCTGATCAATATACTATGCTCACTCCATTTCCTGTCCCGACTACGACCCTCTTGCTCACACTGAGACCCATCACGGGCAATCCATTCAAAATCTCTCCGACGTGTGTCTCACTGATTGTGTGTGTTTTGTCTGCGGACTGCATCCAAAAGTTGCATCGTGGCTTACATGCAGATCAATAACAGGTGTTCACGAACTTATGTCTGCAATGACCTGCTACTTTGGATCACCGTGGCCAGGACATTAACTGGTAAAAGTTGTTTGTTCGTGATAAGAAAATGAATGGGACACAACATTACGTCAATACACTGTCAGTGATATGAATCCGCTCGGGACTTGTATCCCACGGCAACCCACCAACCCTGAATCAGTGCATGGCACCAACCAACGCACGTGCTGTGCCATGCATGTGTTTACTATAGCACGGTGACTGCTGTTTCTGATAGGCAGAGTGGACGGCTGAGATGGATACGCGATGATAAGCTACAACTGTTGGAGTGTGTGCGTGGGGACACAGAGCCAATGGAAGAAACTCAGTGTATGAGACTATTGACGCTGTCACCCATCCAGGGTTTAGTCTGTGGCAGTTCACTGAAAAGAAGACAGTAAGTCAGGACGTGGGTACCCGCTAACATTGACAACATCTACAGTCTCAAAGCAGAAGCTGTGCAAGTGTGCCTGACAAGTGATCTGACATGCACAGGCCACACATCAACACATTGACGCGGAGTGAAGGGAGCAGACTGCATGGGACTGTGTAGACAGGCCACCCTGCAGGCTATAGTGCAACATCTACTCTACAGCAGCGAGCGCTAAACATCCTCTACGGCCCTAGCTCCGAGTCAGTGGGATCTGCACCGTCAACTCCCAGCTCACAGTGCACTATGATCCCTGGAGACAGCTGAATGAGCACGGCACTGGGCGCAATCACAAACAAAAAATGCTCACAGCGTGACGTTCGCCTCCTCACCAGCCTAGTGCAATTCGGAATCACAAAAACCTGTTATGAACAGCTGCTTGGCCCCTGGGCAACCTGCAAGCAAGGCTGGCCAATAGCCTAAGTCACCTTTCCTAATAGTTTGGCCAGGGGTTTCTGTGCAATAACTTAAGGCAATGTGTGACCCGCGGATCACTACCCATTTCAAACTGCATGCCCCCGACAGCCTGCTTCAAAGATGCAGTATGCTCTCACCTGACACGGAGAGGTCATGGCAGGCCGGATGTCTAGGTATCTTCCAGGTCTGCAATGTGCATAGTGCCGTGTTTGACTCCCTGCCAACCACAGCCAATGACTTCGGATATTCTTAGAATACATCCAAAGGGGATTTGACTCTTTGGCGCTAAACCGGCATCCTCTAGATAAACAGACTGCTCTTAAATTTCTATTATTTCTGTTTGAAAATCATTCGACTCCATGCATGACATTTCACCAGCTACAAATGGTCAACACTGCTCTCAGTCTCTTTTCAAGCGGCTCCCTGATAAATGTTATGATTCCACATCCTTTCAACAAGCCACTGCTTATTATGTCCTCGTGCGCGCCTGTCCTCACGAACAACGCTGATTTCCATCACACAAACTTTCCCACTTTGCCTTTGTCCAACCTTCCCAGCCAGTGTTGCTCCTGTTACTCAGAAACGGTGTCCTAATAGAGACTCTAAGCAGTATGACTGCTGAGTGGTGGGCCTGGTTTTCCTTCCACAACGCACACCCTTTTCATTCTTCTGGTCCACGTGTTAGATTGCCGGATTACAAGCCAGCAGACTCCAGCAGTATGCAGCACCAACCCAAGACAGATGCACTCGTAAAGATTAAGTCGTTTGAATGGGATAAAAACAAGACCCGCACAAGATGTAACGCACATGCCGCGGCACATGCTTTCTTACCAGTCTGAGTCCTACCCGGACATCCAATTTGGCCAAGCAACTGGATCGACTGAGCTCTCGTCTTGTCCGCACTTGGAACCGTGCTACAATTCACGCTTTCTCTCCAGCCGCAGAGATCGAAGTCACCTCCGACGAGCTAGTCAGCAGCCGCTGCCAACTCCCACCGAGCCTGTCCCGGAACGTCAGTGAATGCTAGATCCGCAACTTGCTGTAGACCTGCTGCACCGCAATGTTTCTGAGCACTGGGCTGACTGATGCCTTGATCGATTTTTGTTGCAAGAACGACTGTCCTGCGACCTCCGCGCGCAACAAAAGACTATTTTAGTGCAAGCCAGGACAGTAGAAGTACATGTACGCTCTGTACTCGTCCTCGTTCTACACGCAGCGAAGATTCTACAACTCCAGTGCAGCCGTGATCGCAAAGGCAACCTTGGAATGGCTGTGCATGCAGCTCGCTTCCTGCCTGAATTATTTGTCAGTCAAGTGCTACTGCAGCTTACTGCCGAAAAAGAAAACCCACCGACTCGTAGGACGTGTAGTGCACTCCTCGATCCGGTCGGCATGCGCGTGTAGGTGGGAATCCGCTGCTGCAGCTAGGTTGCACGGCTTGACATGCTGATTCTGCCACAACAAAAACTCGGCAGCCAAGCCGTCTCGGACATACAAACACTGCTGCTCCCATCGTTGCTCTTCCTGTGTTCGTAGCGCTGTTTCTCGGCGTGGGCATTGACATCACACCAGAGATGGCCTGTCAGCTTGATCGTGTGATCAGCAGCCCGCGGTTCTTCGGGCTCAGCTCGAATGCCATTGAATGGCCCTAAGCTTGCTGAAGTCTTTAGGAAGCTCCTGGCTGATAAAATCTGCTCCGAAGGCTTATGATGTCTCGATGGCCGACGCAAGGTGGTGCAACAGATCCTGGGAGACCCTATTTGCGGTTGAGAAGACCTTTCCCATCACTTCTAACTGAATCTTGTACGTACAGACACACTTAGCTGAAGAGTTGTAGAACAGTAGACCATAGTAGACCCCACGGCAAGATGGTGCAATCTACCAGTAGGCAGTAGTGTCTGTGTCGTCAGGGAGTCGCCCAAGCCCTGGTCAGCACGATCAAGACACACTGTTGAACCTTGATCATGATCAAATTGTCTGCAAGTCTCTTGCAACGCGAAGGGGCCGGTACAGTCATGTAAATCCGGACTTCGATGATAAGAAAATCAAAAGACTGACATACATGTACATGTACATAATGTCATTGTAAACGTAAACGTACATGTATGTGTCACGATAATTATACAGTCATGTTTATCACTCCCTTTAAAGTATTGACTCCCATAGATTTTTGTCATACCTAAGCAGTCAAATATTCCTGCATATTTCACTCCTTAGGGCCTAGGGCTATATTGACCGCTTATATTTGACTCCTTTTTAGCGATTTAACACAGCTAGTACAGGCTTTGGTCAGTCGTGATAAATCTAATATTGACTTCGTACTTGGTCAGTATTGGAAATAAGAGACCTCGTAAACATGGTAAAAGACCTCGGCTTCGCCTCGGTCTTTTACTTGGCTTTTATTTCCTTGAAATTTTTTAATGATTATTATCAGCCCGGCCGTGCGTTCTAAATTCTAGCCAGCGGGTAGTCGGAAAGTCGCAGGGGATTTCAGTGGCAAACATGTCATGCACGACGTACATGTCCTGAAGTACAGTGCATGCCGCGTCAAAGACATGGTTTGCATTTTACCGTTCACGCTATTTTCGACGGTCGACTGTCGGTCGGCGTGTACCGTTTTTGTGTGTGTGTAGTAGGCATGGCATTTTGCCGTTCACGCGCTAGATCCAACGGTACTCGTACCCAACACCCAAAATACCGTCGGTTTGGTACTATTTCGACGATAGAAAGCTCTGTTTAGCAGGAGAACGAAACGGTAAGATTCCAACTAGGGTTACGTCACAAGTCGATCGTTGCGTCTGGCGTCAGACAGAAGCCGAACTGCCAACCGTGTCTCGAAAACACACAAAAAAGTTCAAAAAACTAGTGTTTAAACCGAACACGGATTCTTCGAACGAATAATCTATCGAATAATTTCGCCCTCCATCGAACGAATAATCTATATTCTATCATACGCATGATGGCATTTTTCAACACTTTTTCAGCACTTTTTAAGTAGTTTTTTAATTTTTTTTGCTGATTATCGGATTTTGATGTCGAGGTGCCAAACCTGTTAACCTGTACCGCCAAGAGTACATAACCCCCCAGAGTGTGAAACGCCTGATCCAGTTCTGCATAGGGTCTTGGTCGAAAGTTGTCAAAGACCGAAAATCACATTCACTGCATCCATGTTTCCCTCGTATGGAAAGAACAGAAGTACATGTATTACTAGATACCGATAGGAGATTAAACCTTGGAGGAGAAGTGATTGAGAAGAAATACTACGAGCAGATCTACGCAGTGCAAATATCAGTAGGGTCAGCACTGAGCATAGATCTTTCGATTTCTGATAATTCCTACGACTATTCGATTATTCGTTCACCCCACGAATATTCTAAATTATTCGATTATTCGATTATTCGTTTCAACACTACAAAAAACAGTAGACTCGCCCTCTACACGCCGACCGTCGAAAATACATGTAGCGTGAACGGTAAAATGCTAACCATGTCTACACAAGTAAAACGAGAGATTGGAAGCTTTGTTACAACTCTGAGTTTCACGTATTACTACGATCATCAGGCATGTCTATTAACAGTACAGTTACTGTACTTATACAAT